CCTGTTAAAACATGTGGACACTAAGCCAAAGGCAATAATTATGATATGGCACTCCTCCTTTTTATAAAAAAAGAGGATTGGTGAGTGGAAAGCATATAAATGAGTCTAGATCATATAAAATATGGAGGTACCTTTCTTTCCAAATACATAGCAATATAGCTAAAGTTCTTTGGATGCTGTAAATATTTCTCCTTGAATATCTCCTTCTCTTGCTCTGTCCATATATTAAGTAGCTGTCTTTCTTTGTAATCTATCATAGCATCTTCAACCAGACCATTGTTGTTGTGGAAGCGCTGTTTCCTCTGGCGAGCGTCCAACATCATAGGTGGAATGACAGCGTAACTGCGCATTTTCTTATCCTCTTCCTGAAAATCCCACAACAACTGATTTAGTATTCACACAAACAGGTAAGTTCTTAATTCCATTATTCATCATCAATAATTGTTCTGGAATAAGCCTATTCAAATACTTTTTTATGTAAAATACAAGCAAATTTAATGCACTGTAAGTAATTTGTAAGGCCACTGACTTAACTAAAACTGCTTTTCTGTGGCTATTTCACTTTTTTAGGTTGAGGGAGTTTCTTTTGTTCCTTTTCAAATTGGGACAACTTACAAAGATTTTCATCTTTCTTACCTCTTGTTCATGCAGTCCATCAATAATCTGTTCCATTTCTGCCTCACTCCTAGCATATCCGCCAATCCCAGTCCTGCTTCTGGAATGAAATAATAAACTCTTGAGTGCTTTTCTTTCAAAGATTAAACCTGTGCTTTCTGGGACTAAATTGTTTATGCCTTTGGTTCCTGGACCAGTGAACAATGTACACCTTATGGCATTTCCACCATTGCAAAGATGATCAATAAAAATTTCTGGCATAATGAATAAATTTGTTCCATCAAATTCACTACAATAATTCCCCTGAACAAATTTAATGTAGTGAACATAAAACACACCTTTGTAATCTTTCCTTATCCTCTCGAGACTTCTTAATTTCTGGAAACATCTTTTCAAACAGTTCTCTGTACTTTGCCTCCTTGCCACGGCGCTTGGCACTATTTTCAATTCTCTCCACCTTCTTCATCCACTCTTGCATCAGCTGATCATACCTCTCGGTCAGGTAACGCTCCTGAAATTATGTTCACAACATCAACTGACAGGAACATTTATATAACCATGATTTGGGAACTGTAAACTTATTTTTAGAAAGGTGGCATAATTTAAAAGTTTGGCTGGTAAATATTACACATATTAAATAATAATAAAAACAATTTCCTGCCCCCCCCCCATCCCTGCAATCACACTGCTAGAAAAAAACCATTATATCCCTACCAATTATTACTAATACTCACTAGCAATATGCTAGCATGAACATGTACACACTTTTCATACTTGATGGAGTGGTTTACAACACTAGCCATTGGCATATCTCCAACCAAAGCAAAGAAAGATTTCATAACTGTAACCTTCAAATAAAATTATTTTTCAAATCCAAACAACCTTACCCTTATTTTTCTGGCCTGATGCCTTTTCTTAAAATGAAGAATGAGGCGCTTCTTAAATGCAATGTACCTTGAAAAAAAATAACAGATTAACCAGTTTAAGTATGTGAACATGGGTATGTCATTTGCTTTTTTTCATATGAAGTAAAATTAAATTCTACACCTGGTAAAGTGGAATGTTTAAGCATAACTAGTTGAATGAAAATCTAATTTTTTTCAATCATCATTCATTTGTTTCAACTAATACAGAAACTGACATCAATTAAAATATTCTAAATAATTTTTTCCACTTTTAACTTACTTTCTTTTATTTTCATGATACACGGCAGTATCTGAAGGTTGGTTATACAATGGCTGAAAAGACAATTTCAAATACTTATTTCTTACGACTCAAGTCAAAAGCAAACAATGTATGTTTACCATGAAAAAAGTCGTTTCTACCTCATACAGTCTACTTCCACATTTTTCTGATATCAGTCACTCCCCTAATCTACACTCTGTGACTGCACATTTTCAATGAATACATTTATATTGGAATGACTACACATTCACCAGAACTTGACAGTTTCAAACTAGTAATGATTACATTATAACATCTTACCAAATCAACTTTGGGTCCCAATTTGTTCAATACTGCATGGGCCATTTCTGCTTTTCTCTGAAATAAAGTTTTCTTATAATCAAAATTCCAACAAAAAATGTGACAGGTCTTACAGACTAAGAATGATATTTTAATCTGGGATCCACTCAAACATAAATTTATTCTTCAAATAGTCTTTAAGTTCAACCATTTTTCTTTTCTATAAAAAAACCTTTTATCTTTTCCCTTTATATCACAAAAAAAAAGAATTTTTTTTACTTTCTTTTGATTTCAAACAAATCTTTTTGAATTAACTTATTGGACTTTTTGTATTTAACCTTTTTTATGCTCTTACTATTTTACCATTCAATGAGACTTACTCTGTTTTCAGCATAAATGACCTGAGCAATACTCTGCGGTTTAGCCTCTGCTGAAATAGGCTGTTCCACATCTACTGATTTTTCCTCTGGGGGCTTTGCTGCTTCCTCTTCTAACTGTTGCTAAGGTAAGAAAATGAAATAAATGCGACTTTAAAAAAAACCCCAGTATTTCTATCATGCAATGGGAGGTATACTGGTGAACAGTGGTATACTGCAAAAAGGTTACTCTTCTTGCCTTTAAAACCCCCAGGTTATAAAAACAAGGAATTACTTAATGCCATTTATTCTCTGAAGTAATAGGCTGACACATCAAAAAGAAAAACTAATTAATGGTATGCATAAACCTGTTTTTTTTTCCAACAGCCATCACTACATTTAACACTATAATTAAGTACATTTCTATTAACACTATTTTTGTATCATCCTTAGAAAATAAAATGTCAATTTAATCAGTACCTGCTTCTTTTTCAGTTTTCCTATTTGCATTTCGACTTTTGCTATTTCCTTATCAACTCTGCTAATTCCCTGGAGCAGTTCGTCCTTGGTGGACATTCTTGTGGCATCCTGAGATTTCTCATCCGGCGGCAAGGTTGGGGAGATTGCCTCCACTTGTGGAGTGTATGCTGGCTCCTGACATAAAACAAGCCAGAAATGCAAGACCAAAAAGAGAGAGCACATAAATTATTCATTTTTGCATCACTGAGATGACCCTGGTGTATGGGGGTTATCTGACCACCCACAAGAAACAACCCAGAGGAAACGATATATTTTGGGAGAGCTCAAGGAATTGACCATTGCTTCATTGCATGCAAAAAATGAGAGAAAATTCTCTGTTGATAGCTTTTCAAATTCATTTCTAATGCTGAAAAGCTAAACAGCTAAAAGAATCTCAGTAAAACTGAGAAACTAGATTCTAGCAGGTGTGCTGGTATTGCAATGGGAAAGGAATTTACCTATAATACTGAATAATGAACCAAGACACACTGAGACACAGTGACCAAACATTTCATATCAATTCAAATTACTAAATTGTCAAGAAGTGATTGTGTGTGGCCGGGAAATTTAAAAGGCTGATGCTGCCCTGTATGAGAAAAACATAACTTTCAGAAATAATACTACATTACGTTTTGATAAATATAGTTCTATAAGAAATCTAAAGGAGGACTTTTCTTTCACTCCTATGCACATCAGTAAAAGCTTGAAGATGCAACACATGACTTGGAAAAAACCTTTTTATGGTTTGTCCTGCTTACATGTCCATGTAACAATTGCTGATCATTAAAGGTGGTGCTGACAAGCTCTAGGGTGAAAATAAAGTATTTCCTAATCAAACCTTGATAATTAAGCCAAAGTTAACACCAAGGTCACACTTGATCTTTTCACAAGGTACTTTCAATTTCAGTAATGTAAAACTATTGCCAAAAGTCATTTGCTTACAAGCAGTTAACCCCTAAATTTCACAAAGCACAAACAACTGATCCGATTTTTCAAAATAATGGGACTCTACAGCCCTTAAGAGAAATGATATTTTTTTCATACATATAAACCCATCAAATGAACACCAACTCAAGCTAGCAAACTGACTACTAGTAATATCTATCCATGCTTTGGAACCAAATCATTAACCACGCATTAAAGAAATAACACCAAGACACACACCCACAGCATCTTAAGCTCAACTGGATTGTGGTAAAATCTGATTCCAAAATTGCCAGTGCCATAAGCCAAAACAAAATGATTAATATTGATCTACAGTTCAAGCTTAATATCAAAAATTTAACTTACCCTCTTCACCTCAGCTTGAGTATCTATTCTTAAAGGCTGTGTCCACTCTGGCCGAGGCTCCATGGACAAACGTGGTCTCTTGTGGGCCAAGTCAGTCTGACTGGACGCCACATTGCGCATACTGTCCCCATCACCATACCCATACTGCCCATATGGTCTGAAACAAAACGAAGCTTTATTTTGGACACTTAAACTCAGTGGCAAGTGCTTATAGTGTTGTATTTAAGTTTAAAGTGAAACTAGGCCATTTGAAGCCTATTCACTGCCATTCAAAAGGTGAAACATTCTGAAATCCATCTCTATCTAGATGTCACCTAAATAATATCCAAGGCATGTTAATCAATAGGGGTATCATAGCATAAATTTAATATGTTATTCTTATCATGGGAAGTTAAACCTCATGTCAGATTTGGACTTTAAATTATTTTTCCTTAGACTGCAAAACACCAAAGGCCCAAAAAATATATGAATATGAGAAGCAGACAATATATCATATCCACCAGGGGCTAATTAACCTGTCTCCTGAGATAAATTCTTTTCACCTGTTGATGCTCATACAGCTTTTGTGAACTGTGAACTTTTCTTGGCAAAAATAAAAAATATAGTACAATACATCATGTATGAACCATATACCAATGACTGTGATAAGAAACATCAAAGAGATGCTAATCACAAATAACATGATAGCATAATATGATAGGCAATGACAAATGCATCTGAAAACAACATGGATATTGAGGTATATTATCATAAATTCACCAAGGCATCACGTGGTCTTATCAAATAGGCATAACAAACCCATAAAATATGTCAGAATAATTATATATATATATATATATATATATATATATATATATATATATATATATATATATATATATATATATATATATATATATATATATATATAAAATGGAACAAAACCAAGATACAGATAGATAGATATCTTGGTTTTGTTCCAAATTATTTCAGAAGACGTCATGCCTAAAATAGCTAATTATGAAAATGTGGTCACCATCACTGGCAGAGGGACAATTATTAAAAAGAGATAATCACCATAAAAAAATCTGCCTGGTGTTATACATACAATATATTCACAGAAAACCAAACATAGCTGTAATGGGACCCATGTGGTGACGCCAAGCTGATGATGAAACCTAAGTGACCTTTTGATGTCACCAGCTAGATAATATATAAAAAGAGAGCTAGATGGCAACAGCAGTTAAAGATCTTTTTAAAGATATACTTTTATGTCGAAATGCAAATAATTTTTATCCAATAACAAAGATCATGAAATCAAAATGACTAGTATATCAGATGTATAAAGTGTCAACTTGACTTTTTTATGTACAGACACAGATGTTTTTCTGAAAATCCATGATATGTGTATTTTATTATTAAAAACTGATGGTCTTTATGCTGTTAAGCATTATGTAATATTGCATCAAAATAGAAGAAAATACAATTTTGGGTGCTGCTGCCATGATGACCATTATGGGTAAACCATGTTACTTATGATTGTCAAACTTTCAAAAAAGAAACACAGGACTAAATTGCAGCCGATTTGGAAAAGCAGTCTAATTCGCTTCTTTTTCTTGTAGTTATACATTTTATTGAAATATTCATTTTTATCGTGTTGCCATTCATTGTGGGACTCAGAGCTCCCATGGACATAAAGCCGAATGGTAACCAAATTTTCTACATGTCTATGCTATTTATAGTCAATAATCAAAAATTGGTGATAATTATTCTGTAATTTATGTAATGTTACATCAAAATTGACAAAAATGCACTGCTACTACAAACATTATGAAAAGAAACTGTGTTACTTATTATTATTATTTTTAACTTACAAGTTTGATTTTTAGGATTGGCATGTAGTTCAAATTAGAAAGCCAGCTCAATTGGGTTATCATTTATTATTGAATTTATGCAATTTTGTGTAAAATTTTCATTTTTCTCATTCTGGCACTTTCAAAGTGTGAACTCTCATGGGCCTGAAGCCTTATGCTTGTTTCACATTTTATTTACATTGGTGTTACCTGTTGAGCATAATTAAAATTTGATATGTTGAAAGTTAAGCATAATGTACTTTTGTATCAGAATTGACACTAGCCTATTTTGTGCATTGTTATTTTCAGCTTTTTGTCTGTACATTTGACAGCTTTGCTGCCTTGTTTATATAAAAACCTCACTGGGACCTTATTTTAAGCATACACTTTCATAAAAGTCATTTTATAAGACTATTTACTCACTTACATCAAGTGTGTGGTTGCATTCCATATGTTCTCTAGCAAATGAAAGCTGTCCTTACNTATGTTCTCTAGCAAATGAAAGCTGTCCTTACTTGAACCACTACAGAAACAGCATGCCTATCATCACATTTTAAGTAGATTTTCATTCCTCTCCCATCGCAAGAAATATTTCAGAGTTACTTAGTGCAGACCACCCACAGCAAAAAAGAAATGTTACTTATCATCTGCATACCTTGATGTCTGGGTTTAAAAAAAAAGGCAGAAGTACACATTGCTTTATAGCTGCTAGCAGTGAGAACATACATTGAAAGCAACATGTTGTGATAAGTGCATTTCATCTTTCCACACCTTCTGGCAACTAGCCCAGTGTGTGTGGCAATAACAAGGTACATTCATATCACTCACTCACAATTCAGGGCACATGCATATATATTTTGTTACTGCAAATCTCACAGAAATGCTTAAATACTTTTAAATACAAAACAGTCCCACATCACCCATGACTGGGGCAAGTGATATTTAAGTATGGAGCACCAAAACAGAGTTCTCAAACTGAACTCTTTCTTTTTTATTGGTAATTAAGGTATATTTATGGCCTTAAACAGGCATTTGGACTAAAAGGCATTGGGATTTCAATACCATAGTACTTATTATCAAGTGTAGCAACCAAATGGTCACAAAGCAAAAACAAGTCTGAGTGTCACTGTTAATTTTAGCTCACACTATGACTGCATTCAGATTCAGACATCATACCAGCTGGGTTGGTCCAACTCTGGAGGGGATTCTCCCTAGAGTGCAATCAGTGGGATCAGCTCAATTGTCTGAAATGTCTCCTTGAGCGACTTGAGGGTAATTAATTTCCACATGTGCTAGGCTGCTCTAGGAGGCACTTCAGAAAAATAAACTTATCCCACTGATTGCACTTAGAGAATCCCCAGCAGAGTTGGAACTACCCAGCTTGTACTATGTCTATATCTGAATGTGTCCTATGACATAACATAAATTAACATAACAAATTATCACTTTTCTTGATTTGACACTAACAGCGAATTAATTCAACTTATTTTCATATTCCATACCAATTATTATACATATGTTTAAGTATATACAAAATGAAAACAACCCTTGTTGTCACTGACAGATGAATTAAAAATGGTGAACTGTTATTCAGAAGCCTCAAGTAAATTTCAAGATTAATTAAATATATAAGGGGAACTATAAGGATGATCATCTATCAAAAAGTCTATATAGGTTTTTGCATTCTAGTTTTTCACATTACTTAAAAGACTACTTAACATATATTATTCAAAAGAAAACAGGAGGCACCATCACAGGTTCATTAAGAGGATGGAAAGTACATGTTGACTAAATCAACCAATGCCTAGGGTATAGTCAAATGTGACAGTTGCTCACAGAACTACCAGTAACACTTCTGACCCAATTACAAATGTTTTCCAACTGCAGCAAAACTCCACTAAAGATTTTACACTTTTAACCCCCTCCCCCCCCCCACACACACACAAACACACACACACACACACACACACACACACACATGCTTGGTTGTAAATTACTTTCAATACAGTTATGCATTTGCTTGAAATTTTTCTGGGACATGGCCAGAAATAACACAACTGAATCTTATAAATAATCTTTTAGATATTCCTTTTTTTTAAATCATGGTCTGGTTGAGCTGGTTGAACTAGTCCATTAGTAAAAGAAAAACATGAAAACTCTTCTATGTCACATCTTGCACGCAAACAGCTGTAGCTCATATGGCCACAGTCTACATAGAAATCCACACTCTTGCCCTAAATGCACTTAGTGTGATTAAATACAGAAATTCCTTCCTGCTTTGCAAACTTGATATTGCCTTTATGTACTCAATCTAAAATAAATTTTGCTTATATGTCACACCACTGACACGTTGGTGAAAATTCATTATTTTTTTTTCATTTTCTTCAGTCAAAGTAAATAACACTAGATGGGTTCAAAAATCTATCATATCAGCATGAAACCAACCGCCAGGGTTTCTTTATTATAATTCTATACTTACAGCATATAAAACTAAAATTGTAACTTATAAGAATAAATAAAATCCATAAATTAATGGTTACATATAATCAAAAGTCTGAACATTCTAAAATCTAAATCTTGTTCTTAATAGAATGAAGGGCAAAATAAACTAGGTCTGCTGTGTCAACAGCTGCTAAATGTCTGCAAAAAACACTCATGAACAGCGGTTGCACTAACTAACCACAAATCAAGTCTGCTTTGGTGCAAACAACCATGGATATTAATAAAGTAATGCAAGACACATAAGATATATATATGTAATGCGATACATTCTATTGACAGAAATTTCACATATTAATGAAACCTGCTAATTAGTGTAAATCCATGTAGTACATAATTAACACTGGCTAAGATTAATGTCACAGTAAATCCCCGGCGCTAATTGTGGCCAATAACTAGATTTCATTTGCGACAAGCTAATGAACAGAGAGCTGAAAAAATGTGAATAATAATTTAACTCCTTTTGATAAGTATTCTTACTTGTCTCTGCCTGCCAGTCCATGGCCATCAGTGAAATCATCTAAAAGCCTTCCGCGTCTTGTATGTAACTGTTCTGGAAACCTATCGCTCTGAAAAAACAACAAGAAAAAAATAATAAAAGCAATTCAAGTACAGAATTCCCTACTACATTTACTAGTGTGATAAAAAAGTGATATTCAACACTCTATTTCTACTGTTCAGGATCTTATCGTATGATACATAACATTATGAATCTTGTTCATCTGAAGGCGAGTTTCATTTTTGGAATGAAAAGAAATGTGTATGTCTAAAAGAGAAAGGGAAAATGTTGAAATGGAAAAAATATTGTGGACTGACTTATCAATTTAAGGATATAAAACATGATTCAAGACAACTACAATTCAAGACAGACAATAAAAACAAAACTCTATCAAAACAGAGATTCTATTAATATATATATCACATCAGGTTATTTCTGAAGTTAGAAAATTATTTTACACCTGTCGTCAGTAAACATAAGAATTGCACAGAAAGTTTACAGACCTGATAAGGTTCTCTGGCAAACACTGTTCCATAGAGAGATGAAGCTACCATAGGGTCCTGAGGGTAGGGATAACCTGGACGGGTCATCTGTGGCTGAGAGCTAGGACTTCTCCCTTGCTGGCCAGGCGGTTGATGTTTAAATGGAGACCCCTGACTTGGGTCTCCAGGCCTACAAACAAAAACATCAAAATATTTAACTACCACATTCATGTTCCATCTCTGGTTAGATTCTTTTCTCCAAGTCTGACAAACTCCTTCTGACTCCATATCAAAGAAAACTATTTACTTACAAATTTATATTTGCTACTAAAGAAAAATATCACAAATTCAAATCCAATTTTATTTTTAAGGGTTTGGAACTGTCTACCTGTACTTTGGATATTGTATTTTTTTAATTTACTTATTTTTTATTTATTTTTTTTTTACTTATCAATTTATTTGTTACTATTATTATTATTATTTTATTTATTTTTATTTTTTCAAGCACAAATCATGTCCCAATGCATTACATATTTCAAAAGAGCATTAGTGACTGGTGAAAGTTGTAAAAACTGAAAATCCTGAAAACGCAGCTTGCAATTTCTCATGACATTTAGACCATATGAAAAAAATTATCAAAATGAAGACTGAAAATCCTGAAATCATGCATAATTGTAAAAACTTTCACCCATGGTGACATCAATATCCAGTTAAAGATCTAGCTTCTCTCATTTAATTAAACCTGATCAAAATGCATAGCAAAATATACAGAAGATGCACAGAAAATAAGTTAAAGGATTGAATGGATCAAATTATTTAACATAACCTTATTATGTACAATAGTATCATTGATACTGGCACTAGCAAATTACAAGAAACTGCTAAAAAGATCCAAGGCTTTACTCCTTCCACTAAATGCACAGGATTTAAAATACCATGTTGCTTATGCATAACTGTACATTAAGCCTTGACTAGAACAGGGAATTAAATCGTACAACAGATAGTTCTTCGTCCTCACAAACAGCAATACTACTTGGAACACAGTATCAGCACTTGGTGTCCCCAGATAACCTTTTAACAGTGCCCTAAAATAACCCTTAAAATAATCTTATCCATTATTATGTAAGAGCTTTCCGGAAATCTTTTGTATTGTCCATTTGCACAGTGCAGTACAACTTTAAAATAGTCATTTAATTAAATCGTTTCAATCCGTGCATCCGCTACGTCCATCGTGTAGCCTTTAGGCGCACGCCAACGTCGATGACAGTCCTCGAGTACGTTTTATTATGGGTCGATAATTATAAAAAATAAATCATGCAGCTTTTGTGAAACACTTTTGTTCAACTTAGATTGATGCATTTATACTTCTACGACACGTATATTGTACATATTCTCGGTATTTTTATGCATAAATTGTATACATTACCTGTCTCCCATCGGTCTATTCGACATACTCAATTTTTTCAGCCATTTTGGCTTTTGACGTCACATAGCACCTGCTCCCTCTATGGGACCAATAAAAGCTTGGCACTGTAACTTGATTGATTGTTGGAATGTTAACAACCTTAAATCATTTAAGGAAATGCAAAAAATATAATATATTGAAATTTTAACTTTAATGATAGACTTAAAACTATTAGTTTAATTAAATAACTTATATATATATTTTTCCTGTCTTGAAATTGGCCCTCTAGTGGCATATAAAGGAATCAAATTTGTTTCACAATGGTGGATATGTACGATGCTGACACTGGAGCTGGCTATTACAGATCAAGAGATCCCGTAAAAAACCTAAAAATACGGTACTTATGTGTTCTTTAAGAGTACAGTATTAGTTTTCCTAAAAACTAAAATGTTATCAAAAACCTTCCGAAAACTAAACAATTTACAAAGCGCGGGAGTTCGTTTTTGAATCATTCAAGTCAAGCGCTGGTTATTCTTACTTTTCAGTAGTTTTTGTTTTATTTTTTTAGCGTAATACGACGCAAAGAAATTACATCAATAATTCATTATAACGAATACAATCATACCAGCGTGTGTTGGTCTAGTCTAATATAAACATCATGCAAATGAAATACCTTGGATTTCCGTGATACAAGGTTATAATTGTGTATATACTGACTTACATTGGACTTATTTCAGAGTTTGTGTAGAAAGAGTAACATCAGCCAGTATAGTACCACAAGCACAACTTGAAAAAGAACATGGCGGAGGAATGGGACTCCAGGACGTGCGGAAACAGCAGCAGGCCATGTCAAAGAAGGATAGAGAAGAATATACCTTCAGTTGGCAAGAAAAAGTATTCAGCCAGGTAAGTATGAAAATGGTAGATAAGTTGTTGTTACTTTTGTTTAAAGGTCCTTTTCATTAGATATACCTGCCAAAGTGAATTTTTCTTAGGGGAAATAGCAATTTTCTCCCACTCAAAAATCATTGCTGAACCCATCCCTGCACTTGCAATATGTTTTATTCCCTTTTTAATTTAAATATTTAGTTCTAAATGTCTGGTCTACCGTTTAGCATTCCATGTCTTTCTGTACTCTTCAGAAGATATAAGGTTCTTTCATTTGGAGGATTTTATGGTTTTTAAGGGGAAGATTAGTAGCTTTGCAGGATTTCTAAACATAAAGAATATGTCTTTAGGAAATTGTCAAACGGGGACAGTATACCTTTAAGTGGAGGTCAAAAACATCTTCCTATATAATTATATGAAAGTGCTTATATTATGGTTTGTTTAATTTAAGCCTGTAATACACAACTGTAACATGCATGTTTATATAGAAGGTTTACATTATTTCTTTCTTTAAACAATTCTCCAGAGAGAAGTTGATTTGTACAGCAAAGAGGAGAACTGCACAGGGGTCCTAGAGAGAAAATATCACCAAGATGTTCAACCACTGAAGTAAGGATCCTGTCCCACTTGAATTATATTATGCATGATTAAGATTTTTAATGTACTTGTATCATGTTAAATTTTGAATATTTGGACTTGAATGATTTTTTTTATTTAAGACTTGAAACTCACCTCCTTGACTATTACTATTTGTTTAGTTTTTTGGTATGTGGTACAATCTTTATGTCAAACCTCAAGAGCTTTGAGGTTAATTTCATGCTAGTATTTAGGAACAAACTAATTTGTTAATAAGTATGCCAACAAATTGTGAATGATTTACAACTCCAGAGAGAAAGGCCGACCAACCAAGCGATTATTTTCATACACTGCAAATGACCCATTCACAGACCAGAAGGAGGTATAAATCATCTAGCTGTGCACCTCAAGAATCAAAGTAACATATACCAAAGGAAAAAAGGCTATTTGATTAATGCTTTATGACAAAGAAAATATTTTAGAATCATATGCTATCTTTAATACATCAGGTGTTTTATCTAAGAGTGCCCCATTCTTCATCATCAAATTTCTGATATGCTAAATCGTTTTTAATATCATTCTTTTCTGGTTGCTGTTTGAGATCATAGGTCCATGTCTTTTTTCTCCAACATTTAGCACGTTCAGCATGCAACCACATCAGTTAGTGAACAGCCAAATATTCTCTCACAGAGAGCTGCCAATGTGAGGAGAAGAAGAGTTGTTGCAAATAGGAAAAGGGAAAGGTGACAGTTTTATATTTTTAGTCAAGTAATATTATAATGCAAATCTTAACCATCTGAGGGATTGAACAAAGCATATAGACAATATATTTCCTAAACTGAATCTTTTTAACGGTGGTGTCTGTGTTGAGTCAGTTGAAAGTGTGTCATATTTCTGTTTTTTTTTTTCTATTTCAGTGAGAATGCCATAGTTCCTAAGATAAATATTGTTGATTTGGAGCCTACTGAGGAATCTGTGAAACAGAATCACTTTATCAGCACCCCACAGCACACCATGTATATCATGGTGGACCTCTCTTCAGCAGATGAGTAAGTTAACCTGTGTTTGTATAAGATTTGTGGTTGCTTTTGCCTGTCAGCCTGTACATTAAGTGTAAAAAAAAACTAGTCACTAGCTAGGCTACCAGTTTGTGAAAATTCATGTTTGGGAGTTTCAATTTAAATTTGGATCAATTTTTCTGCACTCTTAAGCCAAACTAGTTTTGACATCAGTTTTTGACTTGCTCACAAAAAGACAAATTTTGTTTATCATACATATCGAACTGAATTTTTGTGGTTCAATGTATTTATGATTTCCTAACAACAGGACAAAGCTGCGGGACTTTGTACGCCCTACTTTAAATTTAACAGTCAGTGATTTATAATTTCTTGGAAAGAGGGTAAATACTTAGTTTTCTATACAGTATTACACTATTTTCATGAAAAAATACACAGCCAATGATTGTACTATACATAACCAAGCATGTTTTTCTTCAGTGAGGCCACAATAGAAGATGAGTATGTATTGTGTGTGATTAAAGTGGACATCAATGGAGTGATCAGCATCAAGCCAGACTTCAGTAAAGGAAAGAAACCTTATAGAATAGAGACACAAAGCATTGGAAGAGGTAGAGATAATACTGTATTATTGTACATAATTGTTTATATTTGTGGATCACCTGGACAAAAGTAAAAGACAGAAGAGAGTGAAAAGAGAGATGTATAATGCACTTGTGTCTTGAATGGTGAGAAAATACTCAAATCAGATGTTCCAGGACCTTGATTATTTTTAAACATAGTAAGTGAAGTGAATTAACAAAATAAATATCGTTCATGGAGTAATATCAAACCATCTGAATGTAAAAGTAAGATCTCTAGATTAAGTCTGTGGTATATCATGTTTTGATTTTCCAGAGGTTTATGAGTATACTCTTGAGGATGCCTCTGCCAAAATGAGCAGACAGGAACAGGATAGAGAGAGGAAGATGTATAAAGAGGTAACAGATGGCATTTGTAGCTTTTCACTTGTCAAGGTGTCTTTGTTTATGTCTTGAGCTTTGGTTGACAGTTTAACAATGTTATACATGTTGTCCTAGTAACAAAAGGCTTCCCTATGAAAACATAACTGTATTTAATAATATGTGATAATAGTGTAGTTACTGGAATATGTTGAAATCCTGGTATGCCACAAGTTACCAAGAAACATATGTCATTTCCTCAGTTAAAAATTTACAAACCTCTTATGTAGTTAATTTTCAGCACCTGAATATTTATTATGAATATTACTACTTTTAGCTTTATAACAGACATGGGGAATTTCTCACAGCAGTGGTTGGGCATGATTTTGAAATGGTAAGAGTGTTCGTGTCCTAGTCACATCTTCTTAAAATTTAATTTTTTAAATTACTGATTAGAAATGGCAGAACAGACATCCAAGTACAAGGCATGTGTGTACATTGTGGATTATACCTTGACAAATTTATTAGAGGGAAATATAAATTAGAATATAACTTTTAACACTTCAAAATTATATTATAGATTGATTTAAAGTAGAGAAATGCGTAAAACATTTAGTTAATGAAGAGCAGAAAGTAAAAATGTCATATTTACTGACTGTAAAAGAGAAATCTTTGATTATGTTGAACTGAAAGCAATTTTTCGAAGCAAATTTTGTTCACAAGACAGTACTCAATGTGATTGTACAGATAGTATTCATAATAAAGTGCTCTGGTATTTCAGCCTCCACCAGATGTTCTAAGGATGTTAGTATATGGTGAAATTGTGTCTGCAAAGAATTTTGACTATGACAATCTTTATATTCACTATTTTGTGGAACTACCAAGAAGTAAGTAACAGTGTTTAAGAAATACTGTATAGTCTATATATAAAAATGAATTGTCTAAAGAGTACAACTAATACTACTTAACATGCATCCCTTTCAGTATTACTTAACTGCCTTCATTTGTATTAACATCATTATGGAAAGTAAAACAATCCAAATAACATGTATTGTGACAGTTGATTCATGAAATTCATGTGTTTCAATAACCACATTTCTCTTTTAATAGTCCATGAGGATATTATCCCTTGCCAACCTAAGTAGTTAGTATATCAGTGATTCTGATGTTAGGGTCCTGTATGTTGTCACAGACGTGGTCCAGGGAGTATCATGTGTCATTGCTCTGCATCCCTGTGAAAGTTTGGTAATATGTAGATGTGGCAAAATTTTCAAATGAAAATGGCATGTAATGTTTAAAATTTTGAACCCATACCTGGCTGTGGTAAGATGATTCCACAAAATTTACATATGTAACCCGGAAATTTCTATGAAATTTTTATGAAATTTCCTATATCATACTTTTATATTATTTTTTTATTTGTAGATTGGAGAGTAGACAGAAATCAGCAATTATCTGGAGTAACACAAACTTGTACTACCAAAGTGGAAGGAAGGGTATGTATAACATTATGAAGTCTTTTTGATTGCATGGTATGAGGAACTGCAAAAAGTTTACTATTGGTACAACTTCCTTTAATCTTCTGTTGTGTATTCTGTATTGTTAAACTGATTATTAATAATTCAATAGAACAAAGGATACTGCCATTCTATTAACAAAGTGTATCTTTTTAACAGATCTCTTATATTATATTTCAGGATAATGTGGCATATTACAGTTTCCCCTTCAACTTTGAAGTTTTTTACAAGAATGAAACAGTTATTGAAGAAAATAAGGGTAAGCTATCATTTGAACATCTTTTGGGGAAACATTATTTTTGATAGGAATAATAATCCAAGAAAAATCATTATTATTGATATTTTTGGATTTTTACAGTGATTTGGTAATGTTTTTGATCACAGAGCTCTTCATATATAATGATTATCTTGTCAATATTTATAGGATGCAAATAATAACCTGCGCTGCAGTATGGTTATGAAACAATAAAATTCTGAGTACCTAAACGTGACTTAATTTTTAGATTTACTTCCCAAGTGGCCAGTTATGTACATAGAGGTGCTGTCTTTAGACTCTTGGCAGCGGTATAGGACAGAGGGCTATGGTTACCTGACACTACCATGTATTCCAGGTGAGGATTGTATATTTATATAACATTTATATCATTGAGGGATGTTACTGTAACATATGGTTTTTGATTATACACTTGTTATAGAATGTATTTAATTCCCTTTTCCCATTCACTCGACTTACTTATGCCCAGTGAAATAGTTTTAAATAAAGGGTTTTTGAATGATGGGGGTGGACTGATGACTGGTAAGCATTTCAAGAATTTTGACTATGCTGAAAAATGTGTTAATTGTAGATTTTGTTTTCTGGCCAAATTCCTGTGTATCCTTGTGATTAAGCATATCTCTTTATTTATGTTACTTTTCTGTCTTTAAGCAGTCAATATTTAGGATGTCCTGAAATGTCAAATTAACTTTATAAATTGTGATAAATATCTGATAAAAAAAACTTGTTTTTTTCAGCATATTTACTTGAGATTAAGTTTAGAAACTTTTATGTCATAATATAGGAACATTTTAAGTGGTATTTCAACTGTGCCTTAAGAATTTCAATCAAAATTTTAAATGGCAGTTTCTAATCTTTATTCCTGTATGATTGTCACACAGCATATGCATGTGACAACCATACAAAGGTAAATATGTTAAGAACACACATTTGTTTATCAGGTGTCAGTACAGAGGAAGTGACATGCTGGAGGCCTACAGGAAACTCTGTGGTATCAGAGTTGAGGCGCTTTTTCATCGGAGGCTCACCGGAGTTGGAAGATCTTTCATACATTTCTGTTCCTTCAACTTTTGAAGTATGTTAATTAAGTATTATAATTATTATTTTTATTCTTTGAGTAAGGAGGTCTTTTCATAGATTGATTGCTGTTTAGAACAGGGTGGTATTTAAGAAACCTATACCAGTAATTTGTTTGCCTCAATCTCATTATGTAACAGACATGAAAATAAGTGCAGTTTGGTTTAGTTCCCTGTTTGACTATAAAATGGAAGCTATCCAAAATGAGATGACACCTGGTATTATACTTTAACTTTATTATTACTATGTACATGTATTTTAACTTAAAGGGATAATAACTCTTTGTATGAGATCTTTATTTCACAATAAAAACATTGTGAATAACTCATAGAAATATAATATATTCTGTTTTACCACAAAAATGGCAGTTATAGCTATTATTCTGATATCTGAGCTTGTCTTTAGACCACGTGACCTCCATTGATGGCTATACTCTGTTAAAATCTCTTAAGTGATTTTAACAAAAAACCAAACTTTTTAGAAAAAAACCAGGGACTAACTTTGAATGTTAAAATGGATTCATTAACCATTGGTAAGTATGGGAAAATTGTTGTTTACTCCAGGAAAATTCATTTTTTGGCCGAAACGAAGAGTATTATCCCTTTAAGTATATTATAATTAGTAGTGTAGAGAGCCTATAAATGTACACTCTTTTCATGTGCTCAATAAATTATTATTATTATTATTATAAAATGATACTGTGTGATTAAGTAAGCAGCTGTTGTTAATGTATATAAGCTGTATTTTTAGGGCAGTCATCTCAGCAAGTATGGGTTTAAAACCGAGACCACAGGGAGTGTGACTGTTAGGTTGAATATTCTTCATCAATCTCAGTAAGTGTATGATGTTAAGACTCTTCCAAAGAAAAAAAGATAAAAATTAACATTTGCCACCTCATAATGTGTCTATCAGACAGTGTTCACAAATGAAACTGTGTTGTTTCCTAGATGATAAACATACTTTGGCCAAAAATGATTTTGTATGAATTCTTTGCTGTGATCTATTGTTTCTCTTTGAGATACATGTCAATCTGAGCCCAAAAGTATGATGAAAGATAAGGGGGAAATGTTTGTATCAAAATTAAGCCAAATTTAATATTGATGAGCATAATTTATTTTTACAGAGCCTTCCTAGATAAAGCTCATTCTAAAAAGAAAATGGGAAATTTAATGGATAGACTTGGGTGAGTATGAATATTAGTTTGGTAGAATCCAGGCTGCCAGGGTCATAAGATGCCAGAAAACAACAATACTTGGCTGCAGACAGTCCATATGGGCTCTCCAAGAGTATAAGAAAATGAAGTTGAAAACAGTGCTGCTACTGAGAGATATATTTAACAGGGAATAGATTGTTTAACCAGTAGAATGATTTTATAAGGGCCTTTTTGTTTCTTTTATTTAGGGATTGATTGCTGGTTTATTGCATTTATTACATGTGTGTGAAATAGGGAGAAAAAAATTATTTACCTTCTAACTGTAGTTATGGAATGAGTTATTCATTCCATTTGAATTGCCAAAATTAGATTTGAATATGTTTGAAATAAGCAAGATTTTCGATTAAATATATATTCATAGTAAATTTACTGTTTTGTTTCCTCTGTTGTAGTGCTACATCGTCACAGTTGAGCATTATGAATGTACTTGGTGAGTAAATATAGAAAAACAAATTTTGAGAGAATATGTAATTTTCCCAGGGCTGCATAATGCTGCTATGGTGGTAACTTAGAACTGTGAAAGTTACAAATCTAAGTAGCTGTCTCATCTAGAAGCTCTTCAACATGGGCAGTATTAACAAGCATTTTTTACTAAACTTGATAATTTCTAAACAGGAAAGAAAGAAAATGACTCATTAAAATAACATTTTTAAGTTTTTGTTATAATACATGCTGAAAGTATCTTGCAAAAGAATAATGATTGTTTTTTTCCCCTCAGATGCTTTTCAAAGAGCCAGACAAAGAATGATTTCAGCACGTGAAAATCTGTTAAAAGAATTCAAAGATTTAAATATAAGTACCACAGCAAATGAAATAAAGGAAGAAGAGTGAAGGCATGCTGATAATGCTGGAATTAATGATCTCATGTTAAGTTTTGATACAGTGAAATCTACTTGAACATTTTAAAATTAATTTTTTTAAACTTTTAATAGTAACAAGACCAAAATATGAAACTTGGTTGATTATTTTTACATGCTGCTACTTGAGTTCCTATTTTTGACAGTTATCTTAAACAATGCAACTTTGTTCAAGACACAAAGCAATATTCTTTTCAATATTCTATTCAGATTATGATTGTTTTTTCAATTTAGGTTAGAATTTTAAGTTGATCTTTTATTTATATTCATTGGAAAAGAAAACAGTCTTTGTATAAAATCATTCTAGTAGGCTTATTCAAGGCAAAAGGTCATTGTACATATTCATAAGATGAAATTGTATTAGTTATAAACAGCTTTAAAAAGCATTTTGTGTTTTTGTTACTTTACTGAAACAATGAGTTGTACCCTGTCATTTTAAACTTGAGGGGAATGTTGATAAGTCTCTTTAAAAATATTCTATCATAATGGAGGATGGTCATGGTATTGTTTAGTACAAATGATATGGCATTAACCCTAATTTCTTCATTATGCCAGGGGTCAATGTGAATACTTAATGATGTGGATGACTGGACTAAAGTCCACTTATGTTCTCCAAATGCTTTTGACATGTCTATCATATAGGCCTTTCTCAATTCAAAGATGTTAATTGTTTTGAACCTATCCTTTATTTAACTTTAATTGGTTTGCATTGATAACTGAAACCTTTGGACCATCAAGCTGAAACAAAGGACACAATAAAGGTACTGAATGAAAAATTAATACCAGACTATCCCCAATGGCAGGACTTTCATATGGATTAATCATAATTGTAAAGCTAGATATTAAAAGTTCAGAAGTGTGTTTATAACTTGTTAATGTAACATTTTATGGATTTTCCATATTGACCGTAATGATAAACCTCTTACTTCCATCCTCTTGTGGACCCAGGCATTTGCTGGTGTAGGTGGGGAAGGGGGGTATATTGGGAGGAAATATCTGACTTTGCAAAAAGACATGTACCCAGACATTTATTGGGTTTTAACAGAGGCCAGAGATGAAAAGAGGTTAAAAACTCAACCACACCTTGAGGCTTTTTTGGCCCTAGTAAGCCACCACCCTACTCCTGGTTGACCTTGTTTACATCTTGTGTAAGTGCACAATGGTCAGGGGAGTATTAAATGGTCATAACCTTCCCTCCACCTTTAGGCACTTTGATTTCTGCCAACTTCGTGCAAAGGTACATGTAGGCCCAAGTAGTTTTTCTAGAGGGCACGTACAATAAACAAATGCAATGATATCCTCTTAAACACCCCATTTCCATAGATTAGATCGACCTACTTTAGATCAACCTAACTCCCTGGGGGTTCACGCTAAATGGCTGTCAGCCGAGCGGACACGAAAGTTAATTACCCTCTTACAGCTTGTAGTAGGCGGGACGGACATTTAAGTCGGATTATCTGAAAGTAATCTAGTGAGACTCCCCGCGGGGATAGATCGATCTAAAATCTATGGGAATAGAGCCTAATATTCTGTGTCCACAAAACTGATAAAAGACGTTTGTATTCATCATTCTCATTGCGTTTCATATCTATTTTCGTGTATAATATGTAAGGGCTATTTGCCTCCATGACAAAGGCCTGGCATGAAATCATTTCCCTTTCACAGTCAGAGAACAATTTGAGTAGCATTCTCGTGTGCAGGTATATGCTATAGTAAATGCTGTTTTTCTGCATACCTTCATTGGCACCTATTATTCCGTTTTGATTAAAGGGACAGTTTAGGAAGATTTTAATTGTCAAATTGACATATGATTAGTGTATTTATTTCCAATCACTACAGCTCACCAAAGACACTGAAAAGAAAACTAAAAAAACATTTCAACTAAAAGAATTTGTATGGGATATTGGTCACTTGTAACTACGTCTGTTTGTCGGACAGGTTGTTTTATGTGAAAATCACTTTATGTGAACATCCTTATTTGTTAGCAAATATTATTTGTATTAAAAATAGAATGTTCTAAGACAAATATGAATCTTAAATACAGAAAGCTTGATACTAAATGCCAAAACATTTGGTTTATATTTACAATTTTATGTAACATCCATAAAGGAAAAAATGCTATGTGAAGATTTTTGCTTGTGACTAAAAACACGACCAAAATATATGTCCAACAATTTGAATCTTATCTTTAAAAGAAAGTATGTTTTAATACACAGATTGAAAAGTGCTTGGGCACTTACATGTGTCACAGGTGGAAATTTAAAATGACACATATAGTACTTGTGGTACATGATGAAAGCGTACGTTTAGTAATACCGTGAGTAAAAACATTAACGCTCACAAAGTATATACCCATAGAGGAAAAGATGTTTCTATTGTCTCCATTTTAAGAAAACTTTCTTGTTTTGTTGTGTAATGCGTTTTGTCTTTTGTTTGTTTTTGGTAAGATACTAGTCTTATTGTTAAAAAATAACAGCTGACTAAATAGGATTAGACCTAAATTATGACCTGGTATAATGCAGTGAAGCCATTTGGACTTTTATCGGGGTCCAACAAAAATGTCCACGCACTTTGAATTTTACCTTTTTGCGCGAGGATGTTATTTGTCTATTTTTATAGCCAATTTTTTTGCTTCTATGCAGACAGATTTCATCACCATATCGGCAGTTTCTGGTCTGTATTTTAAAACATTACGACCGGTGTAACAACTCACACCGATTTTTTTGGCAGTAACTACTGGAGTTTTATCTTTTTCATCCTTTAAATAAGCGCTTTCAATGTAAAACAGTATATATATACGCCAAAACGTTAAGACACAACACGGAAGTCGCCACAAGAGGTGAATAAACGACACGCCAACGAGGAAAGGGTGGTTTTCCATATATTCTAATTTTACCTCAAGATTACTGTTTTTGATGTCATTAAGGACAAATTTAGAAGAACTACCGTAGTAAAAATGCACGTGCATGCTGTTATCATCGAAATTAATACATTTTAAAAAGGTTCACGTTTCCTTCATAAATGTTATTGCAATGAACTAAATTTATGTTTCCTGAATACTTGTTTTACAGTATAATAAGATATGAAAAATACTACTTCCCAACATCAATCTTTCAAATAATGTAATGCTTGTCTAATTGATTTCACAAAAACAGTTATTTTGCTGTACTCAAAACTTTGGACCCCTCTATCAAGGTTCCAAGGCATAACGAACTATCTTCATTTGGGAGGAGTCAGTTTCCAATGGTCAGCAGCGGCATTTCCTTGTCAAGGTAGATGTCTTTATGCTGCGATAAAATAAAGTATGATGTACGTTTGTATGATGTATGAAAAACTCGTAACTAGCATTACGAAACCTAATTCTTAGACCCTTTGGCCTGTTCTCCGCAGCTATCTCAGACAAGAGTGTTATTTCTGCTTCAAACAATTAACTACCTGTAGATCTACTGGTCCATACGGGAAGTAATTGTTTACAACGATCTTCCAATAGTCACATCGGAAGTAGCCTTAACCTCAGTGCTGTGGAACAGACTGATACCATTTTACGTCAAAAATAGCTTGGCAGTTTTTTTCAAGGGACACAAATGGTACAGGCTGGTTTCATACGTGTACAATAATTCTGAACTCAGTCAGACGGACGCACCAAAATGGTCACCTTACAATTTTGACTACCTCAGTCCTACATCTTACTGGAATGTAAGATGCAAATCGCTTGAAAGAAAAGGGAATTTGTAGCATATTTCTCGTTTTGCCTATAAACATACTCTAGAAAAGAATAAAAGTTTGGATCACTGCTCGACACGCAAAGACACAGATAGTGACCTCAATAAGCCATCAGAGGATCGGTCATTTTTGACCTCTTGATATTGGAAGGACATGCAGAGATACTATTAGTGTGGTAATTACTTTTGTTTCATTGGAGGCTGTCGATGGTGCAAAACAGAAGCGCCGCTTATGAATAAAATTAACCTCCGTTGCGTGTTTTAGATGGTCTGGCTGGTAGTGCCTCACACTTACGCAAATTGGATTATTCTAATCACTCGTGTCTGGTAAACTCTTACTACTGCAATAAGCGCAGAGTCACCAATGAGCATCGTAAATGGCTAAGGTTAGTAATCAAGTCACGACCAAGCAGGCATAAAAATATACCCTTGGTAGCGCCGTTGCTATCCTGCAAAGGGCGTGTGTTTTAGATATAAGTGACTTGTTTCTCTCTGGAGGCACATTTTAGACTCAACATGGGACTCACAACAACCAAAAATGCACGGGCACCACTTCTGGTCTTGGTTTTGCTAAGCGTCTTATCACAGACACCTAAAGGTGAGTGTGTAAACGGTAAAAGTTGTCCATCGAATTTTATTATAAAAAAAATCTACTTGAACAATGCAGTAGATTTGTCGATCATAATCTGGATTTTATGACAAAATCAGATTCCTCTTTTTTATTCAGCAGGAATAGAATGCGATGGATAGATGGAAATCAGGCGCATTAATAATTTTGTCTTTTAAACGATAGATTTACTAAATTCTTATCCATTCATTTATCAAGGCCACACAGATGTGTCAGAAATCTTAGACTTAGGATACATATATACACATACACATGTACACATGTATCGTGGCCCTTAGTAGAAGTTCATCATTATCACTGAACGAGGCCGTCATTTGAGTCTGTTTCATGATTTCATGTTTTTATTGAATAGAAAGACCAAGTTCTTAACCCTTCATTGATGACGTCTTTCAAGTCAACATTTATATGTTTATGTCTGATGCCAAAACTCCTTGAGGGAGATTGTATACACATATACGGTCGGATGTATTTCATTCATCAGGTGGCATTTATGATTGAGCGACTTGTAAAAAATTACGCAGGTTGAATACGAATATATTCGCATTTGAAAATAAACTGAGTAACATTTTAAAAGTTTACAAGGCTTATGTTTGGAGAATACACATCTATTTTAATAAAATACAAGAACATGTCGGCATCCTGACAAATTACTTTTGTAAAATGATTACATATCGCACAACTGCTTAATGCGGTGCAATAAAACACCGAAAAAGTTTTGGACAAACGCATATGATTAATGCTTAAGTTCAGGAATTCCAGTTTCTTACAAGTCATTATTCAGACAGATATTGAATCGATGGGCAGCCAGTACTACGGGTATATTGGCAGTGCATTTTAGACCACGACATTTTTTATCTGATGTTTTGGTTAACATTATATTAAGGTCGAACCACAAGGAAATAATACTTGATTGTTTTAAAACATGCTGGGTCGTGATGGAGCGATGTATTTAAACACGCGATAGTAAGGAAAGAAATTTTAACACTTCCACGTAATACACGTGTAGGCCCTATGTAAGCTTAGGGGGAGTGTATTTGAGACTAACAATTGGCGGATCAGTTTTTGAATGTGTATCCTTCTATTTTTTATTTATCCTATAACTATAAAATGTAACCGAGAACATTATTATATTTCATTTAAATCTTATCAATTATTCATCTTCCATTCGACTTTTCAAAATATATCTAGAACTGAAATGAACCAAATTTGATTCACACCATGATCGGTCAATGTGAAATGAGGAAGTATCAAGTGTGCCTTGTGGAACATAGTTGTCAGATCGTTACTGAACATCAGTGCGTTGATTTCCTCTTCCCACTGCACCATTAACATTCCGATATCGACGCTAAGTCATCTTATCATATCTTAATCAGGGGTGACTTCATCACACCTTTGACCAAATGACAAAATGCTCAGACCAAATCAGTTGCAATCAACGTCCGGGAGAGGTTATATGTATGTTAGTGAAGGTTTAACAATAAAGTCACAGCTCAGTTGCAATCAACGTCAGGGAGAGGTTATATGTATGTTAGTGAAAGTTTAACAATAAAGTCACAGCTTCTTTTTGTTGTCAAAATTATAAAAATTATGCTTTCGCTTTTGATGTAAAAAATAAGGGGTATGTCTCTGAGGAAGGCCAGGGCAAGCCGTCTGTCTGGGCCCTGTAACTCGAAAGCATCGCGCCTTGCGAATAGCGATATCACATGGAGGCTTGCGCTCGGTCGCAATGCGCGATGCTTTCGAGTTACGGGCCCTGGTCAGTCTGTTTAAGTTGTGTGGCTCTTCAATGTGTGGTTACTATGGTGTACCATGGTTTTGTCGAAGTGGGACGTGTTTTATTATTTGAAACATACTTCTTACAATTCAAAATACTAACGTTACAGTTTTCAACAACAATTTTAAATTGGCATTGTGCGCACGACGCTATCAGCTGCTTTTCGAAATTCATATTCATATTTGATCTTGCACAATATGAGCACTGTTTTTGGTAATTTTCTTCTCAAGGCATTTAAAGGCCAGGGGAATAACTCCTTTAGAATTCTTAATTTATCATTTATCCACAGCACTAAAACCTTCAGTTTAAATGGCAGGTATTATTTGTATCTGTCTGAAATAATATGAGACGCACTACGGTGTCCTGAAACTCCGGTGTTCTCAAACGGTACCTTTAAATCACCCTTTTATGTTATTTGCCTCACAAGCAGATTACTTAACATGTGAATTTGACTGTGGTAAGTGTAAAACTTGAGCCTAATGAGCAACAAGAGTAGGCTCTTTATTCTTCTTCACCCATACGTCACGTGTCAGACGTCGCGTGTCATGCACTAATAACATTAATCCTAAAACGTCCAACTCCTCCGGTTTTTGTTTTCGGTACACAGCGCCCAATTATAATGTGTAAACCATAAAGGCTTTGATTTTTATCTTGAAATACTTTATGCAATACGCTAATATTCGTTCCCTAGCCAAAATGACGAATTGTTGATTAAATGAAACCATAAAGCTTTGTTTGAAACAGTAAGAGTTCTGAGAGTTACAGATTATTATCGTTTTGACATTTATGTTGCAGTGACCGCTGCACCACCTGGTGTCCCAGTTTCTTTTAAGGCTGTAGATTTCAAGCCCTTTAAAACTGTATCAGGTAAGGGCTTAGGGCTTGATAACACTTCTGTGTTTGTTGCATGGCTGCATGTCGTCATTGTGCTATAGGAGATTGTGGTGTATCAACTGCTACAATGTTTCTTTTGGGTAGCGTCATTTGTTGCGATTGTACTGATATTGCATTTCCAGAATGAATGTCGTTAGCACGTATTTAACATAAATAATATGTTTATCAAACAGCTTTTTAATACCGAATGTTTTATGCATCTTGGCATGCTATTTGATTTGCACAGTGTTTTTTTTAGCAAAATTAAGAAAACAGTGAAATTTACCTTCAAATATCAGACATCCCATATAATTGAAAACCTTCACATTAAACGATTATATTGATGCATAGTTGCACAGCTCTTACGATGCACCATGTAGCCTAAAAACACATTGTGCCACTCGTTTTTACGAACGAAATTGCTCAAGCATGTCTAATACCGCTTATTTATCATAAGATAGGGCTCACTGGTGCAGATCAGCCGCTCTAATCAGTATGAGGGATTTTTTAAAACTACAGATGGCAAAAGGTGCAAAATGCTCTTGTTTGGAGGAGAGAGGCTTATATTATGTGTACTTAATGCTGTATTTCATCCATATAGGCCTATGTGTACAGAATGTACTTGTATGTACCATCATTCAAAGAAAGCATACATCAGAACTAGCAACTTTAAAAAAGCACAAAGATACAGAATAAAAAAGGATTTTTTTTTAACTCATTAAAGTAAGGACAGTGATTTGAATGATATAATTAATAGATTTGTATCAAAATTGTATATACATGTATACACATATTCACACATCGACCTACCTAGCACATTATAAACGGAACATAATCCAATACTGCTCATATGCGAATTAAGTAAAACCTACCCTATATGCTTAAACCGAACAATATCTACAGATATATTGGATGTAAAAAGGGTCAAAGGGCAAAAGCTTTTATTAAACAGTGGCCATCAAATATCATAAGACTAAAAACAATATTTGAATGTTTTTTAAAATTATAATATGTGAATATTAATACTGAAAATACTGAATCTTAATTTTCAGTCTTCTTACTTGTAGTTTTTAATATGTTTAGTAGCACTTGGTTTTGTTTTTTATTGTAGTATTAAAGCATGGGATTTAGTTCTTTTTATGACTCAGGCCGGATTTATTTGTTTCTTTTTTATCTCATGATTTTGCATGGCTGTTCTGTTGTACTTAGTAAGTTTTGCTATGTTGTAGCGTCAGACACGGCCACAGATCTAGCGGCAAGATCGGTGATGGCTCTTGGAAGTGTTTATCGTAAGGACGTGGTCTTTAGGGTCATCTCTGCTTTGTGTTTTAGTTTGGATATGTAGATTGCTAGCTTGTTAGTTTGTACGGCATTAGCACTTGTGCCTGTTATATTTTCATTTTGATAAGATTTCAGTTTCAAAACTGCATGTGTGTTACTTATATTGAAGCTTTTTATCTGCCTATCATTTTGTTAAGATTTTTTAAAAAATATGTTACAGATATTGTAATGCATATTTCGCCATTATTACAGTTGATAACTTGAAGTATTATTTTTAATCGTGATAGGAATATTTAAAAGACAATAAATTTGACTTACGGTTAAAAAAATTAGGGAAACCTGATAAAAATGGCAAAAGTCATTATTCTTTGTAGTACATTTGAGATTTTGATCTATTTTGATTGTAATTTCAATTTCTGTATAGTTGATGGATCAGCTTGCTTCAAAGAAGGGCAGTTCATGCCCGATGAGACAAACCCATGCGCCTATTTCCAATGTATTTCCCACAACTTTGGTGCCAATACATTGGGGTTGAAAGCCCACAGAAAACTCTGTGCCCCTGGCACGGCCGTGCCTCCACAGTACGGAAAAGTCCCGGAATTACCCGACACCAGCAATCCTTGCGTGGGGAAGAGCATGAGCACAGTCGATGACTTGGCGAATGAAAGGTGTCCCGGAGCTGAAGGTAAAGGCCAAACAACAATCATGGTATGGTGAATGTAGGTTAAGTACAATTCCTGGTTGGTATTATATTGGCTTGTTAAGGTCTGATTTTTGTTATCATACTTTCAAATACTGCAGAATATTAGGATTTTAAAAAAGATAGGTTGCGTTTTATACACAACATAAGGTATTGTGAATAGATGGACTTTCTGTGTAGTGGGTAAATATCAAATTGAATACCTTTCAAAACTGTTCAAGTCCATATTTGGCACACCCCTTCTCCCATTCCAGTCGTTTTAAGTAAGTTGTTGAATATTTTTTCAGCGGCACCAGTTGATGATGGCTCAAAGGCAAGGACTGAAGACCTTGTACGTTGTTTGGTTCATTGGTTGATTTACTAAATGTCCACAATACGTATACAGTAGCAGAAATAGCACTGGCATTGCCTATTGCATTTCATTGTCTTACCATCTGTTAAAGCACGTGGTTACTCGCCGTTTAAAATACTGCGGATCTTATGTGCTCATCTTTAATATACCCTCCACTAAAAGATAAGACATTGAATACATTGGGACACAATTTTGAAATATACAAATCCTATTTTGAATATGATATGATTTGAAAATACTACGGCTTTTTTTTCATTTCAGGCTGTTCCCACCTGTGAGGTATGTGTTGGATGAATAAACTGATTTCTATTTTTGTATAACACCTTTGTATTTCACGGTCGAGTTAACATACTCGAGGAATAATAACTAAGCAGAAACTAATTTAGAACAATAAATATTCATAGAAATGTGACGCGACCTTTCAGCTTCGATTGTGCTTACATCTGTATATTAAAAAATCTCCCAGTGATGGGTTTAATGTGGTGGCATATTTTCAACACATCAACATAATTTCAATCTTATTTAGAACACGAAGTGTGACCTGAATCTTTTCTGCTATGAAAAAGAAGTACAGTGTGTCGCTGCCCCTTGTCTGCCAGTGCCAACTTGTGTTCGTAAGTTCAACCCTTGCACTTTAATCCAGGGAGTATCGGTTTGACACTTGTATCTTGTTCACTAAATTTAATGCAGGGTCTAACTATACCCCAAATAGTACTAGAGGTGAAAAGTTTTTTGTGTGTCAAAATAAGTCTTTTTTTGTAATAATGTACTTCCATTCTTAATATTAATAATCTTTTCAACATTTGCTTTTTTTAAAATAAGGCTCAAAATGCCTGATATTATTAATAAATGCAGAAGGTGGCTTTGGTGGCCGAGTAGTTTAATGATAACTGATGGGATCGCTTTTACATTTTCAGCCCAGTGTGAGCTGCCGAAGAAATCGGGCCCATGCTTTGCCAGTGTCGATAGATACTTTTTCAACCAAGCAACCGGGCAGTGCGAGACTTTCACTTATGGCGGCTGTCAACCAAACGAAAATAACTTCGAAACTTTAGCAGCTTGTGAGAACACCTGTGGGAGGCCCACTCCTGCAATCACTTGCGCCGTACGTAAACGATCTATTATATTGCTATTTTTCCAGATATTTTATAACGGCGTTTTTTATAAACAAAACATGGGGATTTCATCCAAGTGTTTTAATATATATAATAGCATATCATTGCGACCTAGGACTTGACCATGAAATACTGGACACAGCCGCAATGCAGATGATAATGGCGAAGAATAAAACTGTTATCATTTATCATTTTATTATTTGCGCTTCAGAACACATTGTGTAGCCCCGACACATTTTGCGTAGACCGACCATTTGACTGCTTCGGGGATAATTGTCCGTTCATCGCCCCAAAGTGTCTAAGTAAGTGAGGCACTAATGCTGTTGTATTACAAAATAACTTATGTCCAAAAATCAAAACATATTTTTTACTTTATTTGACCCAAGGTAAATAAGTTGTAGGCCAGTTAGATAAATATCGTGAGTATCGGTTTAGAACAATACTTATTTCATTTAAATTGACAAATAATGAGTTATCGTTAACACAATTATACAATTACCCTTTTGGTCTTATTCATGTCATCTGTTTCAATATGTTATGTTTTAGCTGCGTGCGAGTTCCCCAAGAAAATCGGTCCATGCAGAGCCAGCATCCCAAGATTATTTTACAACGCAGCCACTAAGCAATGTGAGGAGTTCGGATTTGGCGGTTGCCAAGGCAATGCCAATAATTTCAACACAGTGCAAGAGTGCCAGCAAACATGTGCTGTCGGTATTGATCCGGCGACTGTCACAACAAAACCGCCACCTCCGGCCACATGTGCAGTAAGTGAGATGTCCCCACTTCCTGAAATGTTAACAGCAGTCTTTAATTCAGTGTATTATTTGTTTTTATGGGAGAATTATGCTTTGTATTTAATAAATGTCAGATGTTAAAAGCATTTTACAGTAGGGAAAGAAAGAGAGAGAGAGAGAGAGAGACTAAATCAGATAAAAATGAATAAATAAATATACATATATGGTGTAGTGTAAAGAGATAGATAAGTAGATGATATAATAAGGATAACTGAAGTAACGGAAACTAACAATCAATGCATTTTGATCCTTACGTGTGGGGAAAAACTTTTTAACTTATTTGTTATTCTAACTTGTTACTGTTTATCATGTCAGGATCTAAACTGCCCAAGTGGAACGGTCTGCGTCCAAGACACAATATTCTGTGTTACTGCCCCCTGTCCACAGCCACCACCTGTATGCGTGCCTGTCCGAGGTGAGCTGAGGCAATGTCATGCGTATCAAATAATGCAGCCAAGAAGAAAAAATATGTTGTCTTTTAAGCCTCAACGCTTTGTTGAAAAGAGAAACAACTGCTTCTCAATTTCATGTCCTTTGTTATGCTGGAATTTAAAAAACCATGCGCTTTTGGCTTTATTCAACGTTAGTTACTAGAACCTACGATTGGGTCTAAACTGGAATTTGATCTTCATGTTGCCTAAAAATAGCTTTTTTTTCAAAAGTCTTTATCATACACTGTTGTACTTTATGGCATAATACTAATGTGCTGTTATGTGGGTTTAGAGTCCTGCAGAGGTGGCCAGGTGTACAACGAGTGCGGTTCTGCCTGCACCGCCACGTGTGAGAACATGGGCAATATTGTCTGCACTCTTCAGTGCGTCCCTGGATGTCACTGTCCTCCCGACAGACCACTTCTACGCAACGGAAACTGCCTCAAAGCTTCCGAGTGCCCTGACGCACGAACGGCACCCCCACCGCCAGGTAGGTGATTTAGTCCTTTAAATGAATTCCATGGACATCCAAAATTAGTTCAGGTTCAACTTTCTCATGCTTGCAGTTGCACCCAGACCAAGAAATAGACTGGGAAAGACAATCGAACCTTCCAAATATATGTGTATATATGTTTCATCATAGAAGTATGGTTTCATACAGTAACTTTTCATAGGTAAATAAATATCAGTGCCAATAAAATTAAGTATAACCACCTATACATGTATAGATTCAACCTGCACCGGTGGCCGAGTGTTTTCCGAGTGTGCATCCCCCTGTGATCCCACCTGTGAAGAACCTAACCCTATTTGTGCAACGGTGTGCGTCGGCCGCTGTGCATGCCCCTCTGGGACGCTGCTGCACGAAGGCAACTGTATCAGTAATGATGCCTGTCCTAGGAAAAGTACGTAATTTAATACGAGTAATACCGCTCTAAATTTCCCTCGATATTTTTCTTATGCCAACCGAAAAGAGGTGTATACTTTTTAACCGCTTTGTCAAGCCCCTCTTCGTTTGCCATATCTGTATTTTACCGTGTGAAAGGCTCATTTGTCGAACGTGTCAAGTCAAGTTAACATTTGATCATTCTACATGCATCTCTGCTACTTAGTAGATGTACCTACGGATTCATATTGTAAGGAAAGCCATAAAGGTTGACACATTTATAATGAATGTAACCCTTAGATTATTGGCAATATTAGAATGGTATATGGATTTTGATATGTGGGGTTATATCTTTGTGTGAACGAAGGCTTTTTTGTAGAAGATAAAAATTATATTTTTATGTTAAGACTTAAAACAAATGTAATCTGCGCTGTTTAACCTTAATCTTGTTACGTGTGTGACATTGCTTACATCATAATAATGATATCATAAATGAAACATAAAGAAAACAATAGACAGTATTTGGTTTTAAAATACAATTGAAAATGATGTAAACCTCAATCAATGCACAGCTTTTGATCCCTGTAATTATTCTCAACGTTTGTATTCAGCGTGTCCTATACCTGGCCAGGTGTTTAAGGAATGTGGGTCTGTGTGTGAGAGAACCTGCCAAGAACCCAACCCCGCCTGCACGCGCCAGTGTGTCCAAAAGTGTGAGTGCCCCCAGGACGCGCCCATTTTGGATAACGGGAAATGTGTGCCTTTGAACCAGTGCCCTGTAACGCCACAAGGTTGGATTCTGTAAACATTTTGCTAGTTTGGACAATAGAGATTTAAATCTTTTATTTTGAGGATAATAAGAAATTTATATCAAGGTCTTAAAATTTACAATATCTTACACAAATTTTCAAAATACGATAACTGACACCGTACAACCCTCAAGTAGCAATCTCAATATGCACGTAATAAAATGGTACGATAACAGTTTCTTCGAATAAACAACTGATATCAAACTTAATACCACTGTAATTTTCATTTAACAGAGCTGGCAATTTTCTTTATGAATGCCACTTAATACTTTTTATCACAATTAGGATGCACGGGTGGACAGGTCTTCAATAGGTGCGGATCTGCATGCGAGACAACGTGCCAGACAGTCTTCGAGTCTCCTAGGCCGTGTACATTGCAATGTGTGGAAAAATGTGAATGCCCACCTGATAAACCAGTCTTCCACAACGGACAGTGTATCACGAAGTCTCAGTGCCCAATACCAAGTAAGAGACACATCTAATTTGAAACATATATCCCTAGATGGTAATATTTTAGGTTCAAGGAAGCGCTTAAGATACAAAAATTGTGTGTTGTCTGTCTTGAGTCACTAGAACGTCATATAGTAGTTGGTATATTTCAGCATGTATATTTTACACATTAAAGACGAGATATGACAGGAAAAGGGAATGGATAAATCTCATTAACAGTTATCACATTTATGTTTGATAGAGAAAGTGGTGAGCGCCTTTCAGTTAATGCCTTTTTTAATTGGATATCAATTTTCCACGGGCACGTTTTTTTTCCAATTCAGAATGTTCCGGGGGCCAAGTCTTCAATGAATGTGGTTCTGCTTGCACCAGGACCTGCAGTGATGAAGCTCTGTTCTGCACACTGCAGTGTGTCCCCCGCTGTGAGTGCCCGGCAGACAGACCCGTACTGAGCGATAACGGTGAATGCATCAGGGATAGCGACTGCAAGAAACCAACAAATTATTGAAAGTAGTTTTGTGTATAAATCTATGTGAGCTAATGAGTTTGTATCCGGAACAGTCGCGACATTGTGTTTCCATTAGATTTCGTTATAGCAACGATTACACACTAAATGTTCATTGTGGAATTCCAGGGGTGCGGGCACTACATAGGAGTGCATAACATCCATTCTAACTTTTGACTTCATGTTATTGTATTTCATATGCAATAAGGTATTAGTAAAGATAAAATGATGTCAAGAGTGAAAACCATTAGTCACTAAATAACGACGAAGGAGCACGGACACCGCATAAACAGAACGCTTCGGAGACTACATGAATGAAGGATACATCTAGTCTAGAATCCACCAAGTACTAAAATCTAGTGTACAGAATACATTCACATGTTAATAATTATGTTTTCCTCTTGTAACTGCCATGTTATTTACAAAAAATTATTGTAGTCGAATGTCTCGCTAACCAGTTCAAAATTAGATATTTTGATTTATGGGACACTAGATAGCCTACTATAACAGATTTAAGAACAGCACCGGTCTAATTTTTTAACAAAGCAGGTAGATGCGATCAAATACTGTATCTAACTGCTGCATTTTGAATTAGAAAAGCACTCAGAAAGCGCAGACCTCCGCCAAGCACCCTGTAGTTATAAACTGTGGTAGTTGAGAGCACGTCTATCTATGGTACAAGGTGAAGGTCGTTGGCCCTCTCTCGCATTAAAGAATTATTTTAAAAATTGGCAACCCGATTGTGACCCGATCACGGATCAACACCAAACTTTTAATACAACACTTGCAAATTAGCCCATTTGTGACCTTTCCTGAGGATTTCACCAAAATCCATCAATAATTTGAGTTAGGCTGGTGTCAACAAACGGGCAAACATACGGACGAACGGAGATGAAAGCATAACTTCCTTGGCGGAGGTGACAACGCAGAAGCACGCAATTGCAATAGTTGAGACAGGTGCATCTCTAATATCTCTAATAACTTTTAGTATGTGTATCTGTAGGTCTATATCATTATAACATTTGAAATACATCATCCATTCACTGTTCCCCGCGGTCCCTTACATAGTGGCAGAACTCTAATATGTAGTATAGAGAAATTGTTGTGTAAAGGGAGTGTAAACAGCTAGCTGCTAATAAAAGTAGTATGATTGTTTTATTACCTGAATTAAAACGTGGGAATGTAAAAAAACGATATATTTATCTGTTTATGGTATAAGATGAAATAATGTAGTGCGTCATAAAAGAATCTTCACTTTTCAGATTGAGTCACCTTGGTGAGGGGAATAGAATTTTGATTGTTCTTGTAGATTTTCTTTTTTAACCGTTTGGCTCTCAAACTTAGGTTTGGTTCGTCGGTAATCCAATAGCGGTCTCGAAAGCACGATTCAACAACCCAGTAAAGTCTACGCGATAATCCAAAACATTGAGAATGAGCGAAAATATGTGTGACAAAGTAAATAGCACCGTTTCTTATTGTGATGTCTAGAATGAAAAACAAAATTTGGATACCTTTGAAAAACGCATTAATTTTTTTATGTATCAAATATCCCCGACATGTTATTTTTGGGATAAAAATAAACATTTAAATATACATCTGGTTGACTAAATAATATCCACCCTGATATTGTAAAGAATAAACCTATCATTGATTCGTGACTCTACGAACTCTATGTGAATTTGACTGCGTTCCACGTTGCATAACGCAAGTTACAGATTATTTTCGGCAGTTTTCGATTGTCTGTGGCCAAAAGAAGATTTCAAAAAATTAAAAAAATATCAGCGTGTAGTTGTAAAGCAAGCTGTCTTGGAAGTTATAGTATGAAGTTATAGTATGAAATGATGTAGGCCTAGCATAACCAGCTTTTAGATTTTAATGCTTTTAAACCGTTTGTTTTCTGACACCAGCTTACTAATTCAAGAGCCTATTCATAGCAATTATGTTATTTTTGATAAACATAATTATGGTTTCCCCGTTGTTAGACAATAATGATAATAAAACTTTTAGAATTTGAACTAAGTTTTCCCAATCTATACAGAACAGTTGTACATACCAAACAGTCGTGTGTGTGTGTGTGTGTGTGTGTGTGTGTGTGTGTTGATACTGAAGCAGTATCTTACCTAATTTGCCTGCTCAAATCACTAAAAAAATGACGAGTTATTTTCTAGTTTTTTTCCCGCGAGTCTCACAATCACCATTTTGATATATGACCTAACTATAGGCTCTTTATATAGCAGTTATATTATTATAATGTCAAACTGACACTCAGAATTGTTTAAAAACTACTTTCAGATATATATTCCCTTCTTCTAACGTATCTAGCGCATGTATGGGCCTTTAATTGCACGGTCAGGATACAATGGCATCTTAATGGCACCAGTTATCGAAAGAAGTATAATAGGGGTTGAGATCTTAATTAGCAAACCTATCAATGGACATATAAAGATGGTTCTACATAAAAATGTCTAGGACAGAGATTCCTTCCGATGCCGTGTTGTTCAAGACGTTAAAAGTTTTTAAGTCAGGCTTGATCCAAAGCGTAATTATTCTGCATGTTAACTGTTTTTTTCTCATGATTTTCAGTAGGACTTTAAGAACTCTCTTTCACACAGAAATATTAAGCTAATCGCACGGTCTTGCAATTAAGCCTTGTGGATGCACTCGCGCGATCAGAGACAGGTACCAAAATATGTGAAATCAAATATTACCCTCGTTTCAACCACAATTACTATCTGAGCAATAAAAAAGTATCGTTTTAGTTTTTAAAGTAGAATGTTTGTTTCAGTATAATGTTTAAAATGTGAGAAAAATATTCTTGATTTATGATAAGGTTATATTTAAGCAGTGGGATGGATGAAAAGTAACTGTAACACTAACATTATACGCGATACAAATCTGAATGGCTATATTTCATTATACTCTCAATAAAATTGGGTACTACTTTGATTAAAATGTGTATAAAATTATAAAATAGAGAAAATTGACACTTTCAAAAGCAGTAATGTCAAAGAGCTAATTCCAGTATTTGTTTCTTTTTTATTGTAAGAAAAATAATATATTTTACGCTCGCCGGGAAAAATTTCCACCACCTTGCGTCCTAGCAAGGTGCTCACGTAAAGGTGTCCACGACAGGTATTATTTATATTCTATGATGTATGTATGTTATTAAAGGACTGTCCCCTTCTTTTCTCCTCCCAACCGACCGTGTCATAACGGCACAGTCGACATATACTTAAAAGGCAGACGGTGGTATTAGTGGTATATAACAAATGAATTAGGACCTTTCAATTACCGCAATTATAGAACAATTTATTCAAATGCTTTCCTTTTTTTTCTTTCTCACGAAGTCAACTGATAAAAGTGTAATTATTTCTCACAGCCAGTGTCCGAGTCTTCACTTATTTCTACAGAAAACTGCATGGAAAATATAATTTTCATTACAAATCAAATACAAAAGTAAAAAAATGCCCCCCCCCCCGCCCCAAAATAAATAAATAAAAAATAATAATAATAAATAAATAAATAAATAAAATAAATAAATAAATAAATTTTAATGTGCCTGTGCATCCATTTTTTTTCTAAAGTTTGAACATAGAACTAGAGAAAAAGGAAATATTTTTTAATTCTCTAAAGGAAAAAGCATCGTGTTTCGTGATATAAATTCCTACAGCTACTGCAATCTGCCTTTGGGGCATTTTCCAATTGTTATGATTAATACTACATGACTTCGAAATATTCCAATTTTTTATAATTCTGGAAAAAGAGAAAAAAGGGTTGAGGCACAATAAAAATTGTGTAGGGTTTTAAATTCTAGAGGGCATTCTAAATGGTGAACAGCTGCTCATCTAATACACTCGTATAGCACTTTCAACTTGTTTCGTTTGTTAAGCTAGTTGAACATAAAGGTTGTGGAGGTCATACGTGTTTCGTAAAGCAAATCAACTGACGATGAGACCTTATAATTTCAGAGTGCCTGACACCGGCTGATTCTATCTCGTCCGTAATACGGTAATTGTATACCTGATCGGGACTCAAAGCACCGTAATCAGACACGCGTGATAGTGTCAGTCCTATGTAAACTGCCATACTTTATATAACTTGTTGTGGTGCAAGTTGATGAAAATGTTTAAATATCTGGGTTTTTAAAATCTGTATGAGCATAAAATAAAAGTTAATATAAAATGGTCACCACTGCTATTTAGCACTTTATCTTAACTCCAACACTAACATCTCGCCTTTTTTCACAACTTCAATTCGCTGTCAAAGCCAGAGCGCGAGGCTATATATATTGTTTTTAATATACGGTACATCAGGGCATCTTTAAATTGGATTATTCACTTTTTAGTTTTGCAAAATTATGAACTGCATTAAAAACGTAAAGTAAGAGAAAAACGCTCTTAAACGTGATATCATCACGGATTCACTTCCTTAACTTTCTGTGAGAGAAAAGAATTGATGGAGAGATATTTGACTCTCAATTACAGTAATTGTAACGATCATCTTCTCCTGACACGCCATATTTCAGCTCCTACAGAGACAGTCCTGTCTTGATGGATGCATTGGTTGGTTGTCTCTTGAGGCATGAGAGGGTAAAACACAGCTAAATCCTTAATGATTTCATGACCGATTTCAATATCAGATCTTAATATAAGTAGAAAATGTCAACGGCATATTTTCTACAAAGAAAATAATAAAGAGCTGTTGCCCTGCCATACCCCCTTAATTAGAAATACCGGGCGCCAGCCAGCACTATAAAAGAGAAACATTTTACAGAAGAACATTTCAGTAACCACGATGGGTCAGATGAAACTCTCCCTCCTGTTGCTGTTAAGTTGTGTTGTGCACAGGACTGTTGCACAACAGAATCCGTTTACACAACAACAACAGAACTTTCTTACTGTACAACAGCAGCAGCAGCTGTTGTTGCAGCAACAAAGATTGCAGCAGCAGCAACAACAACAGCAGCAGCAACAACAGCAGGGGATGAGTGGGATCTCCATGCAGCCGGCACCAGGTAAGATTTCTTTTCAAAAACTAATATCTACAGTAGAACCATCTGACTTGTATGATGCGAGCCAGGAAGAAAGACCAGTCTTTTTTATATTAAAATGAAACTGTGTTTAAGAACAATGGTAAGGCGTAAATGATCTGTTTTAAACAATTAAACTACGTAAGTAGCTGAAATGAAAACACAACAGAGATTCGAGATTATGCATACAGAGATAAATGATGACAATAGATGAAAATGTATTTCGGTAGGAAAGAGCGAAATTATGGTTCTTCACGTGAAGCTAAGTATGAGCAAAAAATAAAATAAAATAAATAAATAAACATGTAAATAAAATAATTAAATAAAAATATCGAAAGCGCGATTAAAATACGCTTCATGTAGTATTTCTCGCCAAGGAATTATTTGATTTGGCTGTAATATGTCAATAGTTGTTTGATACACCATCTGAAACTGCTTCACTGTTCTTTGATGGAAAACTAAATACCCTTGCCTTCTGAAAAGATCGTTTTAAAAATTTGATTCAAGATTGACAAGATTTATTTGGTCTGGATGTATTATTGTTACATCTTATTATTGTTAAACACAATATTCTCTATATGAAGCTGAAAGAAAGAACACGCGAGTTTTAACTTCTTTGAAACTCTACAAGTCGCAATATCCTTATATGACGTGTTGGGAACTTTCTTTTAGGGACACAACCGCGTTTTTCATTCTATTCTATGCCAGAATTCTACAGTTCACAATAAGTTAAAATGGAAGGATTATGATGTATTTATAATTGCACAAAAGAAGTAAAAAAATCCATTCACCTTTCCACGCAAACATTGCCGATGTCTTTCAACCGACAAGCTTGAGATGTAAGTATATATGAAATAATGCCTATTTAGAACCCGGTTTGGATTCTCAGTTGAATCACCAGTCAGTTAGGCAGTATTTGCAAGTCTAACTGGTTTATTTACCAGGTCTGTTACCAAACTGCTTGTTTCAAGATTTGCCAGCTATTTCCCCGTCGAGGTTTATAATTATCGCCCGACCGTGTCGAAGCGTTAAACTGATAGGATGTTAACTGGCTCCGAATTGGCACGAGACTACCTTGATAAACTCGAGCGTGTGACCGCGGTCAGATCGTGACCATTTTCATAGTAATTAAGCCTTCATAAACCATATGGTACTTAACCAAAGCATGTCACAAGTGAATCGGTCAGAGGTGGTTTGATTGTTGATATCAAATAAATTGTTATTTTTGTCAAGAGAATTGAATATACATAGTATATTTAATATCATATCTAATATCAAAACATCTAAAAAAATCTCATTTGTCTTTTGTATGTACTTTTGGTTTTTCACATATCATACTTGGTTTAATTTAATATTTGATACGCCAGGAGCATATCCCCATCTCCACTGATTTCCTCAAAAAGCTGTTCCAAAGTGTATTTGAATAACTCTGTAATTGTTTCATTCTCTATTTCTCGCTTGTGACAAAGCATAGATTTACAAATCATAATATAATATAATATAATATAATATAATATAATATAATATAATATAGTATAATATAATATAATATATTTTTCCTTTAATGTATAATACTTTAACAGATCTCAATGAGCTATTAGCAACGATTAAAATGTGCAAGGAAATTACGACTTCCAGTTAAATACCGGTGTTAGATAGGCATCATAGCGGTACATGCAACGATGCAATAAATTAGGCCTTGTTAACGGAAAATGTTAAGTGGCACTCACGTAGTTTATACAGCGTCTGTTAAGTGGTTACAAAATTGGAGACCATTTCCGTGGAGTCGCGGTGTCCATATCGCTGGTTATCGTTTTCAATCTTTTCTAATGGCAATGTAATTGGCCAGCTTGTTATATATAAGATGGAAACTGATATGAGAGTAACTTATACAAAGCGGCTTACCTACACACTGATCCACCAGTCGGTCAATACCCGGCACAATGGACATGTTGATATCTAATTGATAAGTCAATATGTTTGGATAGTTGCTTACTTTTCGACACACCCACTTGAACACTTCTGTCACGACATGCAGATATTTCTTGAAAATTTCAAAGAAAATGAAAATGCATTGTATTTAATCCCTGTTCAGAAGATTTATTAACATGTTTTCCTTCCCTGCTGTGATTAATCACGTACAATTGCGCTTAAAGACGTTTTTCCAGTTGTAATAAGATACCTTATCACCGTAAGCGTTTAAAAGTTCAGAAATTGTCTTCCGAGGTGTGTGTGTGTGTGTGTGGTGGGGGGGGGGGGGGTCCAGTTTTCTCTAACTGAGAACATCACCGTATTTGGCAAAAGAAGTGCAAATAATAGGCAAGGTAGAACGCGCAACACTGTCATGTAATAATATCAAGGGGATAAAAAAAGGACAAATACAATTTTGGACTGAAGTCTTCTACTTGTATTACCTAAGGCACAATCGAGCAGTTCAAATGTGGTAGATTTAATCTTATTATTCTTCTTCTTAATCTGATTGCTTGCAAACGATAAATTCCCACCCAGGTTTTATAAGGCCCATTCTTCTGCAGATATAAAAAGGTCATATTGCTAAGATCCAAATTTTCCATGGAGGGCTTTTATTTTGCATACAGACTTCAATCAATGCTGCAGTTTACCTCATCAGAATATTTTCATAATGGGTGCAAATAATTACTATATTTATTTAATTAGAAAATACGCAACATATTTTTCATACGCACCAAGTTTGTTATGAACGCATATTTTCATTGTGCCCTTCCTCCTGTGTGAGAAATTTGATCGAATATACGAGATAACACTCAAATGCTTGATTAAAATATCATTTGCGTGACAGAAAATGTGGTAGTGTCACATCGTGTCTGTAGCCAAATAATTCTTACCTGCAGACCCCCTTAATTGACCACCTTCTTTTAATGAGTCACTATTCTCTATTAACAAAAGCCTATAATTTTGAATCGTCTTCTCCTTATCGTTGTTCTTATGGAAATGATCCTGACGTATTCATAATGTGTACAGAATTGGTGCCAATACACAAGGACAATATAAAATTTATTTAATAACATCCCTAGATTTATTTAATAACATCCTTATGCGTTTTCCCCCGGGAAAAGTTGCTGATTGACTATTAAACCTGAACTTGCGGTTTCGTCAAGGTCAAAGTAATGCTGTTGACGTTGAAAATGTTTAGTTTTATTTCTTTTTTCTTGAACTCGTGGCGTGTTTTGTCACGTTAACAATATCTCAACTATCAAAAAATATAATGAAAAGAGTTGGAATTTAGAAGATGGGTAGGGTTTTGTATAACGGGAATGTCTTTTCATGTCTCCAAATGCAAAGCAAGTTGACAGGAGATGTGTTTTTATTAGCTAAAAGATCATTATACGCGATTTACAATATGAACTTTATAAAGATTGAATTTGAAAAGAAATACGGAGAAAAATCATTATGCTAATTGTTTTTCGTTTAATTCTTTCATTCAAATTTAAAAAGCCATTATCTCGGTTGTATACTAATTTAACTTAAATTTTGGCAGATGCATAAAATAGATGGCCTAATACCAAAGTGACATAATAAAAATTATGTTGCAATTTTCCTTGAAAACCAATAATGCTGATCACCACTTACTTGCTCTTTTTTCTGAATTCAGCGGCACCATGTCAGCGCGACGGACAATTTGTCAAGGATATGAACAACCACTGCATATTTTACAAATGTACTCTCGGTTTGGGAGGATTTGAGGCCAACGCCATGTCCTGTGCCCGTGGTACGGGTGTACCTGATGAGTACGGGAGAAGCGACCAATATCCAGATACACAGAACCCATGTACCCTTCTTTCAGATGGGCGTGGAGCTCAATGCGGGGAACAGACCAGACAACGTTAGTTAAAATTAGTGAAGAAAGTTGTTTAAATACTTCTTGTTGCTTTTAATGTGCATGGATATCAATTTATATAGTCATTAATTGAATGGTGCATTCGTCGCATGCTAAGTTTCCTTTGTGAAAATGTTGATCAGCGTTTTTCTAGTAGAATTTATAGAATCGACATTTGCACAGGGCCCAACTCGACATCACAAAAAAGCCACAGGCAGTGAATATGAATGACCTGTAACGTAGATTTGTTTGAGGTCTTATCACTTCAAAATTTAATTAATGATCAAGGTAATCTGTAGGAATAACCCAAAAAATGAATTTCTGCACATTTTTTGGTAAACTGATCATTTTCCAATGTTAGTTGCACTCCAACTGAACCAACAACGCCGTCTAGGCTCAGTCCAGCAGAACCAATTGAACCAGAATCAATTCAACCAGAATCAGTTTGGACAAAATCAAGGTACGTATGTGTCCATTTTAACAGTAGGGCTCAAATTACGATACATAGGTAATTTTATCTGTTCTTTTAATAATAAATCAAACTAGATATAATGTGACAGTCAAACTACAATGCTATAATTCAAAATGAAATGATAATTTTCAAGATAATAATGCTCGATTGGAATACTATATTTTGGGTATTTGTATCTGCATGAAAAGAAAAATATTGATACATTTGATATCTTTAACATGGCCTTACCTACTTGCTTTTAGGTATCGGTCAACAAGGACAAATTTATAATGCAAACGGGCAGCTGATAAGTGGCAGTCAGAGTAAGAACAACTTCACACCATTGTGGCTATGCAAATGTTTGATAAATCAAGATATATTGACTTATCCTTGAAGATAACAGCCCGTTTTCATTGCAAAATAAACCTTGTTTCTCATAAATACTCTCAAACTATCAACCACTATGTCAAATCTTAATTCTATCTTTTTAGCATGTTCCGGGGGACAAATTTATACAACCTGTGGTTCGCCATGTACCAGAACATGTGCCTCTCCCAGCCAGCAGTGCAACCTGGGAAATCAGTGTGTAGCACGTTGTCAGTGTCCACCTTCCGCCCCATTCTTTCACCAAAACAGGTGCATTTCACAATGTCCATCAGGTTCCTCTGGAAGCATCGCTGGAATTAACACCGGTATAAACAATCTTGGGTCAGGTACAAGTAAGTTGTCATTTGAATGTTTGCGATGTCGTGGCATAGTTGATTACCTACACGTTGCATTGCCCAACGTTTATGTGCACACGAAACCTGTATGTGTAATTCATTTGTACAAATGTTGTTACCGCTTGTGTCCCTCACATGTATAAGTACACAGCCCCGTATATACTTTGTCAATTAACATCATGTCAAGTATTTGTAATATGTGGTTCTTCTTGCAATCGTGCGTGCAAAAACATCAACCTTGTATAGTTAGATATGGAACATGTCTGCTAATTAAAAGCACTATTTCCTTTATGTTCATTATTAGCTTCTCCATAAAATGAAGGGTCATCTAATTTTCAATAGGAAAAATGGAAAAAAATTGAGCATGTGTCTCTAGATGAATTCAGTTGACTTAGTGCTTATGCACTCGACACGTGTAGTCAAAGACACAAAAACATTTCCCTTATAAGCTAGTCTGTGAATTCGCCTGCTTACTTCAGCTTGTAGCGGCGGTCAGTTTTTTACGCAGTGTGGCTCAGCATGCACCCGCACCTGCCAGAGAAGGAATATTGCTTGCACTCAGCAGTGCGTTGCAAGATGTCAATGCCCATTTTCAAAACCGATATATCACAATGGGCAGTGTGTTGAAGAAAACCAATGCCCAGGTGGAACCGATGTCGGGATATCCGGGGTCGCCCCTACAAGTAAGCTCTAAGAAATAGACCTAGATTAAATGTGCTTTTGAAAAATACCTACAACCACAGGGAATTGCCCAATGACAGATGCTTATCTTTACCCTGAAAATCTAGAAAATAGTCAAAACCCCTCAAAACCAAATATAAAGTAAAATGTGTAGGAATAAGATTTGGGTGCATGCTTAGTTTTGTATGATCTCATTGGTAGTCATACAGTACTAGATCTAAACCAAACTATTAGTAGAGTATATGAATAGAATCTACTAGAATTATATTTGAATAGAAGTTTTAACTAATACCTTTAAAAAGGTAAAAGAACAATACAGAGTATTTAGAGAATTTAGTTAGAATCTTGATAGTATGCTTTAAACCCTGAATGTTTCTGATATAATAAGTATGTTGAATATAAATGGGTCGCAAATAATTTTATAGGGACTGTTAACGGGATTTTGGTGCGACGAAATACAATAATATTTGTACTAATTTTACATGTAGGACCACTCCTCCATTTTGGTTAAGCCATATAAACGATGTCGTTTTTCTTGTATTTTATTTTATGCAACAGGATATTAGTATTCTTTCCAAAGAACGATCCAGTGTGCATTTGGACATTACTAAAGGCTATCCCAAAGTTATTAAAAACACGGAAATCCCATACACTGTCCCCTTTTACTCTTACTGCGCATTGTTCATTCAAAAATGGACAATCCATTTTTGAATGAACGATGTACAAAAACGGTGAATCCCTGAAGAGCAGTATTTTGTTTTAAAGTTTTCCTTGTTTTTTTTCCCCAAAATTGGACTCTATATTCCATATCGACATGAAGGTCTATGCAAGGTGAAAGTGGTAATTAAAACGGAGATTTAACAGGAAAAATACTATTTCCTAGACAGTTGCACAGATTGATAATAACAGACCGTCTTAAACCCCCCAATATTGTTCTCCGATACCAATTAACGGCTGTTACACGGGAAGGTATAAGATACAATTAGACACTGCTCCACCTTGCACAGACTTGTGTAGTGTAGAATGTGTGTATTAATCTAGTTGTCAGATGATTGCATTTACTTGGTGTAGGATGTAGCGGTGGTCAGGTGTTCACTCGCTGTGGGTCAGCATGCATTCGCACGTGTGACAACCCAAACCCCAAGTGCACGGGCCAGTGTGTACAGCGATGTCAGTGTCCATTCAGTAAACCAGTAATTCACAATGGACAATGCATCCAAGCGTACCAGTGTCCAAGTAGAATCCGTTGGATCTCATCTCAGAACAGCGGCTCCGTATGTAAGCGAACAATTTTATAATACATGGTTTATCTATTCCGTCGTGGAACACTTTCGTTTTATGGAAAACGCATTTTACAGGGAAAGCTAAATGGAGATAATTATTCATAGATGCAGCACCAATGGATGCAGACGATTGAGGTGGTTGTTAACTTGTAGAAAATGAATGTCACTTCAGTTAACAGGCATGGGACTTGTAACATCGGTTTAACTTTAGTCTGGTGAAACTCATCTAAATCTGGCGAAGGGGAGATAAGAAAATGAATTGAGGGTGAAATATTTTTAATTTAGTCATCTTAGTCTAATTTAGACATATTTTGATGAACTTTACTTTTATAGGGCAAAATTAACAGAAGATGTTAATTTCGGTTTTACGTTTCCAATAGTAAATCTAACGAACAAACGGATTAAATATAGAGCCACCATATACACGTATACTTAAAAAAAAAAAACACAATTCCATGCATTTCCACTGCCAACCACTATTGTATCTGAACCAGTCTTTGTTGTACCAATCTGTATGTTATAACTGTTATTTGTAACATTACTGGTGTTAAATACAAATAGCGTGTTTTAGTTTGCAGTGGAGGACAGATATACACGCAGTGTGGGTCTGCCTGCACTGCCACCTGCATAAACAGGCGACCTCGATGCACTCAATCATGCGTCCCACGCTGTCAGTGTCCATCGTATCGTCCTATCAATTATAACGGATTGTGCATCCAGGAAAATCAGTGTCCGCCTGGTTCTTCTGGTACGGGAGGAATCATCTATTGTAAGCTCAGTTTATCGTGTGCTTACTGACATCTCTCAGCCTGACAATAACAAAACTGTTTGAATAGCTTTGAGATATTTATGTACAACATTCAGCAGATGATTTAACTAACTTCTGAGTTTATTTTGATGTTTGGATACCTATTAACACACTTATCGACAACCAAAGAAAATGTTTTGGAGGCATTGCAAATCAACTTTCGCATTTTGAGATAATTTATAAACTCTGTTTCCCATAACAAATACTCCCAACAATCTAAATGTATTTTTTCATACCTCTTTGAAAATTGGTTGAATATCAGGCAGAAGTGTGCTTATGCCTTTTTCTAATACAATCATAACCAGTTAGATTACGTAGCGTTTTAATGCTGGAAGTGAGCCCATTAACATCAGTGACGTGACACAATATACAGGGTACACGAAGTCCTGTCTATGCTACAGCGGTGGAGTTTTAAAGGGCAAGAAACGACAACAGCGATAACAACACCCACCGTGTCTCCCTAGCCGTCAATATACATTTAAAGGCGACAAGAAATGCATGAGTTGGGATTACTGGATGCAAGGGCGTTGAATCATAATTGCCATGCAAGCTATGGCATTTTCAGTGCCGTACAATTGCAGGTTCATCATAGTATCATTTTCCTCATTTATAGATAAGATATGCAATATTACTTTCTAACATGTGAATTAATATATATGATCACCAGTTTCACAATATGGTTTGCTTTACAGGTAGACATAACTGTGGTGTTACTATCTTCTTCTTTTTTTTTTTTTATCTATTTGCTATCTGTCATCTATATCCTTGTCAGAAAGCATGCTGCTTGAAAATATCTAAATGGTGTAACCCAACTTCTATACTGTCAATTATTACTGATGATTAATTTATACCCTTTTGTTCTAGAACTGTAACAGCGTGTTAACTTAATTCATTCTTTTTTAATATAATTTACTAGACACTCAGTGTACATTCAGCTTAGATGAGTTAACGATACTTATCCTTTCAAGTTTAAAGTAAAGAACACAGAATTTTAACAAAACATTCCGTGCAATGATTAGAAATACTTAATACGTTTGTAATGATTACAGTATTATTTCGTTGATGTTAGTCTTTTTGTCCGGTGCTTTTAGACGTTTTTAACTAGGGTGTCATTGACAGCGTGTCTAATCAAAGATCATTAACCGTTTTACATTGCTTACTATCTTCATGTAAACATCAAGAGGAGCATATGATGTCATTCATCTCTGCAATTTCTTTCGTTGTTTTATCTATATTTTTATTTTCTTCCGTTACAGCATGTACTGGCGGACAGACCTACCAGCAGTGTGCTTCTCAGTGCTCATCTACATGCTACCAACCCAATATTGGCGTGCCGTGCACTTTGCCATGCCGCGCTGGATGTGCTTGTCCCGCTGATAAACCTTATTGGCATAATAACCAATGTTACTCTCAGATACAATGTATCACCTTTGCCCGTGCCAGTGCCACACTTTTCTCTGGAGCCAGTGGAGTGTCAAACACAGGTGGCGTTTCAACCCAGTGTATGTATATCTTGTTCTTTTAAAACCAAATGGAACGGAAATCCAACTTTTTTTTACGATATGTTGGGTGTTAGTTCTCAAAAAATTATATTCCTTTTATTTTCCTTAAACTTATGAAATTGCTGTTAATAGATGTTGGCAATGGCATCATGTACAGGCATCAAGTACTGCCTGGCCTATCTTCTAGGTCTCCTTCGTTTTGACGAGTGACCCTGATGAATAACACAACTTTACATTAAAGTTTGCGCTGGAGGTCAGATATACTTCGTGCTCTGAATGTGCATCCATATTATACTAACATAATGTGCTGGTACCATCGAGTTTTTGACCAAATATGTACTCCCACTGATAAGACATAATTACCACCATGACAACCAATGTATTTGCACATGCAATGTTCATCCTATGCTTGAGGCAGTGTTTCACTTTTTTCTATCACTAAAGTAATTAGTCGAAGTATGCCTATAATAATAAAGTTTTCGTGATGTACAAATGTTTGAAATTGAATAAGGACAGGATAAGTTAAACTATTCCAAGGCAATGTTAGACCACCAACAGCTTTAACGTGTGCAACATGGGGCAGAAAGAATCTTTGATATTGGATCTAAGGCCATTTGCAAACCTTTGCAAAGAATTTCTATTTAGAAGAAACGCGTGATATGTCCCTTAATTTTACATGTAACATTTTAGTTTCTGTATGTGAGAGAACTCGCTTTTTATTTTTACTTTTTTTGCTTTAGATGCTTTCATTTAACTTTAACTATTGCTTCATTCTTTTAAACCATTTACTGCTGATGTTATCACTGAAATTTCATCAAAATACTGTAAAACTGCGCGTCTCTATTTTTGTGAAATACGTCAAAATGCCACGTACATGTATTGTCGTTCAATACAGTTGTTTCTTCAGTTATTTTACCAATGGCTGAGCTTATTCGCTTCTGCTTTGTTGCGTTACAGCTTGCACTGGTGGACAGACCTACCAGCAGTGTGCTTCTCAGTGTTCATCTACATGCTTCCAGCCAAACATTGGCGTACCGTGTAATTTGGCATGTCGTGCTGGATGTGCTTGTCCATCTGATAAACCATATTGGCATAATAACCAATGTTACTCTCAGATACAATGTATAAACTTCGCGGGAGCAAGTGCTACACTTTTCTCTGGATCTAGCGGAGCTTCAAACACAGGTGGCGTTAGTGGTGGTTCAACCCAGGGTATATATTTATATCTGTTCCTCGCTTAATTGATAAAGCTTACTGACATAATAACCAATGTGCCTTTGAGATTCAGTGTGCTTCCTCTGCTGTGGTCAGTGTTTTTCAAGTCAATGGTCCTGAAATTGAATAAAATTCAGAGATATATATATTATATTTACCATAAATCATGCAGTTGCTCGATGGCACTTAATAGTTTGAAAAGCAGCTCTGATTAAACACAATTCAATTTTTGAGCTTTTTGAGCTTATTTGCTTTTGCTTCGTTGCGTTACAGCTTGCACTGGTGGACAGACTTACCAGCAGTGTGCTTCTCAATGTTCATCTACATGCTACCAACCAAACATTGGCGTGCCGTGTAATAGGGCGTGTCGTGCTGGATGTGCTTGTCCATCTGATAAACCATATTGGCATAATAACCAATGTTACTCTCAGATACAGTGTATCACCTTTGCCGGTGCTAGTGCTACGCTTTTCTCTGGGGCCAGTGGAGTTTCAAATACAGGTGGTGTTAGTGGTGATTCATCACAGTGTAAGTATATCCATTCTGTTTTACATATAATAAGTTCACTGTTATATTAACCGATTCCGTGTGCTTCTTTTGGTGGTGCTATAGTGCTTCATTTTCCCCTAACTTTTACTCAAGTCAGAGTGTCTTACATTTTTACAAAAAAATGTATTACATAAGCCATATGGAGGCACCAATGAATTTCTCGGGCCTATTTGGCTTGCTGTTCTGTTGCTGAGCTTATCTCGCTTCTGCTTTGTTGTTTTACAGCTTGCACTGGTGGACAGACCTACCAGCAGTGTGCTTCTCAATGCTCATCCACATGCTACCAACCAAACATTGGCGTACCGTGTAATTTGGCGTGTCGTGCTGGATGCGCTTGTCCATCTGATAAACCTTATTGGCATAATAACCAATGTTACTCTCAGATACAGTGTATAAACTTTGCTGGTGCCAGTGCTACACTTTTCTCTGGATCTAGCGGAGCTTCAAACACAGGTGGCATTAGTGGTGGTTCAACCCAGGGTATATATTTATATCTGTCCCTCGATTAACTGATAAAGCTTACTGTCAAAATAACCAATGTGCCTTTCAACTCCACCACTCCGCCACCCTTGCTTATGGAAGTGCTTCACCTTTTTTTACCACTTGTTAATTGTCAAGTCAGAGTGTGTCTTTTGTTGTAAACAAAATAACGTTTAACATTTAACCTATAGATTCAGATGCACTTTGGGATTCATCAGTGTATTTTTACCTGCTTTTTAATTGCACAATATTATGTGTCCTGTTGCTGAGCTTATTTATTCTGCTTATTTACGTTACAGCATGCACTGGCGGACAGACCTACCAGCAGTGTGCTTCTCAATGCTCATCTACATGCTACCAACCAAACATTGGTGTACCGTGCAATTTGGCGTGTCGCGCTGGATGCGCTTGCCCATCTGATAAACCATATTGGCATAATAACCAATGTTACTCCCAGACTCAGTGTATCAATTTTGCTGGTGCCAGTGCTACGCTTTTCGCTGGAGCCAGTGGAGTTTCAAATACAGGTGGCGTTAGTAGTGTTTCAGTTTAGTGTGTATCCCGTCGGAACTAGGTTACAATCCGTCGCCATAAAACAACGTTTGACTCAGCCGCCAAACTTCCCTTTATGTATTGAGTGATTACTTCCACTTGCCATACTTGTGTTTGCCATACTGATGAGGCTAACTGCTATTAAAAACCAATACCCCTTGCAGATACAGTTTCCAAACATACCGTGTTGACAATCATTACTTTTTCAGTTATCGTATCATTTATATAGAAAGTTTCAAAATGTGTCTCAAATGTCTATTTGACAAAAAGAATATTGATATTTTCTTTGAGATTTACACAGGCATATGCTGTGAAGATTGGGAATTGTGCTCAACTGTACAAGAGAAGGGCGCAATTCTAAGTCTCCGATTATTTACTTTTTTGTTTCCTTTTCAAATAGTTTGCAGCGGAGGGCAAACTTTCACGCAGTGCCTGTCAAAGTGCGATGTGAAAACGTGTTACAACATTAACCAGAACCAAAACTGCAACAATTTCGCCCCATGTCGGTCTGGATGTGAATGTCCCAGCACAAAGCCTTACCTCCACAACGGACAATGCCGAACCCTGATGGAGTGCCAGATGACCCTTAGTGGTAGTGGCGGCAGCCAAAGTAAGTAAGCTTGTATGTTAAACTGAAAAGCTTGGTGCCATATTAACCATTCTTGCAAATTCTGTATGCTTCCTTCGTTGGTGCCACTGTTACACTTCTGAATGTTTATGTACTTGTCTGCTGACATTTACTGTGGTGATGTGTTCAGAGATATATAAATGTTTATCAGTAATCACACGGCTGCACTCTGGGATAAAAAAAGTTTGTTTAACCTGTAGCTTTTATTAAACAATATTCTATGGCTGAGCTTTCACTTTATTGTGTAACAGCTTGCACTGGCGGACAGACCTACCAGCAGTGTGCTTCTCAATGCTCATCTACATGCTTCCAACCAAACATTGGCGTACCGTGTACTTTGCCGTGCCGCGCAGGATGTGCTTGTCCATCTGATAAACCTTATCGGCATAATAACCAATGTTACTCTCAGACTCAGTGTATCAATTTTGCTGGTGCCAGTGCGTCGCTTTTCTCTGGAGCCACTGGAGTTTCAAACACAGGTGGCGTTAGTGGCGGTTCTAGTCAGAGTATGTATATCTTCTTATAAAAAAAGTTAAATGCATTACAGCATAGCTTCATTGTTTGTAAAAGTGCTTTTCGGCTTGTTTTATGGGATGATGGGATAAAACTTGTTTTGATTCACAATGCATTTCCATCATCCGTTGAAGAGAGCGCCGTGTATTTATATTTACATGTTCTCCAGCAAAATCTGTTTTCTATTTCGTTGAGTATTGACATTGATAAAAACTAAAATCTTACCCAGTCTGTTTTGCTAGCGCACTGAACATTTTGGGTTAATGTGTTTTCCCACTGATAAAATTAATCAATCTTGAATTGGAATGATAGGCAATGCGATGTGCAGATTAACTGCGCTTCTTTACCGGTGCCAATACTTTATTTCCACTAGCACCTATACGCTTTGACTGATGTTTTTAGAGTTAAATAATTGTTTAACATTAATTAATTAATTGTAAAGATGCATTATGTGATTCAAAAATCTTTTAAATTTGTAGCATTGGTTGCAAAATGTTCTATGGCTGAGCTTATTTGCTTCTGCTTTGTTGCGTTACAGCTTGCACTGGCGGACAGACCTACCAGCAGTGTGCTTCTCAGTGCTCATCTACATGCTACCAACCAAATATTGGCGTACCGTGTAATCTGGCTTGTCGCGCTGGATGCGCATGTCCATCTGATAAACCTTATTGGCATAATAACCAATGTTACTCTCAGATACAGTGTATCACCTTTGCTGGTGCCAGTGCTACGCTTTTCTCTGGTGCCAGAGATGTTTCAAACACAGGTGGTGTTAGTGGCGGTTCTAGCCAGTGTATGTATAACTTGTTAAAAATGTTAATTGCATTACGGCATGGCTTCATTGTTTGTAAAAGTGATTTTCAGCTTGTTTTATGGGATTGGTGGGCTAAAATCTTTTGTGATTCACAACGTATTTCCATTAATTGCTCTCCAGCAACATTTGTTTCCCTTTTCGTTGACTAGCGAGGCTGAATAATTTAGCAACATTACTTTTTATCTTTCCCAGTCTACTTTGTAAATGCACTGAACATTTCGGATGTATGATTTCCTCCAATTGATGTTTGTCACTGATTTATAAGAATAATAATCAATGCACTTTGGAATTCACTGTGCTTCCTTTACTGGCGCCAGTGTTCTATTTTCACTAGCACCAGTAAGGTTTAAGTGACGTTTTAGTTATATAATTGTTTAGCATTAATGGAATAAAATGCATTATGTAATTCAAAAATCTATTAAATTTGTAGCATTGTTGCAAAATGTTCTATTGTTGAGCTTATTTGTTTCTGCTTTGTTGCGTTACAGCTTGCACTGGCGGACAGACCTACCAGCAGTGTGCTTCTCAATGCTCATCTACATGCTACCAACCAAACATTGGCGTACCGTGTAATTTGGCGTGTCGCACTGGATGCGCTTGTCCATCTGATAAACCTTATTGGCATAATAACCAATGTTACTCTCAGGAACAGTGTATTAGCTTCGCTGGTGCCAGTGCTGCGCTTTTCTCTGGTGCCAGTGGTGTTTCAAACACAGGTGGCGTTAGTGGCGGTTCTAGCCAGAGTATGTATTACAACAAGGCTTTATTGTTTGTAAAAGTGCTTTTCGGCTTGTTTTATGAGATTGATGGGCTAAGGCTAGTGCACTGAATATTTTGGTTTTATGTCTTCCTACTCATTATTTTTATCACTGGTTTATTGAAAGAATAACCAATACCATTTGCAAATTCACTGTACACCCTTTGCTAATACTAGTGCAGGGGCGGATCGAGAGATATTTTCTGACAATCTTCCAAATTACCTTTGTTCATCCGTCCTCCATTTTGACCGTCTAACGACAGACAAATTAGATGACCTTCAATGTAAACTTGAAAAATTGGGATCGTCTTCCGGAAGACCCAGAAGACGGCCTCTATCTGCACCTGTAGTGTTTCATTTTTACTAGCACCAGTAAGTTTTTGGTGGTGTTTTTAGAGTTATATAAGTATTTAACATTAATCTCATAGATGTATTATGTGAGTCAAATTTTTTTCAATTTGTAGCATTGGTTCCACTGTATTCTATGACTGAGCTTATTTGTTTCTGCTTTGTTGCGTTACAGCTTGCACTGGCGGACAGACCTACCAGCAGTGTGCTTCTCAATGCTCATCCACATGCTACCAACCAAACATAGGCTTACCATGTAATTTGGCGTGTCGCGCTGGATGCGCCTGTCCATCTGATAAACCATATTGGCATAATAACCAATGTTACTCTCAGGAACAGTGTATCAGCTTCGCTGGTGCCAGTGCTTCGCTTTTCTCTGGTGCCAGTGGTGTTTCAAACACAGGTGGCGTTAGTGGCGGTGCTAGCCAGAGTATGTATATCTTCTTATAAAAATGTTTATTGCATTACGACAAGGCTTCGTTGTTTGTAAAAGTGCTTTTCAGCTTGTTTTATGGGATTGATGGGCTAAAACTTGTTTTGATTCATAATGAATATCAATTAATGGACGTTAAAGGGAGCTCCTTGTATTTTCATGCCCTCCGACAGAATCTGTTTCCTATTTCGTTGACTAGTGAGGCTGATAAATCACACATTACTTTTCATCTTTCCCAATCTATTTTGCTAATGCACTGAATTTTTTTTTTTTTTTTTTTTTTTTTTTTGTATCTACTTACTGATTATTTTTATCACTGGTTTATTGAAATAATAACCAATGCTATTTGCAAATTCACTGCACCTCCTTTGCTAGTGCTTGTGTTTCATTTCCACTAGCATAAGTAATTTTAAATGATTTTTAGAGTTATTTAAGTGTTTAACATTAATCGTATGGATGCATTATGTGAGTCAAGAAAATTTTCAATATGTAGCATTGGTTGCACTGTTTTCTATGACTGAGCTTATTCGCTTCTGCTTTTTTTGCGTTACAGCGTGCACTGGTGGACAGATCTACCAGCAGTGTGCTTCTCAATGCTCATCTACATGCTACCAACCAAACATAGGTGTACCGTGTAATTTGGCGTGTCGCGCTGGATGCGCCTGTCCATCTGATAAACCTTATTGGCATAATAACCAATGTTACTCTCAGATACAGTGTATCAATTTTGCTGGTGCCAGTGCTGCGCTTTTCTCTGGTGCCAGTGGTGTTTCAAACACAGGTGGCGTTAGTGGCGGTTCTAGCCAGAGTATGTATTTTTTCTTATAAAAATGTTAATTGCAATACGGCATGGCTTCATTGTTTGTAAAAGTGCTTTTCAGCTTGTTTTATGGGATTGATGGGCTAAAATTGTTTTGATTCACAGTGCATATCCATTAATCGAGGTAATGAACAGAGTGCCATATATGAACATGCTCTCTGACAAAATCTCGTTTCCTATTTCGTTGACTAGTGACGCTGATAAATCCCACGTTACTTTTCATCTTTCCCAGTCTTCTTTTGCTTGTGCACTGAACATTTTGGGTCAGTGTGTTTTCCTACTGATAACGTTAATTACTGGTTTATTTTTATATTACTTGCGATTTACAAATTCACTGGTCTGCTCTGTTGTGATTCATAAAACTTTTTGATTCGTAGCATTGGTTGTAAAATGGTCTATAGCTGAAGTTATTTACTTTTGCTTTGTTGCGTTACAGCTTGCACTGGCGGACAGACCTACCAGCAGTGTGCTTCTCAATGCACATCTACATGCTACCAACCAAATATTGGCGTACCGTGTAATAGGGCGTGTCGCGCTGGTTGCGCTTGTCCATCTGATAAACCTTACCGGCATAATAACCAATGTTACTCTCAGGAACAGTGTATCAGCTTTGCTGGTGCCAGTGTTACGCTTTTCTCTGGTGCCAGTGGTGTTTCAAACACAGGTGGTGTTAGTGGTGATTCCACCCAGTGTATGTATATCAGTTTTGTAATCTTGTGCGGGTTCCATACCAATGAAACGAAAATCTAAAGTGTTTTTTATTTTGTTTTAATATTTTCAATTTGTTTCATTGCTTGTAATGTTCTGTGACTGAGCTTATTCTTTTCTGCTTCGTTGCGTTACAGCTTGCACTGGTGGCCAGACCTACCAGCAGTGTGCTTCTCAGTGTTCATCTACATGCTTGCAACCAAACATTGGCGTACCGTGTAATCGGGCGTGTCGTGCTGGATGCGCTTGTCCCGCTGATAAACCGTATTGGCATAATAACCAATGTTACTCTCAGACTCAGTGTATCAATTTTGCTGGTGCCAGTGCTACGCTTTTCTCTGGAGCTAGTGGTGTTTCAAACGCAGGTGGCGTTAGTGGCGGTTCAACCCAGTGTATGTATATCAGTTTTGTAACCTTGTTCAGCTTGTCACACCAATGAAATGAAAACGTGATATGCGTGTGTGTGTGTGTTTGTTGTTGCTTTGTTAAATTATCTGTCTATACTTTTTCTTTTAGGTTTGTCAGTCATCAACTAATTCATATGTACATGTACAATGATTCGCCAACAATGAAACAATTCTATATTTTGCAATTAGCGTTTACTAAATTGCAACTTATCGACATTGTAGATACATGCATAGTCTGATAGACTTCCAGGCGAAACCTGCACCCTACATCTCGTTTACGGGTTTCCCCTGATGAATTGCCTGTCGTCGACTTCCATCTTGCATTGGTAGTCAGATCTACTGGCTGCGTGCTTTTTGCATATTGTAGAATTAACAAAAAATATACCAATTGGAATAACAGACATCTATTTTTCTTCTCTAAGCACTCAGATCATTTCTTAGACCATGCAAAAATGAGGAATTCAAATTTTTTTGAAGTGCTATAGCACCAAATTTGTTCTAAATGTATCAGACTTCATAACATTTTTTGCAAGATGTATTTAAATGTATCTCATCAGCTTTGATCAAATTATTTTATCAATGATTTCACTAACAATTACATGATGAAATTATAGGGAATATGAACAGTACTTAGTCTTAAACTGGCTAAGTTCTGTTGATATTCCCTATCATTTCATCGTGTAATATCAACAGTACTTAGTCTTAAACTGGCAATTTCCATGGGCGTCAGCAGAAAATTTTCCGGGGGGGGGGGGGGTCAAAGTCATCGAAGTGGGAGATAATGATTGGCTGGGTACCCGCAATTAATGTGCCCGCCAAAATTCCGGGGGGGGGGGGGGGGGGGAGTGACCCCATTGACCCCCCTCTGCGGACGCCCATGGCAATTTCTCAGAATTCAACAAGGATAAGGAGAACTGCAATCCTCCGAGTATATGCCTATATATGCGTGAAAAATGAAAAAAAGTGAAAAGCAAAACGTGCTAACCATCCACTTGATCACCATAACTGACTCTGGTAATTGGCTTTTTCAGCATGTTCCGGTGGACAAATTTACAGTAACTGCGCATCTCAATGTCCAAATACATGTTTCGAACTCAGACGCACGTGTAATAACCTCCCCTGTCAACCAGGCTGTGTCTGTCCGTCTCACAGGCCCTACCTACACAATGGCCAGTGTCACGACCTGAACCAATGCAGTCAAATAAATGGAGGTATTACCAGCACTGGATCCAATGCTGGCGCAACTGCAGGACAGTGTAAGTCTCTGACGGTGATTGGAGATAGGATAGAATGTTACTATAGAAGAATGATTTAAACAATATGTGGGAAATGAAATAGGCTCTACTGCGAGTTGTCTAATCCATGCATGAAAGCGATGTTGATATTTGATTAACACCGATTCCCTTTTTGTTTCTTTTTCAAATAGTTTGCAGCGGAGGTCAAACGTTCACGCAGTGCCTGTCAAAGTGCGATGTGAAAACGTGTTACAACATTAACCAGAACCAAAACTGCAACAATTTTGCCCCATGTCGATCTGGATGTGAATGTCCCAGCACAAAGCCTTACCTCCACAACGGACAATGTCGAACCCTGATGGAGTGCCAGATGACCCTTAGTGGAAGTGGCGTCAGCCAAAGTGAGTAGGCGCCCAACATGTATATAGCGTTAGTTTCCATTCGGTTGTTTGGACCATGCTGTGCATAAAAAATCTTCGGGGTGCTTCTTGTATTGGCACAAAATGAATGTGGTTGATTCCCACTTTATAACAAACGAGGTGGCTGATGGTATAATGCTTGCATGTCATTACAATTAATGAAGAAATGGTTATTTCTCGCGCATTTTTCTATGTCTGAGGTTATTCGCTTTTGCTTTGTTGCATTACAGCTTGCACTGGCGGACAGACCTACCAGCAGTGTGCTTCTCAATGCTCATCCACATGCTACCAACCAAACATTGGCGTACCGTGTACAAGACAATGCCGAGCTGGATGCGCTTGTCCATCTGATAAACCTTATTGGCATAATAACCAATGTTACTCTCAGGAACAGTGTATCAATTTTGCTGGTGCCAGTGTCACGCTTTTCTCTGGAGCTAGTGGTGTTTCAACTCAGTGTATGTATATTCATTCAGTGTATTACCGGTAAAACATACTAGCATAACTGCCAATGTTATTTGCCAATCCATTGTACTTTTTCGCTTGTGCAGGAGCTGTACTTTACAATAGCGACAATTCTATTAATTCGCGCATTTTTCTATGTCTGAGGTTATTCGCTTTTNTGCTGGATGTGCTTGTCCATCTGATAATCCTTACTGGCATAATAACCAATGTTACTCTCGGGAACAGTGTATCAATTTTGCTGGTGCCAGTGCTGCACTTTTCTCAGGAGCTGGTGGTGTTTCAACTCAGTGTATGTATATTCATTCATTGTTTTTCTGGTGTGACGATGCTGTTGCTGATGTTAAGCGAGGTAGCAAATACAACTCAGATATTATCTTTCATATTATTTATTTAACTACTGTCCAGTTGTTACCTGTGCCGGTCTCTTCATTTCTATTTCTACCTCATGCAACCTCTAGCGGCCTTCTCCCTCGTTTATATTATGCGCTGTTGTATAAATACCATAAGAGCATATCAACCAACTCAGGTTACTCTACCAAACACTCCCTGCTCTTATTCACTGCATACTGTCACTTACTAACATTACACTGGTAAAACATACTAGCATAACTGCCAATGTTATTTCCCAATGCATTGTACATTTGTTCGCTTGTGCAGGAGCTATACTTCACATTAGCGACAGTTCTATTGACAAGTGGCTTCTTTTGCACATTTCTTTCGTGGCTGAGCTAATTTGCTTCTGCTTTGTTGCTTTACAGCATGCACTGGCGGACAGATCTACCAGCAGTGTGCTTCTCAATGCTCATCCACATGCTTGCAACCAAACATTGGCGTACCGTGTAATTTGGCGTGTCGTGCTGGATGTGCTTGTCCATCTGATAAACCTTATTGGCATAATAACCAGTGTTACTCTCGGGAACAGTGTATCAATTTTGCTGGTGCCAGTGCTGCACTTTTCTCTGGAGCTAGTGGTGTTTCAACTCCGTGTATGTATATTCAGTCATTGTTTTACTGGTGTGACGATGTTTTTGCTGATGTTAAGCCAGGTAGCAAATACAACTCAGATATTATCTTTCATATTATTTATTTAACTACTGTCCAGTTGTTACCTGTGCCGGTCTCTTCATTTCTATTTCTACCTCATGCAATATCTAGCGGCCTTTTCCCTCGTTTATATGATGCGCAGTTGTATAAATACCATAAGAGCATGTCAATCAACTCAAGTTACTCTACCAAACACTCCCTGCATGCTGTCACTTACTGACATTACACTGGTAAAACATACTAGCATAAATGCCAATGTTATTTCCCAATGCATTGTACATTTGTTTGCTTGTGCAGGAGCTATACTTCACATTAGCGACAATTCTATTGACAAGTGGCTTCTTTTGCACATTTCTTTCGTGGCTGAGCTAATTTGCTTCTGCTTTGTTGCTTTACAGCATGCACTGGCGGACAGATCTACCAGCAGTGTGCTTCTCAATGCTCATCCACATGCTTGCAACCAAACATTGGCGTACCGTGTAATTTGGCGTGTCGTGCTGGATGTGCTTGTCCATCTGATAAACCTTATTGGCATAATAACCAGTGTTACTCTCGGGAACAGTGTATAAATTTTGCTGGTGCTAGTGCTACACTTTTCTCTGGAGCTAGTGATGTTTCAACTCAGTGTATGTATATCCATTCAGTGTATTACTGGTGTGACGAAGTTGTTGCTGATGTTACGCGAGGTAGCAAATACTACTCAGATATTATCTTTCTTATTATTTATTTTACTACTGTCCAGTAGTATACGCATTCAGTGCTTAACGGATAAAACATACTAGCATAATTGCCAATGTTATTGCGATTCATTTCGCGTGTTTCGCTAGTGCATGAGCTTTACTCTGCATTATTGAGAATTCTGTTTGACAGGTGACACAGTGTCTTGTAGTTGAGCTTATTTGCTTCTGCTTTATTCCATTACAGCATGTACTGGCGGACAGACCTACCAGCAGTGTGCTTCTCAGTGCTCATCTACATGCTACCAACCAAACATAGGCGTACCATGTAATTTGGCGTGTCGCGCTGGATGCGCCTGTCCATCTGATAAACCATATTGGCATAATAACCAATGTTACTCTCAGGAACAGTGTATCAACTTTGCTGGCGCCAGTGCTACACTTTTTACTGTATCCAGCGGAGTTTTAAATAATGGTGGCGCAAGTGGTATTTCAACCCAGTGTAGGCATTTACTTTATTTAAACTTGTTCAATGCGCCACGACATGATTTCATTGCTTGTAATAGTGATTTGACTATTTGTAGGATTTTGGGCTTGAGCTTTTCCATTTTTCGTTGTTTAACAGTATACCGTGAATTTGAATGCGTATTTGCAGATTATTTGTCTTTCCTTCATAAGCACTTGTAAAGTTTAAAACAGAGTTCACCTGAAATTGTGATATTCTTATATATATTTATATATAACGTTAATCATATAGATGCACTGTAGGATTATAAGACTCTTTGTAGTATGGGTTGCACTATGTTTAAACGTTTAGCTTTTTTGTTGCATTACAGCTTGCACTGGCGGACAGATCTACCAGCAGTGTGCTTCTCAATGCTCATCCACATGCTTGCAACCCAATATTGGCGTACCGTGTAATTTGGCGTGTCGCGCTGGATGCGCTTGTCCCGCTGATAAACCGTACTGGCATAATAACCAATGTTACTCTCAGATACAGTGTATCAATTTTGCTGGTGCCAGTGCCACGCTTTTCTCTGGAGCAGGTGGTGTTTCAAACACAGGTGGTGTTAGTGGCGCTTCCACCCAGTGTATGTATTTCTTGTTCTGTAGCATTCAACACATTTGAACAGTCTGAAACTAGTCCATCAGTTAATGAGGTGTACTGCTGGCTCATTGAAAACCCTTAGAAATACAAAATTGTTTTACAATGCTTTTTTGTAACTTTTTGACGTCGATCAATTCATAAAATGAATGAAATTGGTTTAACAAGGGTCTTGGTCTTGGAATGGTATGTTGCCAGCTATGTTGTTTCTGATGTGAATGTTTTACAGATTGGCGTCGCTGGCAAGATAATTAATGCGACATTAATATACAGTTACTCCCTTTTGCTAGTGCCATCGTTCCATGCTTTACTAGACTGCATGATTACTTGAAGTGTAAAAGTTGGTAGAACAAAGTGTTAAAGTTGTCTTAGTAGAACAGTGTTCAATGTATCAGACACATTTGCTCCTGTTGCTTGATAAATTCGTCGAGCCTACATGATAGACCAATTGTTATCTGTTCACATGCCTTTCATGTTGTCCTTTACTTTTCTAATAGCTTGCAGTGGAGGTCAAACGTTCACGCAGTGCCTGTCAAAGTGCGATGTGAAAACGTGTTACAACATTAACCAGAACCAAAACTGCAACAATTTCGCCCCATGTCGATCTGGATGTGAATGTCCCAGCACAAAGCCTTATCTCCACAACGGACAATGTCGAACCCTGATGGAGTGCCAGATGACCCTTAGTGGAAGTGGCGTCAGCCAGCGTAAGCAAGCGTTGCAATTCAATTTCAGACGTGACCCAATACGAGACCAATATCCCTGTTTAATCAACAAGTCGACCTGTTAAATGAACGTAGCGTGTAAAGAAACAGTTTAATTAGAAATATGGTGGAAAAGTAGAAATGAAATTTTTTTATCCTCCTACTATGCTCTTAGTATACATTTTCGTCAAATGTCAATTGCATTCTGTTATAGTGGGGACCCGAAGCATGGTAAAGGATGCCCGCATTGTTCAATCAACAATTACTTCACTTCTGTTTTTACCCGTATTAACATGAACAGATCGTCTTCACATTTATAGACATTCTATATGTGTTCACATGATATTCATTTTTTAACATTCTCCAGAATGCTCCGGTGGGCAAGTCTACAGTACCTGTTCATCTGGCTGTACTCGCACATGTTACAGTAACCAGCAGTGTCAACCTCGGTGTATTCCTGGGTGCGAGTGTCCGCCTTCGAGGCCATTTGTACACAACGGCCAGTGTGTTGACCAATACAGCTGCCCCCTGGGTACTCCAGGACGTACATCATCCACCCAGGGTTCTCAAAGTGAGTATACCTTGTGTCAACCAGCAGTTGTAGCGGTGTACTGCGCTATTTTCCTGCTTGTTAGAAAGACCCGAGATTTTTTGCTTCATATGGTTTTTCGTATCATTTTCATAATTTCATATATTCGTTTTGAGCTTTGTGTATTTGCTATATTTAAAATTAGAATAGAAAGCGATGCAGTGAACGTCACAATTGTGGGGTAAGGTGCTAGTCATTTATTAGGAGGTTTACTGCTTATTTGCTTTATTTCTGCTGATCTTACTTCCTGCTTTTCGATCGATTTTATTAGCATGTAGCAATGGCCAGTATTATACACTGTGTGCATCTTCCTGTCCACCAACTTGCGATGATCCAAACAGAAACTGCGGTCTCAGCTGCAACCCGGGTTGTGCTTGCCCTACAGACAAACCAGTTCTCTATAATGGTCAATGCATAGCACTAGAGCAGTGTCCTGGTTATAGTCAAACTAGTCAAACCAACAGCCAGTCTAGTTCTTCCACAGGTACATGTATAAGTAATGCTAGTTTCCATTAGCAAAAAGCTTAGCTTGCATTTGGAAGTAGAGTGATTGTATCAAATCGGTATGTTTAGCAATTGTTTGCTGTGTTGGGTAAATGTTAGATGTATAAATATAATAATAATAATAATAATAATAATAATACGTGTGCTCGGACAGAATGTATATAACAATGTCTAGTGTTTATGGCAGTGTGGGGGTGCGTTTATTAATAGAATTTCATGTTACATCTACCTTTTATTATTTATGTCTTGCTTTCCGATTGACTTTATTAGTACATGGCAACAGGACGTATCATACACGATGTAACATTGTACATGTTTCGCTTTATATATACATTGAAAAAATCTCAAGTTAACTTTGTCTATACAGTAAGTACAGTGCATGATTTGCAGGATTATATTTTCCTTGGTGATAATACAGATGCGTTTATTTGCTTAAAGTTCTGATGAAAGAATGAAGATAAATTTAAGGGTGAAACATGGTGGTTTGCCAGTCATACTGGACTTGATATTTCTTTTCATTTACAGTTCACCTTCAATATCACCATGTTAAACACATTATTTCAGGTTCAAACACGATGTTTTATACTACAAAGACACGTACATGTTAATATTTCATGAGTACCGTCATTTTCCTTTTCAGGTGTCGCCACGTCTGGCTCATCTGGAGTTATTCAGCCTGGAATCTTCCAAGGTGGTAATCTAGGTTTCACCAACAACCAAGGTATCAGTACGACAAACCAAGGCTTCAACAATAATCAAGGCTTTAACAATAATCAAGCCACCGGCACAAGTCAAAGCTTAACCAATAACCAAGGCTCGATAAATAACCAGGGCTTTAATAACAACCAAGGCTTTAACGTGAATTCAGGTATAACCACATCTGGATCTACAGGCGTAATACAAGGTACCAACCCAAACCAAGGTTTCATCAATAACCAAAGTACCAATATAAACCAAGGCTTTATCAACAACCAAGGTACCAACACAAATCAAGGCTTCATCAACAACCAAGGTCCTAACACAAACCAAGGTCTCAATAACCAAGGTATCAACCCAAACCAAGGCTTTAATAACCAAGGTATCAACACAAACCAAGGTAACATCAATCAAGGTTTTACTAATAATCAGGGCACTACCAATACCCAAGGCTTAACAAACATTCAAGGCTTCAATAACCAAGTTTATTCTAAAAACCAAGGCTTAAACGCAAATCAAGGTGTAAGCACATCTGGATCTACAGGCATCATTCAGCCTGGCTCTATTGGGGGGTTAAATAACAATCAAGGCTTCAATAACAACCAAGGTACCAACACAAACCAAGGCTTCAACAACCACGGCGTCAATAAGAACCAGGGCTTAAATAACCATGGGGCCACTTATAACCAAGGCTTCAGTAACAACCAGGACTTAAACATAAATTCTGGTGTAACTACATCTGGATCAACTGGAGTTCCCCAAGTTGGAGGGTCAAACAATAATCAAGGGCCTATCAATAACCCAACCACTAACATAAACCAAGGACTTAGCAATCAAATTACCGACACAAACCAAGGCACCAGTTCAAATCAAGGTTTTAATATTAACCAAGATTACATAAATAACCAAGAAACTAATACTAATAATCAAGGTTTTAACTCCAACCAAGGTATTAATAATAATATTCTAGGTGGGAAAACAAACCAAAACCAAACCAGTTCCCAAGGATTAAGAACCAGTGGTCAAGGCGCTAATACAAATCAAGTGCTGAACAGTAATCTAGGCTTAAACAATAACCTAGGTATTAATAACATTCAAGGCTTCAACAATAACCAAGGCACTCTGGGCACTAGTGGCGATGACGCTAGCAAAAATGAAAATGCAGGAAATATTGGTTCCATTGGAACTATTAGCGACAATTGTAAGTACAGCAGAAAACTTATATAACAGGCTTCAATAACTTCTTAGAAATATAATAAGATTTTAATTTTAGTTTGCACGTTTTGTGGGCATGTGTTTCAAAGTCCAATGTGTTCTAGTGTCTTCCATGTATTCAAATATTAACTTAGAAAGATAGCAATGCAGTCCATTTATTCCAAATAACACGCGTACTAACTACTCACAAGTCTCAGGACTTTAAAGGCAAACTGTTATACCTATTTATTTGTGTCTCTATCGATCTATATCGATATAGTTATCTACAAGTTGTCATACCATTATTATTATTTTGCCTTTTATTTGTACTTGTAGTAAGTATATTGTTAAACAATATAAGACACAGAATGAAATCTTATGTGACATTGAATCCTCCTAACATTTCCTAGACGAAGATGACCTGAATTGTCGTGTATTCTAGCTATAACGTGTCCCGCTGGCCAGATGTACGATAGCTGTGCGACCAACTGTCACAAGACGTGCTACAGTCCTAACCCAGTCTGCCAAGTTACCGGGTGCGTGCCAGGCTGCGTCTGTCCGCTCGATAGGCCCTTTGAAGATGCTGGACAGTGTAAACCTGCCATTGAGTGTCCTCTTGGATCGGCTGGAAGAAACCAAGCTGGAATTAGTGGAGTAGTTAACACAAATACTAACATATTCTCGTCACTGTTGACAAACTTCAGAGGCCAGCAACAGCAGCAGCAGCAGCAAGGGGGCGTCTCAACAAACAGTGGTAAATAATCCGTTTCCTCGAAGAAGTCTCAACACACTAAAGACGATATTTTTGTTTGCAGCCGTGAATTATTCTAAAAACTTATTAATCTGGTTATGGTCCGAACAGCAGGGTCATAGGGGGCGACAGTGGTAAATGCTAGTAAACATACCAAATGTCCATTTTAAAGCGAAAGTGTACCCATAGATTCTGTTACCCCTTAGCCTCTGCTATACGTACTAGTAACTTATCCATTGGCCTAAATTACTCTCTCCGCACCCCATCTACAATACACTGAAAAGCGCTAGAAGTAAGGATGAAAATTAGGTTAATCAGTTTCTTTTATATAAAATCAATAGGCTGTTTTTACAGATAGTGAGTGGAATTATCTGTCATGTAATCAATCAAATGATTATATTTAGACTTTTAAGTTAAAGCTGTTAAGGATAGATGATTCAGAATGCGTGATGTAACCCTTAAATTTCGGTGGTTATATTTACATTTATGTACATGTGACAGTGGTTGGAATGATACAGGATTTGATAGAACAGCAGTTTCCTTTTCATTTGGCTTGTCCTAAATGACCCCCCAAATGTCTTACTATTGTCAAAAGAAAATGATGTGGTCAAATACATAAATCTAGGATCTCTTTTCTAGTGCTATGTCCTGGTAACCAGGAATACAAAACCTGCGCCTCTGCTTGCGACAAAACGTGTGACGAACCCAACCCTCGTTGCGTGAAAAATTGCGTTAAAAGATGCGAGTGCCCGGCTGATAAGCCAATCCTCAATAAAAATGGCGTTTGCCAGCGCCTACAAGAGTGTCCTGTTAACCAGGCTGAGCAGACCGGGGGTATGAAAAAAAAAGGCATTTTGAAATAGTTCAAGCCTGTAGGACATAATGGGGGCTCAATGGGTTAGGCTGGGTTAGACTGAGATGGGAGTTTCAACGTAGAGCAGAGAATACATGTAGATGTATAGCACATTTCTCAAATATTGCTGACATCTTAGTGCGATGGATGCTCAATTCCGTGTGTTTTCGAATTAGGCTAGTAATTTATAANTACTAACTACTCACAAGTCTCAGGACTTTAAAGGCAAACTGTTATACCTATTTATTTGTGTCTCTATCGATCTATATCGATATAGTTATCTACAAGTTGTCATACCATTATTATTATTTTGCCTTTTATTTGTACTTGTAGTAAGTATATTGTTAAACAATATAAGACACAGAATGAAATCTTATGTGACATTGAATCCTCCTAACATTTCCTAGACGAAGATGACCTGAATTGTCGTGTATTCTAGCTATAACGTGTCCCGCTGGCCAGATGTACGATAGCTGTGCGACCAACTGTCACAAGACGTGCTACAGTCCTAACCCAGTCTGCCAAGTTACCGGGTGCGTGCCAGGCTGCGTCTGTCCGCTCGATAGGCCCTTTGAAGATGCTGGACAGTGTAAACCTGCCATTGAGTGTCCTCTTGGATCGGCTGGAAGAAACCAAGCTGGAATTAGTGGAGTAGTTAACACAAATACTAACATATTCTCGTCACTGTTGACAAACTTCAGAGGCCAGCAACAGCAGCAGCAGCAGCAAGGGGGCGTCTCAACAAACAGTGGTAAATAATCCGTTTCCTCGAAGAAGTCTCAACACACTAAAGACGATATTTTTGTTTGCAGCCGTGAATTATTCTAAAAACTTATTAATCTGGTTATGGTCCGAACAGCAGGGTCATAGGGGGCGACAGTGGTAAATGCTAGTAAACATACCAAATGTCCATTTTAAAGCGAAAGTGTACCCATAGATTCTGTTACCCCTTAGCCTCTGCTATACGTACTAGTAACTTATCCATTGGCCTAAATTACTCTCTCCGCACCCCATCTACAATACACTGAAAAGCGCTAGAAGTAAGGATGAAAATTAGGTTAATCAGTTTCTTTTATATAAAATCAATAGGCTGTTTTTACAGATAGTGAGTGGAATTATCTGTCATGTAATCAATCAAATGATTATATTTAGACTTTTAAGTTAAAGCTGTTAAGGATAGATGATTCAGAATGCGTGATGTAACCCTTAAATTTCGGTGGTTATATTTACATTTATGTACATGTGACAGTGGTTGGAATGATACAGGATTTGATAGAACAGCAGTTTCCTTTTCATTTGGCTTGTCCTAAATGACCCCCCAAATGTCTTACTATTGTCAAAAGAAAATGATGTGGTCAAATACATAAATCTAGGATCTCTTTTCTAGTGCTATGTCCTGGTAACCAGGAATACAAAACCTGCGCCTCTGCTTGCGACAAAACGTGTGACGAACCCAACCCTCGTTGCGTGAAAAATTGCGTTAAAAGATGCGAGTGCCCGGCTGATAAGCCAATCCTCAATAAAAATGGCGTTTGCCAGCGCCTACAAGAGTGTCCTGTTAACCAGGCTGAGCAGACCGGGGGTATGAAAAAAAAAGGCATTTTGAAATAGTTCAAGCCTGTAGGACATAATGGGGGCTCAATGGGTTAGGCTGGGTTAGACTGAGATGGGAGTTTCAACGTAGAGCAGAGAATACATGTAGATGTATAGCACATTTCTCAAATATTGCTGACATCTTAGTGCGATGGATGCTCAATTCCGTGTGTTTTCGAATTAGGCTAGTAATTTATAATCAGAGCATGGGTGGGTTGGGAATGAAAAAAAAAAGAGTACATGTGTGCATGGCGGTATTAAGTGCGACGTGTGCGGTAGATTCAAAAGTCAGTGTTGGAAGAGGTGACTTGCCAGTATGTATTTTGGTTGTCCCAATTGTCCTCCCTATGCCTGGTTTTTAGACATTAAATCTCAAATCCCAGCTTTGTGGTCTTAAATGTACATGTACAACATACGTAAGTGGTTTTAATACCCCAACCGCATGGTTAAGGTGTTCCCTACAGTAGATATATTTGTCGTGTTTCATAATTTTGATTGTTATATGTAGGCCTACTGTACTAAAACGCACAGTGTACTGCATCAAACTTCTTGGGGTTACGCGCAACGGGTACATTTTATTGGTTGTGCCTGCTGCATCAAAACGGTACTATCTTTGGGCTCGTTTAATGGTTTACATGTAAACTTGGAGACAACTGATGGCCACCTTATGACGTACTATTTACTAATAAATACATTTCGTATTTTTCAGAGCTTAATTATTCTGAATGTGTGTTTTAATTACCTAAAATGATAAAGAATCTTGAAGAGAAATTGCGAGTAAAGAGACATCTATAGATATTCACACTTAAAGCATTTTACTCGTTGTTTAAATTTACATAAGTTAAACTTGAACAGATAACATAGACCAGTCGTGATTCAAACGTTACTCTGATTCTTTACTTTTGCATTTTCAGGTATAACCTGCTTCAACGGCCAGATCTATACAAACACTGCGCCTGCAGTCACTCCCACTTGCGATAATCCAAGCCCGAATTCTAACAATAACAGGGCGCTCAATCAAGGCTGCGCGTGCCCAAACCCCACCCCTATCTTCCACAACAACAGGTGCATAGCACAGGCAGAATGCCCTCTGGGAACTTTGGGTAGAGCGTTGTCAGCCTTGACAAATATAGGGTCCAGCAGCACTTTCTCAAGCAGCACCACAAGTACTGGCAACAACGGTAATTTGATGATGTCGCTACTCCAAGGAATCCAAGGCCAACAAGGCTAAAGGTAGGTGGTTAATGCGCTCTCCCCCCCCTCTCTCTCTCTCTCTCTCTCTCTCTCTCACACACACAACACACACACACACACACGCCAGAAATGAATATATTTCACTGGATTGATGAAAAATTAGAGATTAAAAAATTGCGGAATGCAAAATTAAGCAATGAATCGTAGAGTAACTGGTAGATCTGTTTACCGAGTGTGAAGTCGCTTTTTAAAGTTTAATAACTGGATATTTACTTAATTATTTTCATCCAAGATATGCAAGAAGAGTTACCAAGGAACTGCAGTTCATAACGTCTCGAGGGACTCATCAAGTGGCCGATGTTAAACCAACAACTGCCTCCAACTTTGCAGGATATTTTCATGAATCAGATAATTAAAATCCTTAGAATTCGAAATACTGCATGCGATTTAAGTAGTTCGCATAGGCATTCCATTGCTCGTTAATTGAAGAAGGTTTAGTTTAGAAATAAATATTTCATTTTTGTAAACAATGAATAATAAAATATCAGGATTGACAAGTATTTTGTGTGCGAAGATCCGTAACGCCTACCTCTGCGATTATGCTTACCTGTTGTGTGATGATATTTATATACTGGTACATGTATATTGAGAAGAAATATATTAGAATCAAAGTGTTTGCTACATGAGATCAATTCGGAGAAAATTGTATAATAATTTGATGCAAACTTATTTTTATAATCATTTGTTGTAAGTGCTAGTGCAGTTTGTGGGTGTTACATAAACAAACGTCTTTGCAAAACCATGGACCAAAACCATCGGCGCTTTTTGTATTTGCTGAATAAGGCACTGTAAAATAAAAAAAAAAACAATAAAAGTGGGAATATACACCATCCCTAGATAATGACTTCTGTCTTTTCTACTCTCACTACATAAACGCTGTGAATGCTAATGATTTATGTAAAACCTGAGAACAAAAAACTATTTAGAAATTGATCAATCCGGAGGAAGTCAGTTATGATAATAACAAAATATTATACACACTGACTTTAATGTTACATGTGTTAACTTATTCGTTCCAATGGCTATTCTGAAATAAGAGCCTTATATATCTTTTAATTTGATTTACTAAATCCTAAATCTATGCCACAACGTATCGGTACACTGTACATGTATACCCTAAAGCGATGTTTTGTGTGGGTAAAGTTCCCATCTCTCTCCGCCGCACACACCTTACGTTTCTTTTGACCGTCCTCTAATGTTATCACCATGCACTTCCATAGCGGCCTCCCAGTTTTCGCCATCAAATACTGCCACTTCTTCTCTGGAGACAGTGCCCGGGTCCAAGCAATGAGGCATGACTCCTGAAAAGTTCAGCCACCACATGCATTGTAAGTAATACTTACGGCAATGCATGCAGTTGTCAGTTTACAAATTACACATTTTCAAGGAAAGACCCCTCCCGAGCATCCCGGCAAAACGCTTGCCATTTTCACAAAGATAAAAAAACATGATTAGTGTATCCTAGGAAGGCCCAAACGTTACGAAAAATATCAAGCACTTTACTAAATACACGCTCTATGGAATGTCTACTCTATCGACATGCAGCTGGAACAACAACAATAACAACAACAAAAATAATGTTTCCGTAACAAACAGAATCAAGAAAATCAAAGTCCTTAAAGTTTGACACGGGTCTGTGCAATATAGGAGATGCCTCCACTTACCATAACCGTCAGGGTTCGATCTCGGCGTGTAGAAACTCTGAACGCCACACGTCCTGCAGAATGTATGCTTTGCTTTATGTGTATTAAAAGTGTAGGTGGTTATAGCGTCAGCTCCCTGTAAAGTAAACTGAACCTACATGTACATGAAGGCCTACATATACACATGTACTAGTGCGCCTTTGATTAAGTAGTGCGTTTTATCAAATGCACCAAGTATAGACCTTTGGATAATGCCAACTTAATGGAAAAGTAAAAGAGATGATCTAATACAAATTTTCTAAAAATATTAAGCACTGAAACTTTGACAATGTGGATCTCTTCGTGGCCCCGCGGTATTGGAGGGGGATTGGCACTCTGCAAATACACATCACAAATAAAAATGATGTTTAACTCACCTGAAGAAGTTTAAATTTGGAAGATGGAACTATAATATGTCTGTTTTGTTTCATTTTACAAATGCTGCAGCTGAAAATAATCGAAAAATAAAGGTAGTCTGGTGATGTTCTTTTTACTTTATAATTTAACGTAGACATAAAAGATACACTAGTTGACACATGCTTCCACTCACCTTTCGGCTCGCTTCGTGAAAGGTGTATTCAATGAATCACTGATACTGATTTTATTTATGTTTACTGCTATTTATGTGTAATAAACCAAACATCACGATCATACTGAACCGTGGCGCATGTGGGATGCCCAGAATAAGTGGTTTATTTGTCATCCCTCTCCCTAAACGCTTGAATGCAGAAATAAGGTGCTATTGGACATCCACTTTGGAGGGGGGGGTGGGGGGAAGACATGACCCCCCCCCCCCCCCAACACACACACACACACATAGAATTGTTATGAAAACATTCAAGAAGGACATCGACATCACAGATCTGAGGCTGAAACGTGAACTCAGGGCGGGGGCAATAGAAGGAACTTGCATGTGGCTATAGTACTCCATAAGTAGGCCTAAGTGAGAATATGATGTTATTTGTGCATTTTTTCAGTCCTGCGTACATAAAACGCCTTTTGCGGGCCTTACTCTGTACCTTTCTTTGCCTCTTGAAAAAACAAGAGGACTGAATCCGTCAATGTTGTTTGGTGCCCCTCCCCCCCCCTTCCATACGGCTACACCCGACTAGCTGGCCGTCGTGAATAAGTAAAGCTAGGTAGAGGCCTGAGTAGAGGACTTACTTGCAGTCTACAACCTTCAGTACAGACGGTGCCCATACTTCAAACCTCACGGCTCCACAGTGGCATCCTCCAGTGTGCTTGACTTCAGGTTCGCTGGACATAACCTTTGATAACATACAGCGTTTTCTTAATATCGTTGTCAACGCCTGAAGAATATGCTTTACCTGTACAGAGGTTACGGTGAATGCCCATTGATGCTTACGTGTCTTTAGAAGGTTGACCTAATTTCTACATGTAAATACTGTAATCATGCCGACATTGATCGAGGGGCACAAAACTGGCATTTTATGTAGTCATGTAGACATCATGATGCTTGTATGAGCAGAACACTTTTACACTTCAGGACGAAAACCATGCATATATATTTTTCACCTACATGTACTGTAGTACATATGTTTTTATTGAAAATAATACAAAAAAAATGCTAATCAAAATTAGTAATATTGATTCTGTAATTATTTACTTGTTATGTTTCTCTAGCCGGACAGTAATTAGATCTCTTTCTCTCTATTTATGTGTGTATATGTGTGTGTCAGAAAATGGTCGTATTTTTAAATTAATATTTATTTAGATATCGTTGGGTTGATCAGTGTACAAATGTAACTGTGTAAATACATTTTTCTTCAAATAGAACATAATAGGGCAGTGGCCTAGTTGGGTAAGTGGTTAAAATTTAAAATTGATCCCAGGGAAACCCTAACTGTTGCTGTTTTTATCTAAAAAATCGCCCACACTGTAGCTTTAACACACCTTAAAAGCCCACGTCTATCATTTCAAAGTAGATGCCAAATAAATCGCGATAAAACTGGTAGGTTAAGTACATGTACATCATGCTTCTTACTTTACGTTGTGTATCATTACCCTTTAAGCATTAAAATTTGCATTAAGAGGATAAAGTACATAAAATGACGAACGATTGTAATAATTTCTTTGCCACTTAATATTCAGATTCTATGCCGTCGCATAACACACCAGATAACTGTATAATTTCCTAACGGTATATTACACAGTATACATGTATGTCACGGTTTTAATTTCTTGTTTTTAATCAAGCGTTTTGACAATCAATGAGTAACCCAATAAGTTTTTCTAAACTGACAGATGTCAGACATTAAATAGCTGTCTCAATTCTAACACAGGTTAGAATAAATTTCTTGATAAGTATCAACAGTGTTGATAGTCGCACTACTAAATGTAGCATGACTGTGTCATATAAAAGTTAACAGAAAACCTATGTGAAAACTGAATCTTATAACTGAATTTTAATCACAGCAAACTGTAGACCTATAATTTTATTACAACTGGTTACTTGACCACGTCAAATGAACTCAAGGGTGCTTATCAAACACCATTGTTCTTGATGACCTGCGAATAAAACTTCATTGATTTCTTTGGGTGTCGTGGGCGCGACGGATCGGTGAAGTTAATATAGTAAAACCCGAAATGCTGGGTATATCCGCTATTCCATTCAAAGTTGTCCAGCAAGGACCAAGCTGTGTAGCCGATAACCTGACAACCGTCACTGTTAACGGCTGAAACAAAAGGAAAATTAAATCATATGACAAGGGATATGAATGATAATAATTTACTGTGTGAATATATAATACACATTATGTTGATAATCTTTGTTTAGACTAAGTATCTAACTTATCTAGGATGTCACGTTGTATCGGGTTTACTCTCACCAGTTATTTTTTATTATCGCCTGTGCAAAAAAGCTGGAACTTTTAAGTTATATACCATAAAATTTTCACCAAATAGTAAATTAGCCGCACAAGTTTACTGGTACACAAATGTATAGAAACCAGTGCCAGCTTTCAACTTTTTTGATAATTAAAATTTCGCATTATAGTCTATTACCTTCGATCATGTTCTGGATGTATTTCTTGTGGTAATCGATCCTGAAGTCATCGTCCAAGATTCCCTTCAGAGTTGAGTTGGCATCAGATATACCATTCTCGGTGATGAAGACCGGAGGGTTGTTGTAACGGTCCTTTATCCAATTGAGTAATTTGCGGAAACCCCAGGGGACAACTTTCAGCCAAGGATAACCCGCACTAAAGTCGAAAAAGAATTTTCTGGTATTAAGGAGACTATTTTTAAAACGGCTGGTGAAATGCTAATACTGCTTTAGTTACAAGCTTTATTTACAGACTACACCAACGGCCATTTTTTTTTTTTTTTTTTTTTTTTTTGCAATCCCCGAGTAACGCGATGTACACAATGTTTAATGAGTTTATTAAGTGAAATCACATATATATATAATTGACATCAAATGAATTTTTAGATCCAGGTGTATAGTATTATTCATGCATATATAATGCTACAAACCCTGACCAACTGGGATCTTTCGAATTTTGTACGTCTATGTCATTGAAGTAGCTGGCACCAGACAATGAAGCACTTGTCACCAAGTTTGTACTGTAGTGGTTGAGACCAAAGAAATCGGATGTTCCTAGAGAAATAAGAAAATATATTACGCACTGAAATAGGTGTTTGATAATCGTCTCGTTTGATATCCATTCAAAGAACGAAGTCGAAAATCGCGTGATTAGCAACTATTTTTAACAAAAGGGAGCCCAGCTAGTAAGCCGACAAGAAAATACCTGAAAGTTTAAACATTTTCGCATAGAATATTCGAGTGGCATTTGTGGTGCTGCATAATAATTTCATACAGGGGACATTTAAGTTTTGTGCAAGCAAGTCTTTTGATGGTTCGTACATGTAGGTGACAGACGACCATGTTTTATTTTTTACCTTTTATCCGCTTTTTCTCCTCTTCTGTGAACTTTGGCAGTCTTGATTTCTTCAAGTTTTCATCTCTGCTCTTATTGCCGATCTTCCATATCATTTCATTAGGATAATCACCATTAACGTAAATAGGATGTGCAAACCAACCCAGTTGAAACTGTAGCTCTCTTTCGGCGGCTTTGATATCACTTGCACTTTTATTGCTCTTAGGCTCGGACCAGTCCGCATTCAGAGTTATACCTATTTTACCTAATAATTCAATGGTCAATGTACAGTAAGGCAGCATACGTCGGTTTCTTCCAAATCGATATTATTAAAATATTCATTGTTATATATAGTCACTTGTCTAAAAAAGGATAGTATTGAAGATAGCAGGTGCATGTGTGGCTGGGGTAAACCATCACCATACCAGCAACGAAAATTATTTGTAAAGTGGATTTCCTTCGTCTGTGAAACACCCATTTCATTACCTTTTTTATCCTTATTGAACTCCTCCTGATACATGTGGTATACCTCTGCGTGTGCCTTGAGGATGTTGTGTCCAGTTCGGTAGGCACCATATCCGGTCATATTGACACCAGGAGCACCAGTCCCGGTGTCATAACCAAACACCGTGACGCACCACGGCTCATTGAAAGTTAGCCAGAGTTTCACCTTAAAATACCAATCAAGAACATCAATATCAGCGTAGCCTTAAAGATACTGCCAAAAGTTGATAGTTTTTAAAGTAAAATTTAGCATCCAAAAAAACTTTAAAAAAGGTTAATGCATCCAGGTGGAGGTTTCTGAAGGAAGTCTTTGACAGTACGTACATCTGTATACAATAGGACAGATTTACTTTTAAAAGACCCCCTTACCCTCTCCAAAAAGGGAACATCTACCTACCCACCGTAATAACGCAAACTATCGACATGAAGGCTCACCTCTTTCCCAAACTCCTGAAAACAGACCCTGGCGTAGTCTTTGAACAGACCGATGATGGTTTCATTGACCCATCCACCGTACCGGTCCTGGAGGGCCTGTGGAAGGTCCCAGTGGTATAACGTCACCATGGGCTCTATGTTGTTGTTCTTCAGCTCCTTGATCAGGTTTCTATAGTAGACTATACCTCTGTAACTGACCCTGTCTTTTGTGCCTCCAGGAAGTATGCGAGGCCATGACAGGGAGAAACGGTAGTGTTTTACCTGCAATGTACAGGTACATGTAGATAGATAAAAATACAATTCTTAAAACACTTATTGCTCCTGTGTGCCTTTTCTAAAGCAGTAAAGCATATTTATAAAAATAATTTCTAAAACATATCTATATAAAGGTACATTTCGGCACAGACTCATCAATATAGTGACTGATTGAATAAGGTGGGGGGTGGAACGTTTGTGTCAGTTTTTGATTGAAGCCCACAGTTATGAAATTTTCTCGATTGAATAATTTATTTTAGATTTCGTATACGACACTGATAAAACATGATTTTTTCTTCAAAAAGTGGGATTGGTGTAATACAGCAAAAACGATAGTTATTGTCTACAAATGACTACCGATATGATGTAGACTCTGTGTATACAAGATTCAAGAGCCAATTTATATATAGCCAGGTCCCGAACGACGGGGATTGGATTAAGTGATATGATTATGACGCTATTAAACCACTCGTGATCACGTGATAAGATATTCTATCAGCAGCCATGGAGTATCAGACAGAAAGTATAAAATCGAATTTTCTTGAAATCGGTCTAAAATGACACAACGCAGCCAGGGTGAAATGATTTTTCTACCCCTAGGTATTGCTTACAACAGAATTTCCTTCTTCGTTGCCTGTCTTAAAAGTAAATATTTTATCTTTACTAAAGGATTTATTTTGTTTTTTATAAATAATTTTTTAAACCGTTTTATCACACAACCAGTGGTTCATTTCCTACACGTACAAGTAAATACACTGCTGAATTTTACTGCACGGCTTTTCTTCCTAGCCACTGCATGTATGCAAACATACTTTAACTAAATGTTCACAAGCACAACGAAACTCTGTTTCTGTTTAAGGGCAAACAAGATAAAGTCCATATGACTGAAAATTGTCATTTCTTAATGACAAAAAAAATAAGATACTAAGTTACAAAACTTGGGGGGGGGGGGGGTAATCATACATCCCCCATAATATATAACTGCACACACACACACACACACACACACACACACACACAATATGAAATTAATAAAGAAGGTTTTTAAGTGCAACCAAGATTAAGAAGATATATAAAAAACACAGCTTTGGGAGAAAATAGTTGGCACAAATGAAAAATAAAGGCCATAAGGTGTGAGAGAAGCTCACATCCCCGCCAACCAAAGAGTCCTTGTGAAACGATCAGGGTTATAAATATCAGATGCTCTTGTCACTTACGCCGATCTCTTTAAGTGCCTTGATGTCGTCACGCCATTTGTGGTAGCTGTCACACGCCACGTCCCCCGTAGCGCCACCCGCTATGTGGCCAGGGATGTGTGTATAGTTATCCCAAATACTCGGACCTTTACCTGCGATCAATAATGTGATTATTTATATGACTTTCTTTAAAATATGTGAATCACCCACCACCAACAGACAAATATCTGTTTCCCATCTGGACGTCAATGACTTACAGGGTATGTACATGTATGTGAGAATGTTCAAAGCAAGTACTTAAATGTATGTAAGCTTGGGTATTGTACCTGTCCACAATAACCTCAAGAATCAGTCTATTTACATTTTCTATAAGAGCATGATTTAAATTAAATATTAAAATGTTTCTAAGAACTGATGAGTTTAGGAAATGCAACATTTAGTCTAGATTTATCCAACATCCACTTACACTGTTTGAGTCACTTTCCGTTTTCGTTCAAATGTGTACATTTACTTTGAGGGCTTACCGTCTTCATTCCAACCGCCTTCAATCTGGTATGCTGCAGTAGCGAGTCCCCACATGAAATCTTTCGATAAAGCATTTTCTTTGACATCAAGGATGACATTAGCTGTAATAGTGGAACACACGGCCAATACATGGAGTAACCGCAAGATGAAGGACATGGTTGGTACTGCACTATGCCTGTGACAACAAAATCCAAACTGTCAGTCTCCGTGGTGGTTGCATAGGTTGATAGTTGTTTGGGAAGCTAATTGTTCAATACAGAATTTATCTATACTGTTATCTTTATGCTGTCTGTTATCTAACAATTAGAAGCACGTGTGAAAGGTGTGCGATGAGTGATTGTGCATATTTGTCACGTTGAATAATCCATTGGAAATTATCGCAAGGTCTTCCTTATTCCTTTACAAAATGGCATTTTTCCTAGGTTGATACAAGTAATCATTTACTAACAACAACAAATCTCAACATTATATTTTGAACACTCTGAAAGATGTGAGTTCCCTGTTGACCACATACCGGTACAACTTTAATTACTGTATAGGCCTACTGAACGCCAATAACATCGGGATATAGATGCACTATAATGCTTGCTTCCTATGATGAGCTCTCATGAGTCCACTCAATTGACATGTAAATTCATCTTTAAGGACAAACCCAAAGTTAAAATGTGTAAAATGATGAAACTTAATTTTGTATGAAATTGCGAAAAGTTCTGGAAAGTATATAGCACGATTAAAAACGGATTTCAGTTTTAGAGAAAATAAAGTCGACGATAAATAAATAGTGGGAGTGTGAAAAAAACGAAATTGCGTCTGTTGTGCGGCAGAACAGGGAAAAAAGAGATGTTTCACCGATAGCTAGCCTATTTGATAAATTCATAATCCATCGGGCTTCACAAAGACCAAGATGCTTAGATATATCGCAAAATATATCAGAGAAAAATTTTATTCCTCTGTGCAGTAATAGTACAAACGGGATATCCATTGCAAGTCATGGCACCTAGGGAAATAGCTACAACGTTTATTTACCTTTCATATCTTGATCTAAGTCAACCACTGGTCTTGGTCAACAAGACAACGCAAGGCAGACACCAAAACGTTATTCAGATGAATGAAAAAAATCATTAAAACTTTTGATTTGATTTTGAATGCACCATCTCAGTGCTTTAGAAGGTCTTACCAAAAGGCCAGGTCTAAGGCGCAAATAACAGCAGACTTTCGTGTAGGCCTACATTTCAACATTATACAGTGAATATGGATCAGTTTACATCGATATTTATTCTAATGTGATTCAGATAGCAGAACATGTCATATTCATCTTATTTAGGGATGGATTTGAGTTAATCATCCACGCAAAGCCTACACATTTTTCTCAAGACGTAACAGCTCTCCGTTTTTATAGATAAATGCGCATATATATACATGTCGCAATGTTGATTGTCGTCTACAAAACTGTTGAACGCACCTAACGCACTTTGTCACAATGACATATTTTAATGCCTTCTTCTCTCTCTGCCTTTCTCTATCTCTACTCTGGTGATTTGTGGACCCTTTAATTACAGAACTGGAAGGTTTTTGCAAAAAAAAAAAAAAAAAAAAAAAAAAAAAAAAATCGAATATTTTTACAGAGTGCTTTACGACTATTTCTGTATATTAAAATGGTTTTCAACTGACTACTTTTATAATCTTTTCGGAGGGGGCGGGGCGTGCAAAAATGTGTGACGCTGGGTGTATGGTTAACAAGCATTTATTTTTCATATGGCGATGCTGTATTTTAATGCATATTATGTGCTTAGATCTGTTCAGGCAAAGCCGATTTCTATACGAATTCAAATATATCATATCTCTATACGACGTAGAAAATGTTGACTACATGTTCCGGTATAACAGTTTTGAAATGTCCTTCTGTTTTTTTCCTTTTGTCTTTCCATCCACTTCAAATGTCAAAACTAAATATGGAAATTATTAAATTATTAATGACTTAGATTTTCTTTGTAAAAAATGCAATTTTAACATTGGTACTTTAAACAAAGCAGACATATCGCATGAAAAATACATTTTACATATGTTAAAAAGCGGAATCCATTTCAGGCTCCAACGAGGAAACCCTAAAGTAGTTTTTTCTGTACTATTTAACAGCTCTGTCACAATACCTTACCAAGACATTAATTTGTAGTTAGTTTAAATGTTTGTCTTCATCAAGATATCATGGATTCTACATTTTGTTCATCAGATGGAAAATGAAAGTCGTTAATACGCCGGAGGAAAACACCGACCAAAAGCAATCGAGTGTAAATGCGCTTGAAGAGGCATGCCTAGGTTCAGGGAAGCCATTGTCCTTCACTATCTGTTTGTAGTATCTTGCTGAGTCCTTTGCAACTCGTGGCCGCGCAGGGTCAGACATGTTCACAAAATGGAGGCCAAATTTTTCTTCATAACCACGTGACCACTCAAAGTTGTCAATCAGTGACCACGCAGTGTAGCCGATCACGTTACAATTGTCTTTCTTGATCGCTGAAATAAATGAATGAGGACAGTCATGTGATTTCGGTTTAATATAAATAATTAATGTAATTTAAACTTTCAATCTTAATGGTTGAAAGGGAATTTGAAGTTTGGGAAGTTGAAAAGGACTGCTGCACTTACCATTGGCATTGGTGCAATTGTTACTTGTATTTTCAGAAACATTAAACAGTAGACTCCTTAAATATTAAGATTTGCTGTTGCATACGCACCTTTAAGTACATTATTGATGTAGTGTTTGTAGTAGAATATCCTGTGTGTATCGTTCATAATCCCACTGAATGTTCGGTTCCTGTCAGACATTCCGTTTTCTGTGATGAAGACGTTCGGGTTTCCATATTCATCTCGAATCCATTTCAGCAAGTTCCGCAGACCCCATGGTACCACGTACAGCCACACAGACCCAGAGCTAGGACAAAGAAAAAACATAAGGAAATAGTTCACAGTACGAACGTGATCCAACTGTACCAGTAGGAAAGAGGTACCAGTACCAGCATTTCAGCTAGAATTCAAAAACATCAACAACACTTGTAACAGATACACATCAATAAAAAGGCAATATTTAATATATAAAAAAAACATGTATTCAAGTTAAACATTTTGAGATTTTTACCTTGGCCAATTTTGGTAGTCACGTGTAGAATCCACTTCCTGGTCTAGAGAGTAGTCAGGTTTGTCTCTGCCAGTGGCGTTATTACTAATCCACTGTGTGGTATAGTGGTTCAAGCCGAAGAAATCAAACGTACCTGGATAGAAAATAGATGAAAATCAATAATATGGAAAAAGCACTTATTATTTCGTGTTCTAATTGAAACAACACAGATTAAATGACCCGGTTTTAAATGGGAATGCTTTCTTATACATAGCGATGAAGAAATTGGGCATTGCATAAAATGCTACATGCATCATACCGTTTATTCTTTTCTTTTCCTCCTCTGAAAATGCTGGCAGTCTTGATGTACCAGTACTTTTTTTCTGAACTTGTCTTTTCATGATATCTGGGTAGTCACCGTTGACGTAGATGGGGTGAGCAAACCAACCCAGCTGAAACTGCTCCGCTCTCTTAGCTGCATCTTTGTCCTCTTGATTCGCTGTTCTAGGCTCATACCAGTCCGCATTTAATGTTATAGAAATTTTACCTATAATAAGGAGAGTATCTTGATATATTCCATAGCTTTTATCCAGAACCTGAAATCTGCATCTATTTATTCTAAATTGCTAGTCACATTGTAGCTTCACGGTGTGACACTTCGTGGCAATTTTAAAATTGCAGTCTTTGCGGTCAGACGTTGTCAAGGGATTTTTCGACACAATATCTCTCTTAATGTCAATAGCTTTCAGGAAGCAAATGATGAGTTACTTCTTAGAGAAAAGTGATGATGATGATGAAGGAAATAATTCTCACAAAAGGTAAATTTGCTTAAACTCTATTCTTGACCTTTCTTTGCTCTATCATTGGTAGTGACTGGTATTTCATTAGTTTTTTACAAGTACATGTAGGCACGTGTTATCGTTCAAGTGTTTCATCTTCAACTGATAAAGGTCAGCTGTGTACGTGACATAGGACACGATATATGGCCGTGTCCGAATTTGTCACCGTTTAATAAAACATACAAGTACCTAGTGCCTTAGTCCTGTATCAATAAAGAGTACACGTTTAACTGCGGTCCATGACATCTAGTAAATTAATAACAGTGATAAAATACCTTCTTTATCTTGATTAAACTCTTCTTGGTAGAGGTGATAAGCTTCTGCGTGAGCCTTGATAATGGTGTGTGCAGCGTTGTAAGGACTGTATCCAGGGTCTTTGATTCCAGGGGCATCTTGCCCAGCCCCATATCCCAGGAATGTGACCACCCAGGGCTCGTTAAACGTGATCCACCACTTAACCTGTATACAACAATTGCATTATCAATGCGGTTATGTTAATGGCTATTGCATGTTGTTGATGATACATGCAACAACAATACAAAACTTTACTTCTTGGTTTATACACAATGTAATACTTATTTATACAAGAAACAGGCGATTCAGAGCCGTAAGCTTGGAAAACTGCAGTGTATTTAAATATGTTTCACTTCTTTCTTGAGATAATGAAACAAGGGAAAGCGAAAACTCGTCGGCTTTGATTAAAAAAAATGATGCCTATTCTCAGGTAGACTAAACAAGAACAGTGTTGAAATATATTGCATGAGTAAGTTTTCCACTAAACTTAATTGACAGTGGGTAAGTCTAAATGAAAAGGGGTCAATCAATTACGTACATCGTCTCCAAACTCCTTAAAACAAAGCCTGGCATATTCTTTGAACAGACCAACGAGCGTCTCGTTAACCCAACCGCCATATTTGGTCTGGAGGGCTTGAGGAAGATCCCAGTGGTAAAGTGTCACCATGGGTTTAATTTTGGCAGCTTTAAGAGATTGGAGGACGTTTTTGTAGTACTCGATGCCTTTTTGGTTGATTGTAGCGTTTGTGCCATCTGACATAACGCGGGACCAGGATATAGAAAAACGATAGAATTCAACCTAAAAAAGATATCAATTATATAAATGAAAAGGGGTCAATCAATTATATTATCAATATATAAATGGTTAAAGATCTTTATCAAAACAAAACTAATTTGGTGAATATGAAACTATTTTTTTCAAACCTTCAAGTTTTATATAATTTAATCATAAAATAATTATGTTTTTGATAATAAGTCGCCCATTCTAAGCTTTAATGCAACATACACTTCATTATAAATACTAAGGCCATCCAAGTTTTTTTAAAATGCAGGAAATGTTATGTGAATCCACCCAATTCTACTTAACGATGGCGTTTATAACACCGTCTTATTGCATCTGTTTCAAATTACAGAGGCGCATCTGCACAACTGGAACCTTAAAATACGTTATTATTGACAAAAGCAGTGGTTATTGTCACAACCCCCCTAAAAATATTTATATTTTACCCCAAGGAACTCCAAGGCTTTTACGTCTTCTGAGTACTTATGATAACTGTCACACGCCACGTCACCAGTTGCGTTACCCTCAATAGGACAGCAACTGTGTGTGAAATTATCCCAGATGTTCTCACCTTTACCTGGAATTGAGAATATAACCGTTTTTAAAATTTGCTGAGTTAGTGTGTAGGTTGGATAAGTTATACTTGCTAAGATACCAGAGGCAGTGGAACTCGGGCAATGTTACATAAAAGAAATAATAATTGTAACCCAGATACCCATAAGTCGATTGCATTTGTATGTGTTTACTTAAATCATTTTATTACAGTTGCAGAAACCCAGTTGTAAGGCACGATGCAAGTTAAATGACCAAGCATTCAACCGAGGGGTAACTGAAAGCGTATTTACTCCAGTGGGGCTTACAGAGTCCGAGAAGATATTAAAAGCAAACAGATACCTAATACTTAATAAAACGCCCCCAACTGCTGAAAAAAAGAGCACTTACTTCAAACTCATTTTTTTGACAATAATTAAACGATATAACATTAATTTCAATGTCCTGGTTGTAACAGCCATTTCTGATTTCTCGAAAACGAGTCATTCTAAATTCATATAGGGAGCGCCCAGTGAGGCGCTGTGGATTTTCCTTTTTGCTGTGTTTTGAAATTTATAACAATCTAAGTTCTCATATCTTTTTTGATTGTTTTGAGATACTTTGATAATAATGAATATTGAACACCAAATTGTAAAAATTTCTGAAGCACATCAACATGCTACGAAAGCTTGTCTGCGTGATGTAGCTTTGTTTTGTTTCTGGTATTATTCATTTTTTCGCTTTGGAATATATAATATCAATATAATATTAAGAAATTTAAAAAACTTTGCTGATATTGCATGCACTTCCCACCGGGGAAAATGCCATCCTACCCGCAACTCTTTCTAATGTGCGTTGAGGAATAACACTATAAACTGAGTGGTAAGAAATTTTTAACACGACATTTTACCGTCTTTATTCCATGCGCCTTCTATCTGGTAGGACGCCGTGGCCGTGCTCCACATGAAATCCTTGGGGAAGGTGTCATTGAGAAATGAATCGTCATCACCGCAGCAGGATTGCAACGACGGGCAGACCAAAAGCCCTAAGATTGCTACCAGTGTTCCAAGAAACATCCTTTTTGTATAGAAATGGAAAAAGAGCCAGGAAAAAACTTTTGATCGGGATTTTTGGTTTTGAAAAGAGAGTAATCTCTGTCCAGCGGCTCGGTGCTCTCTCTCTTCAGTTTATTGACTTAATACTCACCCATCAAACCTTTATCAGTTTTGGGGGGTCCGCAGTGCGATATGAACAGTGTCTTTATGTGAGACTTGTATACATGTACCTCAGTTGTTCAAAGTTGCACAAAGCATGTTTACCTCACAAAGGATTGAGTTGTGGTATGTGTAAGAGAGGGAAGACATAACATCAGTTACAGTAATTCACCGTTGCGTATATACCAGTGGCTAACCTATGTCTTTTGATACTCAGTTTTATTTTATGACATCAAATCACACGGATTTTAAATGAAGTCATCACCATCGCCACCCTCAGCAGCATGCATTTATAATTGACCTCATATAACATCAAACAATGTTATCTAGGCATTTAAATCACAAAGTTCGCTGTACCTAGTTGTCCTGGGCTCGGAATCTCGAAAGGATCGCTATGTTGCGCACGCGCTATAGCATGGCTAGCGTGCGCTATCCCGTATCTCGAAAGCATCGCTATTTTGAGCGCCTGCGCTATCATGGCTAGCGTGCGCTATCCCGTATCTCGAAAGCTTCGCAAATCCTGGCCGTGCGCTAATGTCCAAATCACCATTAGTTTCGAGGCTATTATTTGCGGCTAAACAAACTAGACGCAAGTGTTTTTACGCATGCGTACTTGGTCATTATATTGAAATCGTCAGGGCGGCTAGTTTTGTTGTTATAAGAGAAAAATGCAGGAAAATGCTAAAAGAAGGTGTGTGAGATGCATAGATCTTATGGTAGAGTTCCAACACCATATTTTTCATCAGAGATACCGCATGACGCAGGAGAATGTGCTCAAACTGTGCAATATTATTGAAGAACCTCTGAAAAGACCGACTACTAGCACTAGCACTGTTACCCATTACCCAAGTTCTTGCTGCTTTACGTGTACTTGCATAGGATCTCTGAGTCTCTCACACACTTCCATATTCTCCTGGTATTTTTCTCTAACTCTCAGTTGGATCATTTATGAATCATTGTGGGATGAATAAGGATTATTTTTTCATTAAAAATTAAATAAAATAATACTTTTGAAGTACACTTTCAATGCAAATAGGGCAAAATAAAATCACTTTTAAATTTATGTAAGAAACAAAACAGACGGTCAAGTTATAATTTACATAATTTTTTTTATTTTATGAAACAATAACATGATGAAAATATAAAAAAAAAACATAAAAATAAATTTATAAACAATTTCCTAAATGTATATTCTTGTCTTTATTAAATTATAATAAGTACAATATAAAAAGGACAAAAGCAAATGAAAACTCCCTTATAAAAGATTTGTAACAAATTCCAGTTCTTTGCTGAGGTCATAAACTTAGTTTAAAATACAGTACTGAATGATCAAACTGATTCAAATATTGAAAATTACTGAATGAAAAATACTGAAAAATTATCAAAAAGAAATTGCATAAATTAAAGGAAAAAATAATACAGTCAAGTTGGCATTTTCAATATCAGCTGTATGTATATCCTTATAATCATTCTTGTACGTAAAAAAAAAAAATAAGTAACAAAGTTTTATTTTTCATAACATTTGTGGTGGCAGGGTCCACAATAGGTATTTTTTCTAATTTTGATGCAATATAACATAATACTCAACAGCATATTCACTACAAAATTAAAATAACCTAAGTATTATGGATATCCAGACAATGTGAGTAAAAAAGGTATTCATGTTGTGCCTTACCTTGAAAATGCTAATATGTGAAACACATTCACAGACAAAAAAAATTAATAAATAAAAATAATAATTTACCAAACTTAATTTGATCTGGATGGTTTTGAAACAAAATATTTTAATAATTTGGAACTCTCCTTATGAAAGTTTGACATTTTCCTTGCAATGTGTCATTTGAATTGCATACAGTAATATGGTCCAATCCAGGTGATATTTAAATTTGACCTGTATTTTATGGATAATCATCAGTTCTGTTACCTTTAAGACAAAAGATGTATTTTTTCAATTTAACATGTTATCTGTGGAAGTTCACAGTACAGGGATGATGACTGCAACAGCAGATGCAACTAATGGCTAGTACAGTGATGTACAGTAACATACATTGTACAGCTAGTATGTGTCTTGGCAAAAACATAAAATATCATGATCCCAATAAGATACAAGAGACTCACACTTCAGAACATCCAACTTCACTTTACAGTATTCTGTTATTTTTTCAAATAACACTTTGTTACTTTTGTCAATTTCTAATCTCTCCCTTTCTAACTGTAAACGCTCTTTTTCTACTTTCAACCTCTCCTCTAATGCTAAGCGATCCTTCTCTACGTTGTAAAACTTTTCACTTACATCTGAAATTTGAAGATGTATGTAATTAATAATTAAATATAAAATGATATAATAAGAACTCAATCTGTTCAATATTATGAATTTTACAGATACTGTACTTTTAAGTCACTGTGATAATTTTTCATAAATGAACATATTCCTGTTGAGTTGCAGCAACAAAAATGAAAAGCCGACTATCCGACAATGTTGAACGCTTTCATAAGCTGTATGTTTGAAATTACCAATAAAGTTTCATTTGTTAATAGGTATAGAAATCAGTAAAAATATATAGAGATATATGTATGTATAAAATATGCCTCCTGGTGATTGGACATTCTAATAGGGCATGTCTGTGAAAATCAGTGTTGAAGTATTCATATTCACAGAGTCAGTCTAAGTTAATTACTCTACTTAATATCATCTTGAGGTTCTTAAAGCAATTAAATATAAAACAAAGTTAGCCATTGTGCAATTTAATATACAAATTCATTTTTAATAATAACAAAATAACACCTTCTTCTCCCACTCTGACAGTGGACTGGGCCCCACACCACCATCTGTCTGCTGCATTGCTGCACGGCGTTTGGCCTCTTTGCGCTTAGTGCGAGACGTGAGGTCATGCCATTTTTACCTGACCTCTCGGAAACTCCTCTTTATATGTGAAACACTGTTAACTCTAGAAGGAAAGCATTCATAATTTTAATAAAAAAAATATAAGAATCATCACTTTATTGCTTCATTATACTGTACATGTACATGACCATGTCAAGATGTGTTAATAGAGAGCAATTACAATGACTTTTATTGAATAACTACAACAACATACCAAACTAAATCATCAATAAGCAATAATTAAATATAATGGATATAATTTTACCATGGCAAAACAGACTACGATTAACAGAAGAGGACTGTTTATCATAATTATTCAACTTACTTTTCGGCAACTTCAGCCCATTGTTTTTCTTTGGAAGGTGTTGGTGAAGGGGCTAAATAGTGTAGGTCTACACGAGACCTCCTCCACCAACACCGCGAGCTCATCGGTTTTATAACGCTCCCTGCTGTGTTTCTCCATTTCACGTGCGATTTACTATCGTCCCTCCAAATTGTACTTCCGGACAAGCATTTATTGCGTTGCGTTTGCTAAGGCTTCGAGATATCAGGTGGGTGCAATCGCACTAGCAAATAGCGCACGCTAGCTATGCTATAGCGCGTGCGCAACATAGCGATCCTTTCGAGATTCCGAGCCCTGAATAAATAACCCAACAGCCGCCTATCCTTATGATGTCTTAAACCGTTATTAAATGATGTCAACGTTAAATATTTAAACTTGGAACCTTTATGAAGAAGGAGCATCTGTGGATGACACAAGATATTTAAAGTGCGTTAAACACTGTATTGGGTTAACACACTTGGTGATTTCGTAGGCTAAATATAGGCCCCTACGGCTCAGTCTCCGATTGCACCAACAGGCAAAACGATAAGCCCGAGAAAAGCCAGTTGCACCAAACTGGACTAGTGTTTATGCCAGTCTTTACTTAGTCGTAAATTTAAGCCTGCCACGCAGCTGTTAAAGAAGACGTTAAACAAAGTCCCCCAAAAGTCCCCCAAAGTCTCCTCGCTCATTTTAAAGTTAAAAACTTCATGGTGTGGGGAGGGAATAGTGGGAGCTTTGACTGCTATGTTCTTGGACATGGATGATTCCAGTTGCTGCAGGAATAATGACGTGTGTTAAGATACTTCATGGTATATTACCACTTCATAGGATAAGAATTACTACTTTTTGATAGAAGGCGACTTCATCAAAAACGTTCTGTCTCATAACGTTGGGCCAACAACAGGTACTTTTTCACCATTATCCCATGAAGTCGCAGGCAATATGTTATGTGGAGATGAAGTCGCATTTTATCCTATGAAGTCGATTTGACAGTAAATTTAGAGCATTTATCCCATGAAGTGGTAATATACCATGAAGTATCTTAACATGACGTGTGTAGGTGTAATGTAGGGTTCTCCTACAATCTGCCTCCTGCTCACTTTGTATGTTAGCCAGTTTATCGAACATCTCAAAAATAAATGTAAACCAGGTGGATCTTTACAGAATATCCGCTCACTATTATTAAAGTGCATGACACGATCTTCTTTGCAACAAGTAGAGAAAATGCCATTAGAAAAATAAGTATCCTTGTCGATTTTTGTGAAAATTCGGAGATAGAAATAAATCAATCTAAAACTGAATTCATGGTCATCAATGTAGAGGTACGCGATAAGGCCCCTGTAAGAATTGGTGATATTAAGGTTAAAAATCGTGAAGCAATTACGTTTATCTATTTTCATTCATGCAAGATGGTCGTTTGCAAAGTGTGCTACTAGATAACCAGGGTAGACCAAAGAGATACCGTGTTTGGAATTTTTTTTTTTTTTTTTTTTTTTGCCTTCGTGAACTAAATGTGGAAGTGCTTTTTGGCCAAAAGAAATATTTTTGAAATGGTATTTTTACCGGCGACCTTATATAGCTGCGAGTCGTGGCTAGACAATTGTTTTAGCAATGTATATGATTGCTGTCAAAACTCTTCTGCGTGTACAGACCACTTCTCTCAACCTGGTTTGTTTAATCGAGGCCGGTTATGTGGTGATCCCGTGTTAGGACGGCCAAAATGAGGCAAATGTCAAAGCTTATCTCCCGGAGGAGGGAGGTTATAGATGACCCTCTTTGTAACAAGTAAGACAGAAGCCTTTAAATAACAAGCGTATTAGAATTTGCAGAAGTTGGGCAACGGAGTTAAGGAAGGCAATTTCATCAAAAACTTGATGCAAATTTACTGTGTAAATTTACTGCACAATCTGGCTAAAGAGACTGAGCGATGGACCAGTATTACTAGAGAGGATAGACTGTTTGTTTGCTGGATATCAGTGCAAATAGAGAGGCATGTACTTTTTGAATGCCCTCTGACTAAAGAATGCAGTATGAATTCAACTTTAATAGTGTGTATGAGCTACGTAAAGGTCCTGCAGAAGTTTTTGTAGATTTGGTGTTCAAAGCGTATTCGCAGTCTTGTGCATGTATACACTGTAATTTAGTTATCAGCAGCATTTGGTTATAAATTCTGTGTACGTTTTTATCGTGCATTACTATTTATTGTTTATGTTGCCACACCGTAAGGGAAAACAAGCCAAACTAAACCAGGTGGTGTATGTCGGTCATAGCAAGATTGCTAGGCTTCACCGCGACCTCAGAGCGATTGGTTTAAAGGTGTTCAAAATGTTCCGGATCCTTGGCATCCACGGTGATGTGTGAACGTCCTGCCCACCACCCTTGTCCGATATGATCGACCACCGTACAGTGTACCTCCTTTGGGCATACAACGGTGACCAGGGCCCAGCAACTCGAAATCATCGGTTATTGCGAATAGCGATATCAAATAGAGGCTACAATATATTATGTGGGGCGAGCATGGGCGAGTTATGGAATCGAGACGCTTGCGCTTGGGAGTTACGGGGCCCTGGTCAGTTTCGTGGTCGCACAAATGAGGATCAAATGTTATCTTCCTGTGTAAAGGGGGTTTTATTGGCCATTTAAGATGACACGACCTGCTATTTATTCTAAAGCGAACATCATTGTCCTTTTGGTTTTGCGCAAACATCAGACATGTATTTCCTATAAGTCTATAAGGCCTTAAGTCGAAGCATTGGTACCACCATGCAAATGTGCAGAACAAAATTGTTTTGTAATCACAATCAGCAGTGACTACGGCGTAAGTGACCTGCCATTTTATCCAGTTTTGTTATATAGGGAACACAATTTAACCGTTTAACATTACACAAGGAGTATAGTCCACTTTGTAAGTCGTTCTTTGGTCAATGCTACTGCCAGCTTTATTAAAGGTTTTGTGACCAAAATACTATTGAAAATTAAAAAAATTACATAACTCATTTCCAGAAACTGTCATCATTCTTAGCACGAGTGTAGTTAAAAAAGTCATATCATAGCAATATAAAAACTATAAACTAGAAAAAGAAAAATTCCAGTCACTTTTAAAGCACTTCTTTATTAAATCCTGCACGCACTGATATTTAGTCTAAAGGCAGCAGGATCGTTAAGTTCGCACCAAGATTATTCTAAATAGTTTTTAACCTCTGATCGCAAAGCTTGTTGTTATAAAAGTCTTTAGTTAATTTTCGTCTATAAAATGATTCATTCAACAAAGCTGTTCTTATTTTGACAAGCATTTAAATTGGATTTTTATACCATTAGGTCAATATGTCATAATGTCATCATGCTAAATTGCTGAATTCTGTGACGTAGAACGCGCGTCCTCGTGCAACTTTTTTTTCATATGGGCTCTTAACTTTTAGGTATAGTTCGATTGTATAATAGTTCTACTTTGATAATAATCATAACAAAAGTAATGTTATAAGGATTTTAGGCCCAGAATGTAAAACACCTTAATTTGTTTCAATTTAATAAATTCCAGACAATAAGAAAAAGTCATTTAACCACCAGGAACGACTTGCTTTAAAACGTACATAAAAAAGATAATGATCTTGCTTCACATGGCAAAATTGGACAAAATAATGCTTCATACGCTTGATATGGGCGTTATTACGCTTTTTCAAAAATTCACATTAGAAATTTAACTAATAATGTCACAACCATAAACAGAACCGAAGAGGCGCGGTGACGGGGCCCAACAGTAGGAGCACTAGCACTAGTAGGAGCATTGAAACCATTATCTTTAATAAGTTGCTTGTAGAACTCCGCAGATTTCTTTGCTTTTCGTGGTCGGGCAGGGTCCGAAAAATCGACGTAATGGAGTCCAAATTTCTCTGTGTAACCTGCCGCCCACTCGAAGTTATCCATTAGAGACCAGGCAGTGTAGCCTTTAACGTTGCATCCGTCTTTCTTGATGGCTGAATTAGAAGTTGTAAAAACATGTGCTAGAACTATAAAAGATCATTCTAATGAGCACCATTGACACAATCGTAAATACAAGAAATATCATAATATATCGTTATTTGTATGAATAATAAACATGAATAATGCTTATCACTGATCTTATAGCAGGGGCTTCATGAACAAGAAAATATAACGATAGCCACATATCACTGCAATCCTCACATTGTCAAGATTACTGCATAAATACGAGAAGATTGAGAGGAAAAGAAGAAGGTACCTTTCAAGACGTTGTTGATGTAGTTCCTGTAGAACTCCACTCTGTGGTCGTCCTGTAGAGATGCATTCCGATCAGAAACGCCATTTTCCGTAATGTACAACTCTGGGTTTCCGTAATTGTCCTTTATCCAGTTTAAGAGTGCTCTCAAACCCCACGGTACGACATACAGCCAGGAAGATCCGGCCCTGGTACGGTAAAATAAGCGTCTAATAATCGTTGTATATTATTACATACTGTACATATATTTAATCAATGGGGACAACGCAACTGTTGAAAACGGCGAGGTGTGAGGTGTCCTCAACAGAACTGACCGAATAAAATTATGAGCAGTGTCCAGTTTATCAGCCTAACATACCTGTATTTAGAATCTTAAATAAAACTTGTAAAATTGATATAAGCTAAATACTGTTGGTGTGTTTGACATGTTTATCCCAAAATTAATTATATTTTCATGTAAAGACTGTCGTTAAAAGTGTTACCTTTGCCAGCTGGGATCCTGGCTCTCTTTTGCATCCATATCAGAACCATAATTTGGTTTTTTATCACTGCGGTACTGGGTGGTTATCAGCTGAGTCGTGTAATGGTTTAACCCAAAGAAATCGAATGTGCCTAAAACGCAATGATTTTTAGGTTTAAGGTAAGCAATGTCGTAACAACAAATGTTGACCTGAATAAACATGCAATAGACTACAAGTGCTATTAGCTTAGCTACCTTCATATATTTTTTGACATAATGTTATTGTCATGTTAGTTTCGATTGGTTATATGTTATAAATCATTTACTTAGATACTAAACACAAAACTGTAAATGCTGTATATATATATATATATATATATATATATATATNTGTTCGATTGCAAGCTATGGTTAGTTCTTTGCTTCTATAAAAGTGGGTGAAAAAAGTGAGTTTATTTGATATTTTGCTGAAATCGCTTGTGAACATAGACAAAATAAAAGGTGAAAATAGGCTGTAAAAACAGCCAGCCCGTCGGGCGGGTAATCTGCAAATCTTACCCGCCCGGCCTGAAAGTTACCAGCCTCGGGCTGGCGGGCAGGCGGCCATTTCATACACTGATAATATATATATATATATATATATATATATATATATATATATATATATATATATATATATATATATATATTGTTATTGCAAACAAAGTACCTTTAATTCTGAGTTTTTCAGATTCCGTGAATTCTGGTAACCTTGATGTGCTTCGACCCTCTTCAGCACTCTTATTGGCGATCAATTCCTTCATTACATCTGGGTAGTCGCCATTTTTGAAAATTGGATTCGCGAACCATCCGAGCTTGAACTGCATGGCCCTCTCGGAGGCAGCTTTGTCATCGGCACTGTTTGGATCTTTTGGCCCTTTCCAGTCAGAATCCAGTGTGATGGAGATGCGACCTTAAATATATGAGATGTGTATTATGGTATACGTAAGACTATTAGAAATTTACAGTGTATTTGAATTTTTGATATTCTTATGCTACATGTAGCCCGAAGTTTGATGCACATCATGCGATTGATCTTTATCCGTAATATATTTTTTCTATTTCTACCTTTCTGTGTTGATCTGAATTCGTTATCATAAGTATGCCATGCTTCAGCGTGTGATTTAATAATGGTGTGAGCGGCCTTGTAAGGTGCCTCCCCTGGTCTGTCAGAGATTCCAGGGGCATGTGCCCCAAATCCTAGCCCCACCCACACAACAACAAATGGTTCGTTGAATGTCAACCAAAGCTTCACCTGTAACAAATAAAGAACAATGCGATCTGACATTTGCTCAATAGGACGTTCGTCATATGCACCCCTAATATATCAATAGATCTGAAATAAATGCTGAAAACCAAGTTTATATGCCATAATTAAATGGTAATAGTTTCCTGACAACATTTCCAACCTCTTTAAAACTTTCAGAAGTGTTAGCACATACTAGTACCTAGGTAAATGTAAACGTTTAGAAATGAAAAAATCTAATTTATAGTTTCGTAAACTAAATGCATATCCTACCCTATCCCCAAATCTCTTGAAACATGTCCTTGCGTACTCGTTAAAGTAGCCAACCAGCAATTCATTTTCCCAACCACCGATGTCTTGTAGTGCCTGTGGAAGGTCCCAGTGATAAAGCGTCACCATTGGCTCTATATTGGCTTTCTTAAGGGCGTTGATAAGTCTGTTGTAGTAATCAATACCCCCGCTTTTTATTGTGGCGTTCGTTCCATCAGCCATGATTCGAGACCAAGAGATGGAGAACCGGTAATGCGAAACCTGGTGGCAATAAACAACGATTGCAATAACTCTGCATGTTTTTAAATCTGTTGCTTTTAAACAAAATGTCCTTTCTTAATTTAAAACAAAATGCCCTATTCGAAATGGATGCAATAACTCTCGTTTATACCTTGTCACCAATTTCTATATTTTGTTTATTATTAATTAAATTATCAATACTTAAAGCATGTCGTATTTAAGAGACCATTCCCACAGATGTTTAGATCGATCTATCCCTCTGGGGAATCTCACTAGATTGCTGTCAGCTTAACCGGCTTATATGTCTGTCCCGCCTACTAAAAGCTGTAAGGGGGTAATTAACTTTTGTGGGCACTCGGCTCCCGGAAGCTGACAGCAATTTAGCGTGAACCTCAAGGGAGTTAGGTCGATCCAGTTGGATCGATCTAAATCTGTGGGAGCCCATTCTAAGTCAAGCTACCCTAACAAATCCCAAAACACTCTCTTTAATTTCTAATTCATTCGCTTTCCCGCCCCCCTCCAAGACAACTTGCGATGTCACAGTATGATACAAACCCCGAGACTTTTCAGCAATTGAACATCGTCTTGGATCTTATTATAACTATCACACGCAACATCCCCAGTGGAATTATCTTCGATGTGACAGCAGGTGTGCGTAAAACGGTCCCAGATGTTCTCACCTTTTTCTGGAGGGAAATTGTCATCTCAGTTAAATAAAACAGTTAAAGTCTTATGTCCAGATAGCTGAAAATGGACTGAGACATCAAACTTATCAGCTTAAACTTCATATGAGAAAATGGAAATTCTTAAATGTTGCATTTAGCTAAATACGTAGTTACGAGAAAAATGAATGAAATCAAAAGTCCAGTGTGATTTAGGACAACTCGAAAGGAAGCCAGCTTGTTTCAATATGACTATAAAAGACAAAACATTAATGTACAAAAAGCAAAAGAAAGTACCAAAGGTGACGGAAGGAATATCCCATATATGTTTTCCATGCTTTCTGAGGCCATTTCGATAACCAAGGGAATTAGATGAGGACGCACTGACTGATATATTAGTTAAACAAGTGCGTGCGGTTATTCAACCACTGTATATAGACACATCTCAATCTCTGTGATAAGAATGAAGAGCCAGTTTGGATTGTATTAAGTGTGTTTACATATGTCAAGTACTGAGTAGTATTCCTTTGGCGTGGTCCTTGTACTGTGGTACATACCGGGGTACAGACTGGACCAAAAGTATCAAAACGACCATCACTGACAGACAGACAGATATCCTTAATCACCATATGATTGGATTAAGCCCTACACATTCACAATGTAAATTGGATATTTAAATAAGGCAATGCCAACATGAGTTCATCATTTTTGCGACGTTAAATCACAGAAAACTAATGGGAACTGCCAAAAATGTATATGTCCGTTATCTAGTGCTACAAGCTTTATAATACCCATACATTTTAATTGTTATCGTTCAAGAACTGCATTCTTTGTGTATAGTATACCAGTATAACACTCACCAGAAGAGTTCCATCCACCTTCTATCTGGTAGGAGGATGTCGCTGTACTCCACAGAAAGCCGTCTGGAAATTTGTCGTAATAAAATGGATCGTCTTGATATGCACATCTCACCAACGTTCTGCAGCCCAAAAAGGCAAAAAAGACTAACGTTAAAGAAATTGACATCTTGCTTCTCATGCCTAGCTGCGCTGTATTTCCCCTGGAAAAGTGCCAACCAACAACTTATAATTGAACGATATTATAGCAAATGCGCATGCGCAACAGTGCAAGCAGGCGTGTCATTAGGCGCCAATAAAACGTAATAGGCAGCAAGTATCAACAGCTCAATTCACTCCATTCTAATACTGAGCTATTTAGTAATATTCATAAGGTCTAGTCTGTATACTGGTTAAGTTAAACTTTGTTTTTTTGTTATTTCACTTTCTATTATATATATAGAAATGTGATGAATTGTATCATAAGTACCAATAGATTCCTAATCTGTGCCTTTGGTTGTTGTCGTATAATGAACATTTTTCTTTATTTGGTAAGGTTTATCAAATCAGATGGAAACAACTTACTATCAAAATATCGCTTGCTAAAATGTGTGGATGATGCAGACTAAAGTCGGCAATCCCCAGTCTTTTTTCCTGCTACAGAGATAGGGAGGACTTTTTTCGTGTAATCACCATGACACACAACCAGAGACACGGAGAATAGACATACACAAAAAGTTTCAGATTGACATGTTTGCTTTGTAGGTGATATATTAAACGTAAGAGCAAAAGGGCACATTAATATTCCACACGGTGCACAAAATGATCTGCAACAATAGGTCGTATCTTTTCTATGTGTTCTCTGTGTGATTGTGATATGTATGTTTAGCGATACCAAGGACAATACGTTCTGATAAAGCCAAAGGTGTGTATTTACACGTGCCAAATCTTAGTACAATAGCGTCTAGAGTCAATGATGTGGCCCCTTGATGTGACAGTAAATTCTTTAATTTTGTCGTCATTCAAAGTTAGTTTTCATTTGAGACCATAAATGTAGTTCATGGGCCAGATTCTAAAAACCCTTAAAATAGGTAAAAAATTAGCATAGAAATAGAGTAAATGATATTGTTAAACATTAAAAAAAAGATTACAAAACTTAATACAGATTTGCAGGTGTGTATATCCGGAGTTCATAAATATGCTCGTTCGACAGCTGAGTTTCAACTTTGTGAAATTAATGATCGCGACCCTGTTTGAACTCAGTTTTTTTAAATATCGATATCAAACGTCATTTAAAAGTACCACCAACATTACCCCATGAAATAAAAGAGATATATAGAAAAAATATTTAAGGCCACCAAGAATCTGACAAGTTGAGTTACCTGTTATTACCTGGCTTGGGAAGTGTGGTGGTGCGTAATTAACAGGTTTTATTGTTAATGACATCTTGGTCTACTACCGGGTACCATGCATTTAAAATGCATCAGCAATTAGTAAGCTTGTCAACTGATGACAGTTAATTTGAAAGACTATCAGCTTTTGATATGATCTAAACCACTTGAGGCGACCATAATCTCGAGCATCACATCTATTGTCACCGAAGTAAATAAGTCACGGAAGACCGTCACAGACAAAGGAAGAAGATTGTCAACGAGTGCTGCTTTTTTGGTGAATCCCACGGCAACACACTGAGGCATAACGAAAGTTGCCCAACCCCGTTCAACACAACTTTCCTAATATTCTCTGTCTGTATTCAGCATGCAGCTCAGCTGAGTCCCAGAGACCTTTATCGTCTTTGTCGTCAAAGTACCACGTCAGGCCTTCCCAACTACCAGACTCGGCACCTAAGGATCCTGAATTAACCGGTATATCGGACCACGCTACCCGTTTTCAAGGTGTGTGTCAGATCGCATTTCGGAGTATCATACCCCAGAACAAATTTTGTAGCACGACTGCGGGCTCATCCACGCTCGGCTGAACAATCTTAAACTGTACTCTTACTTTAGAGTACTCTATTTTATTGTCTCCATGGGGATATATGGGAAATTTATGACATTCGGTTTGAATGTTTTAACCACTTTTGATAGGGCTTTTTTGCATTGTATTAGATTAATGTGGCAGTCTAAGGTTCATCTAGGTGGCTTTCAAATTTATGCACCCGGTTTTAAAATCATATAGCGATTTTACGACAATCGTTTACTATCCAATCAAGGTGACAGCCGAGCATGCCAGGGCTCATCCTGTCGGTGTTCTGGCTGATACTCCGAAATGCGATCTGACACACACCTTGAAAACGGGTAGTGTGGTCCGATATACCGGTTAATTCAGGATCCTTAGGTGCCGAGTCTGGTAGTTGGGTAGGCCTGCACGTGACCCAGTTCTGTTGCTTCAGTATTGAGGTGAGGTTTACTAAAACGTTATTTTTCTACCAATAGATTGTTTTTATACTTTTTAAAAGGTGGGGATCGATTAAAACATATCTCTATGGATTGAGTGCTGAATCTTCAAAAATCGAGAAATGGATTTTTTACATGGCTAGAATGCTTTAAGTTCTAAATGCACAGAGCTGACATATAATATTTCAGTTTAAAGTTTTGACCAGTTAAAGAGTGTGAAAAGAGAAATGTCTGGTCAGGGATCAGTACCACTTAACCAACTAACTTGCCTGTAGCATTACTATATTGCGTAATATGTGGTGATTTCAATTGGATAGATTTTTTGGGTTGGTCCTAGTATAGGTATGGCAGAGCATGGCTCTTTCGAAAAAAGTCTCCATATTTCGATAACAACTGTATACGATTTTAAAATTATGCATACAAATAGCAAATTCAACTGTGTGTCATAAGATAGTTGCTCTACGCCAGAATACATGTATGATGCGAACCTTCAGCGTTTTTGGGCACAGCACTGGAAACATGTGGTTTCCGCAGTTGAATTCAAGTAGAGTTTGCAGCCTTTGAAGTGTCCTGCGACGAAACGTGCTTCGCTCTTAGAGTGTCTGTGGATGGTAAAAACATCAATTCACGTTGGCGACAAAATCCCATTGGTTGGCGAAAACCCGAACCACAATTACTTGTTCATTCGAAATCTGCCTCTAGAAGGTGTTAAAATTCCACTCATAATGAAGTGATTATGTCAAATAGTCGTCAAGGCAAATATAGAATGTCCAACTTGTTGCCTCTACTAATAAAGTGATTTATCAAAAATTTCATTACATTGAAGTTTTGATTGATCTTTCCAACGTAAAGAAAATAACCAGGGGGGCCTATATTAACCAATATACGGTATGAACGAGTTCAGTGCGATATCAGGGATATAATGTGTGTGCATGCTTTTTCTTGGGATACCAGTACCAGTTCATCAAGAAATATAGGTGAAGTAAAAATATAAAAATATATTTATTCATCGGCATGAAGTATATTTTACACATCGCATTGTTTTTCACCTTAGCGTCACATGGAGAATCAGCAGGAAGGTATGATAATGACTTATATTACGGCAAATTTCCTGAAGATTTTGTGTGGAGCAGCGCAACGTCAGCTTACCAAATAGAAGGCGGATGGAACGCTGATGGTGAGTTATGATATTCCAATCTACTACATTTTTCTCTGCAAAACAACGTTATCCACACCATGTCTACAGTTGAACAGTAAAACCAGAGAACTGCATATCTTTCAAATGCTATCAGTATCAAAAACAGCATCAGTATCAAAATTCGCTTTTCAATACGTTTGTTAAATCTGCATATGCCATGTGCCATGTTAAATTTAAAACTGTCATTCATCAAAGTTTAAATAAGGACGGCGTTTAAAAAGGATACAACAAAGGAAATCTTGATATGTGCCAAGGATTATAATATGCGTTAAGTTGATAAAAATAAATTTTATTTTTTAAGTAAGTCGTTTAAAAGCAATTCAATCTTCATCGAATTATGAACACCCCATTGTATGAGTAGCTTAATAAACATGAGTTACGTGTACAATGTACATGCACGTCACTGCACCACACTTACGCAGATCCAGGCATTATTTAAACTTGATATTAACTGAATATCTGTGCAAATATTTGACTTTAAGTCTATTACGTATTCAAATTTGGCTAATCAGCAACTCTGACATGTTCCAATGCAGGCAAGGGGCTAAGCATATGGGACACTTTCACCCACGCGGGAAAGGCAGCCAATAATGACACCGGTGACGTGGCATGTGATAGCTATCATAAGTATAAAGAGGATGTAAAGTTGCTTAAGGATTTACATGTACGTACATGAAACTGTTGACCTTACAGGTCAGACAGTTGATTTAATATATATTGATTTTATAGTTCCAAGTCGTAAGATTTTGCCATTTAAACCCATAAACACAAATCTAAAAAACTTGAGAATTTCTTCAAAGGTTTCCTTTTGCTATTGGCACAAATATTAGTGTCTTGTTGATTCAAAATAAATCAAATAGTCAACCAGATCGCCTATTTTACTTTAAAGAAAGGACAAGGAGTAGATACCAGCAGACTGGAGATTAGAAATAAGCAATTTTTTCAACATGTACCCTCCGTCTCTTTAAGATTTCTTTTATAATAAAAAATATAGACATATTCATAACATAAAACTCTAGATTTGTATTTCAGGTCACTCACTATCGGTTCTCAATCTCCTGGCCCCGAGTTCTCCCAAATGGCACCATTGATAATATTAACGAAGCTGGGATCGATTATTACAACAATTTGATTAACTCACTCATCGCTAATAACATACAACCCATGGTCACCCTGTACCACTGGGACCTTCCACAGGACCTAGAGGACCAAGGAGGGTGGTTAAATGAAACTACCAATGAGCATTTTAAGAACTATTCTAGGTTGTGCTTTGAAAGATTTGGTGATAGGGTGAGTAGAATTGTCAGATATCAAAGCACGCTCACATATAACTGTAAGGTCACTGGCTTTATCTCTATAACAACGTGCGTTTTCAGTTGTAAATTCGCAGTCAAGAAGCACTTGTTGTAAAATCCTTTTTGGAAGAATGGATCATAATACTTTATGGCTTTTAGTTCCACTTCTCATGTGTTTTTAGATGATTTAATGTTTACTAATAATGTTATGGTTTATTAACAACTGGCATGACAAAGTGAATACTGTATATAGTCTTCCAATTACAGTTTTTCTCACCTGCAAAGCAACCTTCATGTTTACAATTACCTTTATTGCTGGCTGAAATGCAAATATTGTTTACAACTTTATGAAAGGTAAAGTTCTGGATAACGTTTAACGAGCCATGGATAGTCGCCTGGCTTGGCTATGGTGTCGCAGCGTTCGCCCCGAGAAAGAATGGACCAGGTGATTTGGCCTATATTAGCGCTCACAACCTTATCAAAGCGCACGCCAAGGCATACCATGAATATGATGACAATTTTAGAGCATCGCAAAACGGCAAGTATTTTAACATAGCCTTGGGGTATTTAGATAAAATAATTGAATAAAAATTTTGTTGAACAAAAAAGCATTCATTTGACTTTTTATCCGGTTATTAATTAATTAATTTATTTATGTAATATTGCATATATAATATAAATATAAATCTTATTGTGTCATGTTTAGGCACAATCGGGATTACACTGAACGCCGGGTGGTCTGAGCCAAAAGACCCGAGCAGCCTCAGTGACCAAGAGGCCTCCCAAAGGGATATGCAGTTTCAGCTCGGCTGGTTTGCTAACGCCATATTTGTTAACGGCGACTATCCTGATGTGATGAAATGGCGCATCGGAAATAACAGTGAGACACAAAACCTGCCTAAGTCGAGATTACCAGCGTTCACTGATGCTGAAAAACAATATAACAAAGGTAAGCTGCAATTGATTTATATTCTACTGGACTGGAACAGAATTGTGATCAAGTCTGACTAATGCTTTATTTCACCCAATCTAATTTTGTATGAACAGTATTATTTTAATATCACTGTCCTTCCTACGATGTACACCACGTGTATGACTGCGCGTTGGCACCAAATTTACAGATTGAAATAAAAAAATTAGAACATTTTTTACTTTTAATGCCATATGAAACTATTGTCTATATGTCATGTTTGTGAAGGGACCTACGTGTTCTTTTTTTTTTGTTTGATATAATTACAGTCGATGCTTTTATTCTTTCGTTAATGGTTTAATATGCTTCTATGTTTAGGTACATCGGACTTTTTTGGCCTCAATTTCTACACCTCTAGTCTGGTAACCGACAACAAGAATGTGAATCGGTCGGTGCAGAGTTATGACGTAGATAAGGGCGTTGCCGGGGAGGCAGACCCTACCTGGAAAGAGTATATAATTATACATAAGCCTTTTATTTTGAGTAGAAATCTGTTCGAAAATGCCATGGTATCAAGCCTTACCAACTACCAGACTCGGCACATAAGGATCCTGAATTAACCGGTATATCGGACCACACTACACGTTTTCAAGGTGTGTGTCAGATCGCATTTCGATGTATCAGTCAGAACACCGACAGGATGAGCACACACTCGGCTGTCACCTTGATTGGATAGTAAACGATTGTCGTAAAATCGCTATATGATTTTAAAACCGGGTGCATAAATTTGAAAACCACCTAGAACAACAGTAGACTGCCACATTAATCTAATACAATGCAAAAAAGCCCTATCAAAAGTGGTTAAAGCATTCAAACCGAATGTCGTATAGTCCAAATATACCCCCATAGAGGCAATAAAATATAGTACTCTATATTAAAGTAAGAGTACAGTCTAAGGTTGTTCTAGTTGGTTTTCAAATTTATGCACCCAGTTTTAAAATCATATAGCGATTTTACGACAATCGTTTACTATCCAATCAAGGTTACAGTCGAGCGTGGATCGTCCCACAAAATTTGTTCTGGGGTATGATACTCCGAAATGCGATCTGACACACACCTTGAAAACGTGTAGTGTGGTCCGATATACTGGTTAATTCAGGATCCTTATGTGCCGAGTCTGTTAGTTGGGTAGGCCTTGGTATATACCAGTAAGAAATTAAGAGATAACTCCTCGAGTCAATCATATTTCGTTAGATGCATTATTTCTGCGTGTATTGAATTGATACCTGATAATAAATTAAGAGCACATTCTTTCTTCTCATTCGTCAAACTTATACTTTCAAATACCTTCATATATAGATCCGGTTCTGGTTGGTTAAAAGTGACTCCGTTTGGCATGCGCAAGGTTTTGAAATGGATCAAAGACACATACAACACTCCCGTCACTTACGTTACGGAGAATGGAGTCTCAGACCGAACAGGCGTCTTGAATGACGTAGACAGAATTGACTACTACAAAAATTACATAAACCAAATGCTAAAAGGTATCAATTGTGCTTGCCATTTTTTCTTTTTCTTTTGTTTTTCTTTCTCTCTGTCTCTTTGATTATAATAGGATGCATTTACTTGCCATTACCAGTACAGTATATCCAAAGGTACGATCCAAGGCTGCATGCATTGCTCATGCGATTGCTACTGAAGCCGGTGGAGCGCGTTAAAAATCCTTATGTACATTTATATTTTAAAGATTGTAGCATCAATTAACCCCAAGTTACTTTGTTCATTAATTAATTCAGTGTGTGGTTACAATTTTATGGTACCGTAACTAAATGTTTTATTTCACGTTCTCTAGCAATGAAACTGGACGGCTGCAATGTTAAAGGCTACACCGCTTGGTCTTTGATGGACAACTTTGAATGGGCAAGTGGCTACACCGAGCGTTTTGGTCTCCATTACGTCGACTTTACGAAGCCTGATCGACCAAGAGTCCAAAAAGAATCAGCGAAATGGTATGCGAATTTCGTGTCAAACCCAGAATTTGTCCGCACTGTCAGCGGCGTCAAGTCATCCATGAGAATGGGGCTTTTCCAAGCTGCGACGTTGCTATTTGCCGCATTAGTCGCGTATCTGTAGTTTTGAATATGTAATTTTTTTGCCTCTGATGTCTGACCTGTAAAGTCAAATCGAATAATGCAATCACTGAAACTATTAGCTGTGAATTTGAAGGAGAATTTAATATTTTTTCATGAAGTACCAATCCGTTTTTGGTGCGTGTGTTTGAAAGTAAAGTAGAAGGTTGATATTTTCTTCACTATTTCCGTGATATGTTTCGCAAATCAGCAATTTCTTATGTTGGGAGATAATAGTTCAAAAGAATTGTTCAGAAATATTCACATCTTATTTCTTTCTTTTTAAAAAAAAGATTGGACTTTTTCTTTAAAATTTGCTGGATTATTCTAGGTTATGGTATTGCATACTACTTTAGAAATTGAAAATGTTTCAAATGTACGTAACTGTAAATTAGGCTTCGGCAAAGAGGAAAAAAGCTTTACATGTATTTTATCATGTTGCTTAAATAAAATATATTTTTATCAATTGATCGGTAACCAATGTGTCTGTGATATTATGAGAAACAGCAATGATAAAACACTTTCATATCAGAAAACGACATACTATACTTAAATTCAGATTTTAAATTCAGATTTAATCCGTCCATGTAAATCTTTGACTGAATTAGGTGGCTAAGCACCAGAGAGTAAGATATCCCTAATGCGGTCAGAGTCCTAAGGTCTTTATGCAGGGTGCACGCGTACAGCATAGCCCACCAACCCAAAAATTAACCAGTAAATGACATGTTTAGAGACAACATTAATGTTTACCTAGGGTGGATCTGAGAGGATTTATGAGACATGCATACGACAAGAATATTTGATCAGTATTCAGTTGCAAGGTCATCAATTAAACTTTAGCTCCGCTTGTGTGGTTATTTTACGTTGTGATAAGTGCTTGTGACAGGTTTTTAACTGGCGGCCTTAAGTAATGCGCAGATCATACTGGGGTTAAACCATTTATTACACAAATACTTACTTGTATTTAAACTGGGGTTGTCTTTTTGTGCCGGTTTAACAAAAAATTATCTGCATATTATCGAGTTTTTTGTATTTTATTAAGTATTTTACAAGTCATTGATCGACCGTCCCTGCATTCGGATTTCACCATTTTAATTGAAAAACTACATGTCTTATGATCCATCAATGATCCGTTTAGACCAGCATACGTCTTCTTGGCAGCTTAGAAATATCATCGACATGTACCCCAGATACTTCTACTGTTGTGTGTTATCGCTTTGATACGGGTTTAAATAAACCCCTTACAGTAGGGGATACAGCAGGTGGTTAATTTGGACAATTCCGCCCTCGTTGTATATTTGTAATAATCTCATGCACTTCACCATTACACGATTAACTGTTTAAGAATCATGCTAAGATTGCAATCGGGATAGCAACTAATATATCACCTGTAAGCCTACAATTGACCCTGCCTGGTTTTTCAGACTATATACATGTACAGGGTATATTAGTAAATAAAGCAACCATTGCTTATAACCACAAACCCTCTTCGCTTTCCTCAAACACTATTTAGCTTCTGTTATTTTTCAAGGCGTAGTTGGACAGTTATTTACATGTATCCCTGTTTATCCCAAAGAACCCAACATTCACCCTGCATCCCCCTTAATGAAATCCTTTCTTTTTGTCACGGACTTCAGCGTTTGACCGAATGTGTTAGATGTTCTGTGTATACATTCATGTAGGTAGGGGCAATTTATACCTTTTAGCACTTGGTTTATGTAATTTTTGTATTATTTAATTCTGTCTACGTCATTCAAAATATCGCTTGCTAAAATATGTGGATGATGCAGACTTAAGTCAGCAATCTCCAGTCTTTTTTCCTGCTACAGAGATAGGGAGGACTTTTTTCATGTAATCACTATGACACAGATTGACATGTTTGCTTTGTAGGTGATGTATTAAACGTTAGAGCAAAGTGCCACATTAATTTCCACACGGTGCTCAAAATAATCTGCAACAATAGGTCGTATCTTTTCTATGAGTTCTCTGTGTGATTGTGATATGTATGTTTAGCGATACCAAGGACAATACGTTCTGATAAAGCCAAAGGTGTGTATTTACACGTGCCAAATCTTAGTACAATAGCGTCTAGAGTCAATGATGTGGCCCTTGATGTGACAGTAAATTCTTTAATTTTGCCGTCATTCAAAGTTAGTCTTCATTTGACACCATAAATGTAGTCCATGGGCCAAATTTTAACAGCCCTTAAAACAGGTAAAAAATTAACACAGAAATAGAGTAAATGATAATGTAAAACATTTTAAAGGAGATTGCAAAACGTAATACAGGTTTACAGGTGTGTATATCTATAGTTCATAAATCTGCTCGTTTGACAGCTGAGTTTCAACTTTTTGAAAGTGGTTAAGATCTAAATGCACAGAACTGGCATTTAATATTCCAGTTTAAAGTTTTGACCAGTGTGAAAGAGTGTGAAAAGAAAAACGTCTTGCTAGGGATCAGTACAAGTTAACCAACTAACTTGCGGCTGCCTGTAGCATTACTATATTCCGTAATATGTGGTGATTTCAACTGGGTAGATTTTTTTGGGTTGGTCCTAGTATGAGTATGGCATAGCATGGCTCTTTCGTAAGTCCCCATAGTTCGATAACACCTGTAAAGACGATTTTAAAATTTTGCATACAAATTGCAAATTCAGCTGAGCGTAGCAGTGTGTCATAAAATAGTTGTTCTATACCAGAATATGATGCGAACCTTCAGCGTTTTCGGGCACAGGACTGGAACCATGTTGTTTTTGCAGTTGAATTCTAGTAGAGTTTGCAGCCTTTGAAGTGTCCTCGCTCCTAGAGTATCTGTGGATGGTAAGAACATCTTTGTGGCAATACACTGGTTGGCGAAAACCTGAACCACGTGAATAACATACAGACTTGACATTTAATATGGAATAGTTTAGTTTCGAAGGTATACTTAAGTAAAAACACGTTCTTTTTTCAAAAACATCCTATCTCATATAAGATTTGTGAATGTAAAAGTGTGCAGTAAGGTGTGTCACTACCAATTAACTGTTTTTCATGCCTATTGCGCTGCTCCATTATGTAATTTGCAGTGATTTACTTGGGTAGTGTTCCTTTGGGCTGATCAAAGCTTGGCTTAGGCAAAGCTTGGTTCTGTCAAGAAAGTATCCATATTTCGACAACTACTGCATAGAAGAATTTGAAATTTTGTATGCAAGCGGTCAGTTTTGCACTGCGTAAAATGAGTCAAGTAGTGCATTACAAAGTTGTTAATCTAAGGCAGAATGGCGCGAAAAAGACAAACATAACCAGACAGATCATAGCGCCAAACGGAACGGTCCCCACAGTTTTATAGAGTAATGCCCAGACTGATGTACCTACACAGATGTCACCCCCAATGAATCAAAATTTTACCTACAGGGTACAGGACCCACTGTCTATCGGGATACGCTGCTGCAACTAAACAAAAAAACATTTAGTCCGTTCAGAACGAGAGGTAAATTGCCACTAAAATGCGTTTTTCAAAGCCCTTAGCGAACACCAAACTGGTTTTAGCAGGTAAGAACACCAAATGACCTCCGAGGTACCCACTGTATACAGCAAAACATCGTCGTCTGTTTCTCTCATGAATTGGGGGCCACGAACGATTCTGGGTAGAACACTGAAACTGCGTGGCTTTCTTTATTGAGGTCAGATTTCACCTGTACCGCCCAATTAGTCAAAACAGAGTTTACAGATATCCAGAAGGGGCCTACAACGAAGCATATGCCGGGTTTAAAGTGACAAGGGTGATTAACAGCGTCAATATTTGGAGTAGATTCCACATTGGTGCCAAAACACCAATGGTAGTCATCGACGAAAACCTGAACCAGATCAAATAAAGGAATAATCTCGGAACCACTTGACTATCATTTGATCGGGGGGTACCATAGGAACAAGTCTAAGTTGCACGATGAGGTTGATGGTTCACACAGAGCACTTTTAATAGCAGATAACTTACAGAACCAAGGGAATGAGCAGCTACCCTGGTCATCAAAATCGCCACATTTGAACCACATAGACAATATTTCGGTAGACCATTATTCACCAATCAACTGCCTACATGTCCTACAACAAAACTGGGCCATATTGGACAATTTTAGACCGATGCCTGGAATGCTATTCCAGATTGAACTCTAAAAACCTACCCCCAAGAAATGCCTTGCCGCTTGAGAGCGCTGGCAACAGCCACGAATAGGCCAGGCGTAACAACGAGCATTACTGTGACTAGCAACTGACATGAGGGTCTTTTGTGGAGCGTATTACCCTTTTACAGACGATAATTTGGAAAATATGGAGATCCAAAATATCTCTTTTAATGGGAGTCGTATGACATAGAATAGGCAATGTGTTTTTGTTTGCTTCTCTGGCGAATTCCATTAATGAACTGATGTCACAATGACATCAAAGAGATAATTTAAAGTTATTAAAACACGATATGAATCCTTATTTTCATTTATCAGTCAGCAAAATAGGAAAAAACTGATAAAAATTATTTCGAAAAAAATATTCCATATTAAATGTCAAGTCTGTATGTTCTGGAAACCACCCAACACCCTTAAAAAGTTGATATAAAAATGACCTTATTTGAAAAATACAATTTTACTATTTATTTTTACCAATCAAATTGTAAGATTGTGTTACTTTCTTTCGTAAAGTTCAAGATGACTGTCATATAGTAAGAACATGTATCCCCAAGATGTACACGTACAAGCATGTATGTTTGAGGATTTAAATGAATCAATAAATGGTACCGGATGAGACCAAAATTGTGCCAGAAGTGTGATGTTATGTGACGTCAAGTGGTGTAAGACGCGAAGCTGAGTGGTCATTTTTAGCTGGAGGTGAACGGGAGTAAAGACATGGACTCGGAGAAGAAAAGCAGTTTTTCCAACAACATGGTAAGATAACATTTCTTCTTTACGCATTTAGGGCAGAGAATACTTGTAGAAATAATAGATGCATAATATGAAAACGTGTCACGGAAATGGAAGGTGCAAAACCGTGCTTAATTTGCAGTCAATTTGTTTTGAAATATATGCTGCATCGACCGCAGCGCGACAAAATGCGTCAAGGGGAAAGAATCCCTGGGAGGCTATAAATTGCACGGTTATTTAAAACTGAATCCTAAATAAAAAATGAAAAAAAAAAACGGAATGCTAATAACAATATAAGATGACATTTATTCTTTTACAAAAAACATGAAAGTTCATTTCACATCCGGTGATTTGAATCATGTAATTACTTGTTCATTCGAAATGTGCCTCTAGAAGGTGTTAAAATTCCACTCATAATGAAGTGGATATGTCAAATAGCTGTCAAGGCACGTATAGAATATCCAACTATTTGCCTCTACCAAAATAATGATTTATCAAAAACTTCATTACATATATTGCAGTTCTGATTGATCTTTCCAACGTCAAAGAAAATAACCAGGGGCCTATTTTAACCGATATACGGGATGAAAGGTCGAGTTCAGTGCGATATCAGGGATAAAATGAGTGTGGATGCCATTTCCTTGGGATACCAGTACCAGTTCATCAAGAAATATAGGTGAAGTAAAAATATAAGAATATATTTATTTATCGGAATGAAGTATATTTTACACATCGCATTGTTTTTCACCTTAGCGCCCCAAGGCGAATCAGCAGGAAGGTACGATAATGACTTATATTACGGCAAATTTCCTGAAGATTTTGTGTGGAGCAGCGCAACGTCAGCTTACCAAATAGAAGGCGGATGGAACGCTGATGGTGAGTTATGATATTCTAATATACTACATTTTTCTCTGCCAGACAGCGTTATCCACACCATGTCTACAGTTGAACAGTTACCATCATCTAAAAATCCATCACTGCCTGAAGTGGAAACTTCATTTTAGGTTCTGCAAGAGCGACCTAAATTGGCGAATTGAAAAATGGGTATCTAAGTTTGTGGCAAAACGCTTCGCAGCAAAGCTCTGAAACGGTTAAAATATTTACAGAATGAATACACATTTGTCAGAATCTTAATTTAAATCCGATCAAAGTAAAATGCATTTTTTTCGTTTTCGGTTATTTCAGAATATCTATGTAAAACCAGAAAACTGAATATCTTTCAAATGCTATCAGTATCAAAAACAGTATCATTATCAATATTCGCCTTTAAATACGTTTGTAAAATCTGCATATGCCATTTGGCATTTAACTGTCATTCACCAAAGTTTTAATAAGGACGGCGTTTAAAAAAGATACAACAAAGGAAATCTTGATTTGTGCCAAGGAATATAATATGCGGTAAGTTAATAAAAAGTTGATTTTAATTTTTAAGTAAGTCGTTCAAATGCAATTCAGTATACGTCGAATTATGGACATCCCATTGTATGAGTAGTGTAAACATGAGTTTGAGTTACGTGTACAATATACATCTGTACATGCACGCCACTGCACCACACTTACACAGATCCAGGCATTATTTAAACTTGATATAACTTAATATCTGTGCAAATATTTGACTTTAAGTCTATAACGTATTCAAATTTGGCTAATCAGCAACTCTGACTTGTTCCAATGCAGGCAAAGGGCTAAGTATATGGGACACATTCACCCACGCGGGAAAGGCAGCCAACAATGATACCGGTGACGTGGCATGTGATAGCTATCATAAGTATGAAGAGGATGTAAAGTTGCTTAAGGATTTACATGTGCGTACATGAAACTGTTGACCTTACAGGTCAGACAGTTGATTTAATATATTAAATGATCGCCACTTATAGTTCCAAGTCGTAAGATTTTGCCATTTAAACCCATTACCACAAATCAGAAAAACTTGAGAATTTCTTCAAAGGTTTCCTTTTGCTATCGGCACAAATATTAGTGTCTTGTTGATTAAAAATAAACCAAATAGTCAACCAGATCACCTATTTTACTTTTAAAAAAGGACAAGAAGTAGATACCAGCAGACTGGAGATTAGAAATAAGCAATTTTTTAACATTTACCCCAAAAAGAATAGTCAGTCAATCACTGTCGCCTCCGTCTCTTTAAGATTTCTTTTAGAATAAAAAATAAAATTCATTACATAAAACTCTAGATTTGTATTTCAGGTCTCTCACTATCGGTTCTCAATCTCCTGGCCCCGAGTTCTCCCAAATGGCACCATTGATAATATTAACGAAGCTGGGATCGATTATTACAACAATTTGATTAACTCACTCATCGCTAATAACATACAACCCATGGTCACCCTGTACCACTGGGACCTTCCACAGGACCTAGAGGACCAAGGAGGGTGGTTAAATGAAACTACCAATGAGCATTTTAAGAACTATTCTAGGTTGTGCTTTGAAAGATTTGGTGATAGGGTGAGTTGAATTGTCAGAAATCAAAGCACGTGTATAAATAACTGTGAGGTCACAGGCTTTATCTCTATAACAACGTGGGTTATCAGCTGTTGTAAATTCACAGTCAAGAAGCACTTGTTGTAAAATCCTTGTTTGAAGAATGGATCATAATAGGGGAGACCGGGGCTAGTTGGACCCCGGGGTAAGTTGGCCCCCCGTCATTTTATGAAAAAGTAACTAAGAGGTAAAAAAATTCACCACATACTCTTGTAAAGTGACCGTAGCCTACAATGCTAAGGAAGTGTCGGTCGTTAAAAAGTTTTAATTAAGGGGTGAGTCCAAATAAACTATTTTTGCACCTAAAAGTAATTTTGTTCAAGAGATTTAAAAATCTATTTTCATAGGCTTTTGATCGAATATAAGATATGTGTAGGGCATCAAACTGAAGCTCATTGTTTCAAGTTTCACAGAAATGTATCATCGTTGCTCATTCTAGCACCATAAATGGCTGCCATCCCTTAAAATAAATAATGTGCACCCGGGGCTAGTTGGCCCCCTTGACTCGGGGCAAGTTGGACCCTCATATTACCCACAATCCTTTGCGCGCAATGCTGTTTGAAATAAACAAGAAGTTGTAACTTCTTGAAATAAACAAGTTGGTGAAATTGACAAAGCTTGCCGGTGTTTACTGTCTGATTGTTTTTTTTTTAATTTGCTCTCTGATGTCTTTTCGAAAATTTATAGTAGAAATGTTCTGTTGATTGTATGTATTAGAAAGCAAATCCATTAGACTTTCCTTAGAAAAACATTTATTTTGCCTTAATTCATTGTAAGGTGATTTTATTGTATTTATAGTGTTATATGTGGCCCCAAGGGGATTTTCCACCCCTCCCATTGTGGAGACAAACTCAATGGTTTAAAACTGAATTTGTTACTTTCTTTTAAAACGTAAATTTATTATTCGTTTTCATTCATNAGTTGGCCCCCTTGACGTCAACTGCGTTTTTTGTCAAATTGTGAGCCATCTGGCATTATATTTGAAAAATAATGGCGTTGCATACGTAGCTTAGTTCATGGGGCTTACTTTGAAACCGGTTTTGTTACTCTAACCCATTCCTAGTTGTCTCTACAAGGCCAAAAGTGGCTAACTGGGCCAACTAGCCCCGGGCTCCCCCTACTTTATGGTTTTTAATTCCACTTCTCATGTGTTTAAAGATGATTTAATGATTACTGATAATGTTATTAACAATTGACATGACGACGTGAATATTGTATATATAGTCTTCAAATCACAGTTTTTCTCACCTGCAAAGCAACGTCCATGTTTACAATTGCCTTTTTGCTGGGTGAAATGCAAATATTGTTTACACTTTTATAAAAGGTGAAGTTCTGGATCACATTTAACGAGCCATGGATAGTCGCCTGGCTTGGCTATGGTGTTGCAGCGTTCGCCCCGAGAAAATATGGACCAGGTGATTTGGCCTATATTAGCGCTCACAACCTTATCAAAGCACACGCCAAGGCATATCATGAATATGATGACCACTTCAGAGCAACGCAAAAAGGCACGTATTTTATCATAACCTTGAGGTATATAGATAAAATAATTGAATAAAAATTTTGTTGAAGGAAAAAAACATTCATTCGACTTTGTTTATTTATTTATTTATTTATTTATTTATTTATTTATTTATGTAATAGTGCATATATAATTTAAATATGAATCTTGTTGTGTCAACTTTAGGCAAAATCGGGATTACACTGAACGCCGGGTGGTCTGAGCCAAAAGACCCGAGCAGCCTCAGTGACCAAGAGGCCTCCCAAAGGGATATGCAGTTTCAGCTCGGCTGGTTTGCTAACGCGATATTTGTTAACGGCGACTATCCAGATGTGATGAAATGGCGCATCGGAAATAACAGTGAGACACAAAACCTGCCTAAGTCGAGATTACCAGCGTTCACTGATGCTGAAAAAATATATAACAAAGGTAAGTTGCAATTGGTTTTTATTCTACTGTTACTAATGCTTCATTTCATCTAATCTAATTTTGTATGAACATTATTATTTTAATATCACTGTCCTTCCTACGATGTACACCTGTATGATGTGTATGACTGCGCGTTGGCAGCAAATTTACAGATAAAAAAATTTAAAAAATTGGACATTTTTACGTTGAATGCCATATGAAACTTTTGCCTACATATGGTATTTGTGAAGGGACGTATATGTACGTGTTCTTGTATTGTTTGATATAATAACAGTCGATGCTTTTATTCATTCGTTAATGGTTTAATATTCTTCTATGTTTAGGTACATCGGACTTTTTTGGCCTCAATTTCTACACGTCTAGTCTGGTAACCGACAACAAGAATGTGAATCGGTCGGTGCAGAGTTATGACGTAGATAAGGGCGTTGCCGGAGAAGCTGACCCTACCTGGAAAGAGTATATACAATTTTACATAAGCCTTTTATTTTGAGTAGAAATCTGTTCGAAAATGCCATGGTATATACCAGTAAGACATTAAGAGATAACTCCTCGAGTCAATCTTATTTCGTTAGATGCATTGTTTCTGTGTGTATTGAACTGATACCTGATAATAAATTAAGAGCACATTTTTTTTCCTCCTCATTCGTCAAACTTATACTTTCAATTGGCTTCGTGTATAGATCAGGTTCTGGTTGGTTAAAAGTGACTCCGTTTGGCATGCGCAAGGTTTTGAAATGGATCAAAGACACATACAACACTCCCGTCACGTACGTTACGGAGAATGGAGTCTCAGACCGAACGGGCGTCTTGAATGACACAGACAGAATTGACTATTACAAAAATTACATAAACCAAATGCTAAAAGGTATAAATTGTGCTTTGCCATTTTTTATTTTCCCCTCTCTCTCTCTCTCTCTCTCTCTCTCTCTCTCTCTCTCTCTCTTTTGTTTGTAATGCCATTATAACATTATGCAGACTTGACATTTTATATGGAATATTTTTTCCAAATCATTTTTCATCAGTTTTTCCCTATTTTGCTGACTGATAAATGAAAATAAGGATTAAAATCGTGTTTTAATAACTTTTAATTATCTCTTTGATGTCATCGTGACATCAGTTCATTAATTGAATTCGCCACAGAAGCAAACAAAAACGCATTGTCTATTGTATGTCAAACGACAACCATTAAAAGAGATATTTTGGATCTCCATATTTTCCAAATTATTGTCTGTAAAAGAGTTACACGCTCCTCGAAGTCAGTGTCTAGACCTGCCCAAAGGAACACTACCCAATTAAATCACTGCACATTACATAATGCAGCAGCACAACAAACCTGGTATTCAGTTAATTGGTAGCGACACACCTGACTACACACTTCTCCATTCACATACCTTATATGAGATCGGAGTTTGTTTGAAAAAAAGAACGCATTTTTACCTAGCCATACCTGGAAACTGAAATATTCCATATTAAATGTCAAGTCTGTAGTATATTCAAAGGTACCATCCAAGGCCGTACATGTAGGCATTGCCCATGTGATTGCTAGCGTAGCCGGTAAAAGACCTTAATGTACATTTAAACTTTGAATATCGTGACATCAATTAACCCCAAATTATTTTGTTTCATACTAAATTCAGTGTGTGGTTACAATTTTATGGTACCGTAACTAAATGTTTTATTTTACATTCTACAGCAATGAAACTGGACGGCTGCAATGTTAAAGGCTATACCGCTTGGTCATTGATGGACAACTTTGAATGGGCAAGTGGCTACACCGAGCGTTTTGGTCTCCATTACGTCGACTTTACGAAGCCTGATCGACCAAGAGTCCAAAAAGAATCAGCGAAATGGTATGCAAACTTTGTGTCAAACCCAGAATTTGTCAGCAATGGCACTACTGTCCCACCTGTCAGCAATGTCACAACCGTCCCACCTGTCAGCAATGTCACCACTGACCGCACTTATAGCGGCGTCAAGTCATCCATGAGAACGGGGCTTTTCCAAGCTGCGACATGGCTATTTGCCGCATTAGTCGCGTATCTGTAGTTTTGAATATAATATATTTGTAGAAGTACCATTGTACTTTGTAGAAGTCTTTGCAGAAGTACTTTAATCTGTCCATGTAAATCGTCGACCAAATTTGGTGGTTAATTATAGACAAAAGTTTATTCTCATGCAAAGTGTCAGGCGCAGTTGTATATCGGTAGCAAACACGTCTACATATGCGGCGGAGGTGCCGTAGTAGTTAATGCTGTAAAATTAGCTCGAGACGTGCATGTGAGAAAATTATGTATAAAATTAAGTTTTTTAAACTTCAGCTAAATTCTGGTAAAATGTGAAACGAAAAAAAATCATAGATATTGACCCACTGTACAACGATTCCTACATCAACGACGTAGTTTGTCGACAAATGAATGTGTTTCCAATCTTGGCTGACTGAGGAAAGGTTTGAGAGAAAATATTCTAAGATGAGGCGTGCATGTGTGAGTACATGTAGGAAGTGTGCTGCAATCAAGACGAACAATACTGGTCATAAGTGGACAGGCACTAACCCCTAATATTAAGGGCTCCTTTACACTGGACGGCGTCCTTTCTGCGTCCCTTCTGCGTTCAGAAATGTGGTCAGGACGCTCAACGGTCGCCAAAGCAATTAAATCGTGTCTCAGTGTAAAGACGTTTGCGTCCCTTTTCATCCTTTGAACGACCGAATCTTGATTTTTTACTTGTAAAACTGCGAGCAACCTGCCTGCCTCCACTGTACGTCCCCTGTGCAACCCAAGGCGTCCATTGCGATGTTTGAGCGACCATTGAGCATTCTTGCTGCGTTCTCTGTACCTTCATCGGCGATCAGTGGCGTCTATTCTACGATCATTCTGCATCCTGCTTGACCGATGAGCGTTGTTTGGGCGTCCTTCTCTATATTCTAACTCATATTTTTTCATCTGTTCGAACCAGGTCATCCAATAAAGAACCTTTCCAGCACACAAAACAAATAAATGGGAATAAATGGCTGTCGACATCAGTAAAAAATGCAAAGCCGCTTTCTATGGTTTAAAAAAAATTCAAACTATCCCATATCCTTGATAAAAGTCGTATGGAGAGGCTTGTTCATGTCTTTATAACTTCACATCTTGACTACGGAAACAGTCTACTGTATGGTCTTCCTACCTACCAAATTGAAAATTTGCAATCTGTCCAAAATGCTGCAGCACGACTACTGACCAAAACCCCTCTCAGATCAAACATTTCACCCATTTTATTCGAACTACATTGGCTTCCTGTACGATAGAGAATTGTTTTTAAATTACTGTTGTTTGCTTTTAAATTCACCATTTAGTGCGGTTTTAAGAAATATTTATTATTATTATTATTATTATTATTATTATTATTATTATTATTATTATTATTAATAAACGCTTTCAACTATAGTGATGCAAAGTCTACATGGACTGATAATCAGCCAGATGCTCATTGTTATCCTTATAAGAAGGATAGACAGGCCCCGAAAACGAGAAAGTATGACTGACACAACATATAATGTTTGAATCCGTTTACAAATGACGCATTCTGCAAAAAGTTCTGTCAATCAATGCATCTTGTAAAAAAGGCAAAACATTCCTTTTATAATAACCTCAAAAAATGGATCGCTTCATGAATTTTAGGGGAAAAAAACAATCGGAGGCTGATATGAGACCACTGTTGCCCATAGAATTCCTGTCTGGTGAAAAATACCTCAGCACGGTCCCGTTTGAGAGTGAAAAAAAAGTTCTATGTGCTGAACACTGGACGATCTTTGAGTTTTCATTCTGCAACCAAAGCGATGCTTATGCCTCCTTTCTACGACCGCGGCGATGCTTGTGCGTCCTTTCTCGCGTCCATTGAGCGACCATCCTCCATCGCGTTCTCTCTGCGATTGATTTGAACATGCTCAAAACTTCACGGCGTCCTCGGCGATGCTTGAACGTTCTTTGTGCAACCTTGGCGATCACTGTGCGTTCTTTGAGCGTCCGACGGCGTCCTGGACAGTTTCATGGTCGCACAAAGGACGCAGAAAGGACGCCGTCCAGTGTAAGGGGGGTTTAAAGGCCCGGTCACACCTACAGAACGCACGAGGTACGCATGCATTGCGCATGAAAATTAACCAAATGCGCTGTTGTGCGTCCAACTTTTGACAATTTGCCAGAAAAATCGTGAGTTAATAGCGAATACATAGCGTTTTGTTGGCGTATTTTGCGTATAAAGGGCGAATGAAGATGGAATATAGAACGCACGCGTAAAAAAATCTAACGAATGCAAAACGGGTTTTTGGCGCAAGGAACGAATGGCCCGCGCATTCAGCACGCATTAAGCGAACAGATAGCGTTCCTCAGTCAGCAGCAATCACGTGTCTCGTTCTCTATATATAAAAATTGCAGATTATGTAAAAAGCAACCAGTGAAGTTTATTTTGGATACACATTTATCGTTTTATTCATTGGGAAGGTGATATTAAACAGCAAAATAATAAAGAGAAGCATTAACATGATATACACTGTCAATGTAATTGTTTTTCAATTATAACCGAGCATTGTTTTTAGACAGATCATGTAAAAATCGAGCTTTACAAAATATTTAAATTAAGACGATCTAAGAGAACAAAATTTAACCCTGATTGTAACTTTAATTACAGTAACATCACATGTGCATAATGTATTTTGTACCTCTGTGTATTATTAAATGTCTTCTTTAGTCTATGTTTTTAAAAATGTCATTTCAAAGGGAAGACAGAGGTGGTCTAAATCATCCTGTCTTGCCATAGAACAGACCCGGCTTCAGAGCTGACCCAGTGTTTGATGAGATTTCTCTTTTTTTTCCCTTTCTTGCTGGACGTGTTGCTGCCAGTGACGATGCGGGTGTCCTCTAGATTTTGGCCATTTCTCTACTCACCAGAAGCAAACTCTTGACCCAGGTTCTCGGAAACGTCAAGCTGGATCTGCAGTGAATACCGGGTCCTCATAAGGTTGTGGAGGATGATGCTTGCTATTACAATCTTTTTGATGGCCTTGGGCTGCTGCTTCACAAAAACTCAGACGCACAAGAGCGAATGAAAACGAATGCAAAACTGTCGCCCGGCGCGTTTAACGAATGCAGACGCATAACAGCGCACCGGCCAAAATTGCCAATTTTTTTAGCGCGTCGGCCGCACGCCGACCCTGCGTCGTGTAGGTGTGACCGGGGTATAAGCGAGGATCACGCGGGGCCGTGTTGACTCCTTGCTGGGAAGGGGTAGCGGCGTCCTACTGCTGTGAGTAATCACACATTGTCTTCTTACTTGCGGCTACACGTGAGTTGCATTGTATTAATAACCTAAATTTATTAATAGGGAAGGGGGCGGACGGTAATCTTACGAGAAATAAATCAGTTATCGATCTTGCGCGTACCCGTAGTCCGGTTTAATGGCTACACGATACATGTAAGTGTCAGAGGATAAGATATCCCTAAAGCGGTCACAGGCCTAAGGTCTTCATGCAGGATGCACGCGTACAACATAGCCCACCAACCCAAAAATTAATCAGTAAATGACGTGTTTAGAGATAACATTAATATTTACCCAGAGTGGATCTGAGAGGATTTATGAGACGTGCATACGACAAGAATATTTGATCAGTATTCAGTTGCAAGGCCATCAACAAAACTTTGGCTTGTGTGTTTATCTTACGTTGTGATAAGTGCTTGACATGTTTTTAACTGGCGGCCTTAAGTTACCCTCTACCAGGGCGAGTTGAGTTTTAAATGACCATCTATCTAGCTAGAGACATATCTGTGAATATCTGTAAAAAATATATCACTTGCCCTGGTAGAGGGTAGCCTTAAGTAGTGCACAGAAAATACAGGGGTTAAATCATTTATTACATAAATACTTACTTGTATTTAAACCGGGTTGTCTTTTTGTGCCGGTTTTATAAATAATTATCTGCATATTAATCGAGTTGCATGTATTTTATCTGGTATTTTTATAAATCAATGATCGACCGTCCCTGCATTCGGATTTCACAATTGTAATTGAAATACTACATGTATTATGATCCATTAATGATCCGTTTAGACCAGCATACGTCTTTTTGGCAGCTTAGAAATATCATCGACACCAGGTACTTCTGTTGGTGTGTGTTATCGCTTTAAACCTCTTACTGTGTAGGGGATACAGCAGGAGGTTAATTTGGACAACTCCGCCCTCGTATATTTGTAATAATCTCATGCACTTTCACTATTACACGATAAACTTTTTAAAAATCATGCTAAGATTGCAACCGGGATAGCAACTAAGGGTGCTTTCCCAGAGATTTAGATCGATCTAGAGATTAAGAGTTAGATCGACCTAACTCCCTTGGGGTTCACGCTGAATTGCAGTCAGCCGAGCGGGCACCATAGTTAATTACCCCCTCTATCGATCTATCCCCGCAGGGAGTCTCACTAGATTACTGTCAGATAATCCGGCTTAAATGTCCGTCCCGCCTACTACAAGCTGTAAGGGGGTGATTAACTTTCGTGTCCGCCCGGCTGACAGCTATTTAGCGTGAACCCCCGGGGAGTTAGGTCGATCTAAAGTAGATCGATCTAATCTCTGGAAATGGGGTCATAGACCGAATGCGTTAGATGTTCTGTACATTTATACATGTAGGTAGGGGCTTGGATAACAATCGCAATACCACACACAGACACACACAGCACATAAATTCACTTTTATTTTTTTCCACTGTATTGATAGCAAAAAGCTTATCACAGTGGTTTGTGTTTAAAGGTATCACATTGTATATGATCAAGGCAGAGAGTTTGGAATCTTTATAGCACGTGCATACTATACTAGTAGTAGACTAACAGCTCCTCGTGCATTGGTGCCGATGGAAGATAAGAGAAGCTGAAAATAAGGTTGAATATTAGCAAATGTGTGAAGCTGCTAACTCTGAGCATGACCAGTTGCAATATGTTCGACAAAAAGTCGATTCCTTTCCGTTTGTAGTAAATTGCCCTAATTCTTCTTTACCTTGAAATTGACCAAACGTTTAGCAGGCGCACTTTGAAAAGAACTCCAGCACAGGTCAAACGGACATCAACTTTTTCGTCTTCCGTGCCGTTCACAAGTAATGGACGAAAATACAACTGCACATATGTAAAGACCTTTATTAGCAACAGATCCATAACTCTTACTTTAAAAATCTATGAAATTTGATATTTTTCTGTTTTGCTTTTTTTCGTTCGACATAAATATTTGTCCAGTGGCGGATTCACGGGGTCCTGATCCCCCCTTCGAATTCTGAAAAAAATCACACCCATGGTCTCCTGTTGAAATTAGAATTTTGACTACCTGAATTATTGTTTTAAACTGTACCAAATGGCACTGTTCGCCCTCTAAAATACCAAATTTTTAGCGGGCCTTTAACCCCATGCCAGGAGGGGGGGAAGGGTAGGGTCCGCGGACCCCCCCCCCCCACACACACACACACAAATAATCCTGGATCCGCTCCTGTTATCTATATCAAAAACACAGTTCATAATATAAATGCCAACAGTAATATTATTCCAAATATTAGTACATTTTTTCTGGCTTACTTCGCAGGGGTTATTCACATGAACGCGAAGAAACAAAACACAATGTAAAGGTTCTCTATTGTGTGCCATCATGGGGTCTTAGGGGTCTTCTCAGAATTTTCTTTAGAAGCCCATGGGAATATCTTCGGTTGCATTTTTAACCTAAGTAATAAAATGAAAATTTACACTAATAACTCCGCAGTATAACATACCAAAGAGGTTATAAACACACTCTTCTACATTCTAATATTTACAGTTCGAAGTGGATTCTGCATTTACATCATGTCTCATTTAAGTGAGGTATTTATAGTAATGGGTTAAATAATCCCGTGTTTTCTTGTCTAGTAATCTTTTATTTCATCTCTCCAGTAAGCACATTCTGCTTGTCGGAGCGAAGACCCGATGACAAAATTATCTGGTGACCGGAGCTCTAGATACTGGCGCGTCAATGAATCTTCGAGCGGCCATCTTGGCAACCCAGCTGCATTTGGATTCCTATGGACGAAAAACAAAATTAATCATTGCCAGCACCACCGTATGTTGATTTTAGCTGCATTCATAATCAAAACAGTATATTTGAAAAGAAATGAAGGATATGAAATAAAAACTGCTTGTCTTACCCAGTCTTTGCAAAATTTGTCCAGTATCTCATGATTTTGTCTGAAAAATTCTGTTCCGATGATGTAAAATTCTCACTTGGAAAATAAGGCATTCCAAAAACCCACTGAAATGATATGATAGTGGTGGCTAAGGAAAATGTTGCGATACAAGGTTAATGTTCAATGTGGCTATAAAGAATCCCCTATTAAGATTCTTTATGTCTCCTTGATCTAAGCTAATTTGAATATAACAACATGCTGATAAAGTAATGTGACAAACTCAAGTATGATGTTCGAAATTTGGCCGGTGACGGCCGCATTTATTGAAATTCCCAAATACTAAGAGAAATGAAGCAGACTAATAATAAACACTGAATAGTGTTGACAAATGACATTTAACATTAATGTGTGCGCCGTCGCCATAAATTAACGTTTGACTACGCCAAACTTCCCTTTTTATTCAAAATGTACCATGTTAATGTACTCAAAATGAAATTACAGTGTATTTAATTGTCTTCAATGTATTTGACGGTCAAAAGCACTCGAAAAATGCTTTACATTGCAATTTATATTAATATGTATGCACTACTTAATATGTTTTCTTACCTGACAATCTGCCCCATGGATAACACCCATCCAATCAGGCCACACCTCGTTGGAGGCCCTGTGAGTCAGTTGGTAGAAGTACGTTTTCAGACCGATAGAGGTGTAAGTCCCTGAGAATGTTTTAGTGGGACAAATAAAACTTCTGTCGCCAACTATGTCGTCTAAAGCATCCCTATATTTAATTGTGCTGTTCTTGGGGTTATCGGCGGTATAATAAGAAAAAAGAGATGTTTTATTATCAGCAGGTAGATTCCACTGAGTAACATTAATAGCTGCCTTTAATTGTTCTGCCGTTTGAGCGCTTGGATCCTGTCTTGTGTATGTGTCAACACCGTATAAAATCCAAAATGTTCCTTCGTCCTTGTTCACTCCAGCTAAAATGTCTTTTCTTTGAAACAATCCTAACTCAAGCATCCGATCAGGGTGCAACGGGACGACCTCGCCGTCTACGACAGGTGCCCATGGAAAAACCAAAAACCTCGCGTCAACCCATTCGTTATTAAGAATGTCGTTGGTGGGTTTAGCGCGTAGACAGTCCAAAATTTTAGCGTCATTTGGGCATTTTAGGGAATTGAAAAAATCCTGTGATCTTTTCTTGGCTTGTTCGGCACTCATGAGAGCCCAGAATGCGGTAGGAGAGCCGCTTTGGAGTATACCGCGTTTGAAATAATTGCTGCTCTTTGGGTAAAGTAAATGAAAGCCTATGCTGGCGGCACCAGCACTTTCGCCAAATAATGTAACGTCTTCTGGGTTACCACCGAAAGCTTTGATATTTTGGTTGATCCATTCTAAAGCGAGCACCTGATCTTTGAGCCCGAAGTTTCCTAGAAAATACATAACACAGACGAATTAATAAGCAATATCATTTTGATCATTATTTATGCTTAATCATGTATAAGTTGCTAATATTTTTAACATTGGACTTGCTTTATAGTTTACTGTTCGATAATGATTCTGACAGTACTTAAGATTATCATTTCATCGATACATTTATCAACTACTCGACAGACACACCTTTGATCCTACCATCCCCGGTGCTAAGGAACCCCAAAGACCCGGTTCTGTAGTTGAAGGAGACCACAATTACATTGGTGTGACCCGCTAACACCTGTCCGTCATACACCGATAGGGCACTGCTGCCGCCATAGAACCCACCGCCGTATATCCAGACCTGAAGGCAGCGAGCAGCACAATCATGAAAAAATGGGAGATAATGAACTAATATGAGCTTAAGATATATGAAAAAAGTAGGTAGTTTATGTTAATAAATAAATTTATGCTGCAGAAATTCAGGCCACATAAATAAGTTAAAATTCAATTTCCTTCGAAAAGGTATTGAAATTAATATTTGAGTCTACTTTGAGTGTGATAAACTGTCGCGGCATTTCTCTATTGCTACATTAAAGTGCGTTACCATCACTGTCGCATCTTTGGGTCTGGGGTGGGGTACCCAAATGTTCATGTATAGACAGTCCTCACTCAATGTATTTTGTGCATTCCACATGTTGGAGCCTTTGAAATCACCGTATGTTTCGTCTAGAAACTGGATACAAGAATTTCCATACTCAAATGCTTCATACTCGGCTGAAAGTGAATTACACCAAATCTATTACCTTCGGTTCTTTATTCATTAATTCATTCATTCATTCATTCATTTCTAAAATCACAAAAGAAAAGACAAAACAACGACCAAAGTGACAGACAGACTGTGTGTATAGGCAATACAGACAGAGCATAGAAATGCAATGTAACAATTAAACTATCACCAGGAATTAATGGAGATAAGGTAATATACGCATTGATTGCTCATGACGTAGATTCTTGGACGTAGACAATTCACAATTAGACCCAAATTGTTCGGAAAGCTGAGTGCAATTTATACCTACTTTGCCAAGCATCGGCAGGCATGGGATCAGCAAATCTCAGCTGACCAACTGGGGGCTTGGCAAAGGGTATCCCAAGGTACCGTTGAACATATCGGCCCTCTGGAGTCTGTATTACTTTTCCCCGCACGGCCCCATTATTCGTCTGCACTAGTGGAACTTGAACAGAAATTAACAGAAACGTGAAAAAATGTCTGTGCACACCTTATGCGGTTCAGTGAAGAAGATTTGTTAAGTCATTAACACTCTTTGACTTGTATTACCTAATTACCGGAAGTCATTTGCGTGACTACCGAGCATTTTACACCTATAAATGCGTTAACATAGAAAATGATTCACTCTGACGGAGAATATTGGATTTTCCTGTGGATTATTCTCAAGTCGTGCGAAATATCGATTTGTTGTTTTCTATTTCGAAAGGAAGGCATCACTGTTGTGTCGTGCAGCAACGGAACATTAACCTTATTAAAAGTGTCTTGATTTTTTCCCCTTTTTTCCACAAAGCACTTCAGCAAAGCAAATTGTCTACATATGTATCACTCACATGTTCTCAAAACTTTGTAGACTGAGTTAATAGATTACGTTAAAAAACTCATTATTCCGACAAGTCAGATTTCGACCCACTTTCTCAACAACATAAACCTAAAAAAACGCATGTCACATTATATTTGATGAAGCATATCAAATACAGCAACCGTAGCACCATATCACCTGTCGCTCTGTAGATGTTTGTGTAACACCACCACGGCTGATGCACAACCCAAGTTCCTTTATGCGAAAATGTTACGTGATAATACGGTAGGAAGTATGTCTTCATTCCCCAGCTCCACCGGTACATACACCCGGTACTAGTAATCTCGGCCAATATCAACACCGTGACAGCCACTCCTTTCTTTACAGACTGCAGCATTCTCGTTCACTTTCCCCGTGCCACTTCAGGAGGTAGATGTGTTGAAATGACGGCACTTATGGCGTGGCCAATCTAAGTCAACGCCGCTTATTTCTCCATCTACATGTATACAAGGTGTTAGGCGTAGCCCAAAAAAAGGACAAGTTTGTGTTTTGAATAAAAACCCTATTACTAATGCGTCAACGCTGTGGTTTTGATTTTAAGGAGATAGTTAAAGGGTATTTGATATTTTATGATATTGCTATTAAATATAATTAATAAAAAGTCTTTGGTGTAGATATTATAGAGTTGGCATGTTAGTTTGGATGGCCTCAGGTATATCCTGATATTTTCACCTCGGAAAAAGCAGTTATCCAGTTACCGTCTGTACACCAATTCGCCTTCAATTTCATCACCTCTTCAATTAAATTAAATTGAATTAAATTTATATAAAGCGCACCTTACTAGTTTTTACGTCACAACATTTTTATGGAATTTAGACATAGGGGTACGCACCATCAGACGGGTCGGATTCTGTCGTTGGAGGGGTAGGCGATGTTTTGATGTCCAATGCCTTGTCAAGTCCCCACGATTTCAATTTTCCACATATGTCCCATTGGTTCTTACACTCAGTTCTACTAATCTCCGCCAATATCAACACCGTTACAAATAAGGTTATCTTTGCAGAGTGTAACATTTTCGTCATTTCTCTTTGCACCTTCGGAGAAAAAATGATGTGACCGCACTTGTGACACAGGCGGTCGGACCTGTTTGCACATTATGTGTGATAAACTTAACCATTAAGGGGACACGCTTGTGCTTTGAATCAGAATGACACTTCGTATATTAATTTTGTGATTCTTAAATTGGCNGAATTTGATTTAAACTCTTTTACGTTTTACTCGTAACAACATGTTGTTTTAAGTATACTTTCAAGTGTACGCACCAGCAGCTAGTTCAGGACCCGTAGTCGGTAGACCGGGCACTGTTGTAGATTCAGGTATTGCAGATGGCGGCTGTTCAAAACCCAAAGACTTCCCATTAGCAACTACAATTAGAAAAAAAACATTTACAAAACATAGTACCAACCTTGTCATGATTGGTGCATTTGTTTTGTAAAGAAATACATATGCTAGACAAATTAGTGGGAAAGAGCAACTGATACTTTTGATTTGTCAGAAAGTCTGATTCATGTGTCGCCACCAATAAAATAAAAAAGAGGTTGTAAAGTTTTCCATTAACGCTAAAATTTTTACCGTACCAGTTGTAAGCGCCTCGAGCTTTTTTTTAACCTCTGGATATACTGATAAAAGAATATGTTATACTCCATTCTTGTAATCTGGCACAATATACTACTCGAATAATATTACTTATAAAATTAGATTTAATCCGAGCGCGTTTAGACCAAACCAAGTCCAACCTGGACTGGCAATCGGCCTTAATGGCGTCACACTGTTAAAGGAGCAAAGGGGCCTCTCTGGTCGAATTCGGTCAAAAATAGCTATGTATCTCTTTGAGTTAATCTAATTGTTAAAAGAGTATCCACACACGTACCCGTGAAGACAGCTAAGAGGGCCACCAGTGCGCCAAGTATAAAGAATAGCAACAGAAACACAAGGCACCAACACCAAGTACTCCTCTTTCGGCTAGCCTTGTCATCCTTTGTGGAAGACATCTCTCTATAGCGAGAATTTATCTGGGAGTCTTTTTCATCCGAGAACGCTGGATTGGACAGCCCCTGTGGTTCCATCTCGTATTTCTGCAAAATAGGAATAATTTGAGCTTGCATGATTAAAACCACCTTCCTTTTGATATACTCACATGTTGGTGACAGTTTTTTCTACAGCATTGTGCTTCGGTATGTAACATTCCACAGGTAGGCATTCTTATCGAAAAATTGAGGTGCCGTTTCGGTTTATCAAAACAAAGAAGTTTAGACAGCTAGTAAAATAAATGATATCGATAATAAAACGATGTCACAGAAATGAATCAGTTGCGCGGATTAGACCATTTCGCCATCATATGACCTTTGATATTCCGGTGTGTAAGTTGCCTGGTTCGTGACAGCCACGATCTGTTTACTCAAGCATGCGCAGTGTCAATGATGTCTCACTGATTTTGACATAAATCAATAGATTGCAAATGCAAGTATGCCATTTCCTCAAGTACCGTAAAGTACCTCACTATTTGCGTCTCCCATTAACATTCTGGTAGTGTTTTCTCTGGTTGCAAAAAGGAAATAAACGCAAGACATCATACATATTGCTTTGCTCATTTTGTTCTGTTTGTACTGCTTTGTTGAGAATTATGCGTAAGTGTCATTTGCCCATCGATTGTCAGCTAAGTTATGTGATAGAAGATCGGTATTGCGTGATTCGTCAAGTATAGAGGCAACAATTATGCATGAGTGGACAATTGATGACGACGTTATACCTGAAGCGTTATTCGCTTCAGCAAGAGAGGAATACGTCGGAGACATTTAATAATTCATAAACAATTTAAGTGTCTTCACGTAATATTTTTGTTTGTAGTCCGTTTTCCACTTATTTCTCTATTATCCTTTTTCTAATGCATAGAGTATCATAGTGTTAAGTCATCTTGTTTGGTAGTCTATACTTTTGGAAAAAGTTGAAGAATCCTTTATTTTGGTTTAAGAGAAAAGAATTTGATCCCCCAAACTAGTGAGAATGAACTGAGCAAGCATGGAGTTACAAATGTGTCATTAACGTATTGAAACCGGCTATTGTTGTCTATGTTGAATTTCCTCGCGACCTCTACGTGAAAATTTTGACCACGAATCCTGGAAGTATAATTCATGCGTCATCCACCTATTTGTAATGTTCATCCTTGCACGGTTTCGGATATGGTACATGATTTTCTGCAGGTGTCGTCATAAAAAACTGTATTTAAATTCGTATAACAAGTTGGCAATTTATGCCTACACCATGCTGATACTGTAGGAGCTTAAGGTTTTGAGATAACCAAATTTAATCACCTATTTATTTCTTTGGTCGATAATCTATTAATTAAATTTATGTATTTATTTATTTGTTTATTTATTTGTGTAATTACTTTACTTGCGTTCTATTCTTTAGACCATTGTATAATTTTTCTATTTTAGGAAGAGTTAATCACACTTAATGCATTTCACCAATAATTTCAATATTTTACTCATAACTGTTTTAGTAAATGGTCGAGGATTTGTTTCAAACTACATGTATTGGTAACATGCTTCCCTCTACCGCCCAGTTAAAATCCCTTCTGTTTTCAATACATAAAATATTTAAGTTTCGGATCACAACTCCTAGTAATAAGTAAAGCTTGACAAGTTAGCTTGTGACATCCCAATATGCTGGAGATGTTTTTAGATGATATATTTCTATTTCAGTTCAATCAAAATGTCTGTCAGGATAAACCAATGCTCTGATCTCTTCGACGTATCTTTATACAACAGTAACGCAAAAAAAGCATTAGTCAATCCCACAAAAAGAATGCACCTAATGTAAATAAAAGGCGAGTGCGGTGATTGAATTGAAATTCTCTATGTTCTCGACTCAGAAAGGCTTGCGTTAAATGTCTTATTACTTTTAACAACATTGAGTTATACGTGATCAAATTTAAAAAGACATACTAAACCTACCATGCATAGTTCCGCATTGACCAAGCGATCGCTAGAACCGTTAGCGGTTGACATAGCAAGACTAAATCCAGTGCAATAACGCAGCGACTTGATGTAGGATTGAATCCCTGCAGGCGGCTAATACGTGGAACTGATTAATTATTTAGTAAAAGAACGTCGACAGAGGAATTGTATTTAGACTTTAGGCCTTCACTATAAAAAAAGCCTGCAATGTTGGGTGGCAGAGATGGAGGTCGAAACAGTTGTGCCGGCATAAATAAGGTGCGTTTTCCAGGTTAAGTGTTTTACCACTTAAATTGTAATTTTTTACGACAAGAAGCACACGGTCCAGCAGCTCACACCATGATTCAGGGGCTAATTGATAAATAAACATAGTTTAGGGGCTGACATTCAAAACAATATACTAACCAAAAACAGAAGGCGAAAAAGAAAGCAGCATTTTCTAGACTTGGTTTACGAGATTTATGATATGGCATAATTTTCTAAATTATTAATGACTATTCATCAAAATATTTGTAAAGCGTAATTTGAAACCTTATAATTATCATATTATATAATGCAACATGCACATGTATTTTCCTATTGTGTCCGTGCACACATGTATCACTAAAACAGCTTAAAACACTTATGCGCGCTGACTTCCTAAAAGCTGGGTTACTCATTTCTCGGCATTATTATACGGAGCAGGTTAAGCTTAATGTACGAAATAGTCTTAACAACATTTTGGTTTTTGCACTAAGACTATGGTGGTCTCATTACTATCACATTACATTGCATGTATATTGCTATAATAACAGAAAAAAGAGCAGGGTATTACTTACAAAATCATTCTTTGTAGATTCTCATCCACCGACATTACCACAACAACCTTGATAAAGCATGCTCAAATCACTGTTAACGGCAACAATAATTTGCAGAGTATAATTGAAATTTTAGGCTTGCGTTTATTGGTCATTGCCATAAATCCAAACAAAACAGAAAACACTTAACCCGAAGTGCTACACACCTTTTTTTCCCATTTTCACGATATAATGTATAAGTCACTGTGGTATTTCCTCACGGTCAAAATATTTTCCTTAGCGTGTAACATTTTGCAAAGCTGAAAGTAGAAAACACAATCTTTGGAATGTAAATCATTGTGGATTTCTATTGCACTGCGTGTTTGACCCAAACTAGTGATACTCAATGCTACCACAGTGAGATTTATATGTTGTTTCACTGTAGAAAAAGCACAGAAACACGCTGAACTTATATCCGTAAAAGACTATTGAAACAATGAAATTAAAACATCATTGATAACAGAGCTGATAAAAAGAAAGAAATCACAATGCCCTTAACATCTTAGGCACATGGCGCATTAATAGCTCACTTAAAAACCACAGGAACAATACCCCTTTAATCTTGAGGGATAAAAAGTAATATTAACACTGACAGGAAATTACTTGAAATGAATGGCCGCGTCACGGCTTTTTTAGCTATGTTAATTTATTTGCTGTGAAATGATATAGGGGTTGTATAATTCCCTTCATCCTTCTGCTTTATTACTTTGTTTTCCGGCAGTGTGGAACTGACAAACGGGAAGGGCAGATGGAAAAATTGTTTATTTGCTAAAATAATGAGGAAAAACTTTATGAAACATAAACTGTTTTTAGTCTTGTTCCCTTTTTATTATCTTTCTCTTTTCGTGACAAATTTACAAATGCAAGTTATGTTAACAAAATGAAGAAATTTTCTGATTAAAAAAAAAATTCTCTCACTCATCCTCAAATTTTTGTCAACATTTGACTACCAGCATAATAAAACATTCCATAATCAAGCAGTGCAAATAGAAGTGCAGGCGGGTGAAGTTTTTATCCACGCTGTCAGATGCAGTACAAGACTTCGTCCATTCGTGGATAAGAAACAGGTGTCGAGACTCCGACAAGAGCCATTGCTGGATCCAGGCATAATTTGATCCCAGCTAGATGGGATGTCCAGCAGATGGGCATAACGTGTGGACCGTTTGTTTATCTGGTAAGAAAATAAATTCATCTTTTTTGTCTAATTGGACTTGATACTGTAGCTGTAAGCTGTTTACATGCCTTTTTCCCATTAAGTGAGATTACACATTGCACGACAAAATGACAGGCGAAAACAGGGGTGGTTTTCGAATAGTATTATATAGTGATAGTAATTGGTGGTAACGTTGAATGCAGCCACTCCCAATGTAATTTGGGGTCAGACCGCGGCAAGAACAATTCTTAAAAAACATTCTAGTTTCCCCTTGATTGACTTCTGATAGAGAAATTCTTGACTACGCATATATGACTTTAAAAGAAAAGGGTTGCTGCCACTTCCAAATCCATTTAACAAAACGACCCAATTCTTCAGGTGTACCAACCCCATTGAGGATTATGTGAAGATTGCGACAGTTGAGAAGCATCCGCCATTGTGATATTTTAGTTGTACAGCGGTCTTCATAAGCAATGACATCTTCAAATAGCGAGCAGCATTGTACATAATAAGAACACGACCCACCTTTCACGACCGCGTTGGCAACGTTTATATTGCCTATCTGTGCACGAGTTGTCACTGGGATAGTATTTGTTTCTTTTCGTTAGGTCTTACGAGAGAGATCGGTGTCACAGTCTTGTTTAGCCTGTGATTGTAGTTACACTTATCTACCTATGCAACAGCTAAAGTGGGTCTTATCAAAATGTGCAAAACTAAAAACAATCGGAAACGTGTTGTTATGTATAGAGCACAAGTCCTTACATTTGACCTTTGGAGAGAATGGTATATAAACACGATAACTACTACAAAGATGGGTCCTCATTACGAACCTCCCCTACTAGAAATAAAAGACTTCGCAAGCAATTGTTCCTACGATTCTAGCCAATTCTAGTCCGTGGTATTTTGTTACACAAAAACGGCGAAAAATCGAGACGAATAATAAAAAAAAGATGAGCCTTTTTTCACAAAGTTGATCTAAAAAATCATTAGATATTTACTTTCCCAACTGATTCGTGTAAGGGGTGTCTTGGTGTTCAGGATAAAATAGATGCAGTATTAGGGAAATCATTTTTGCTTTATAACCGTCTTAATCGGTTAGGCCCGCTTTGGAAATATGTATTTGAAATGATAGATTTAGCGAATAAATCCCGCAGCTAACGACGGTTATGTGAGTCGGTGCCAGTCCAACTGCACTTTCTGCTCGAAGCTAGTAGACGGCTAGGTCATTGAGACCATGTCTGTCATTGTCATCGAATAACGTTTTACCTAAAAGTCATGGATTCTTGGACAAGGCCCTACAAGCAAAATGACGATTTACGGGTCAACGATTCGCACTAGCAAGACACAATGATTTAACAAAACAGCCCTATTCACCGCCCTTGTGGACCTGAACATCAACTATACTCAGTAATTATCTAATGGGCATCACTCTATAAGATAGCGTTATTTGAGGCTTTCCTCACGGCTCTAAGGCAGTCACGTACAGTGGCATTCTCCGACTGTCACTGGTTTTATTAGTACGTTGTTGACAGTACAGTCTCATGTATGACCTTAAAATGTTTTTCTTGACAATTGTATCTGTTGTCGGGAGATGTTAGGCTTACACTCTGTTAAAAAAATAAATCATCATGTCCCGGATGATTTTCTAACTTAAATTCATGTAAGGTCATCGTTTTTAAAGGGCGACGATTTTTGGAAAAAGTTTATCTTTTAGTGTACGATTTTATGTTTTTTTTAATAGTGTTTTAAAATAAGATTTGTACCTAAAATTGTCTTTTAAGACAATGGTGAAGTTGAATGTAAATCAATACCAGAATATGCCTGGTTTAAAAATAGCAAACGGAGAGAACTTGCGCATCAATCAAATAGTAGATAACCACTTAGCAGAAAAAATGGACATACTCATGTGGCTTGAGGATAGGATAATTAACTTCTGGATAATATACTTAGAAAAATATGCTTTATCATGAACATGAGACTTAAAAGAACTTGTGATAGATAATGTCTGAAGTCAGAGAAGTACTATTTGGGCTATAATCAAGGACTAATTATGTGGAGTTTTCAAACATTTCGACGTTACCGGTAGCTACTATTCGTTTGTGCATGACTTCAAGTTGCTTCATACACCTCAACAGTGCCAAGGGCCTCTCAGTCGTCTCAAGAACAGTTCAAAATCGCACTCGTCTTAAGGTTTTCATAACATATGCATATCACTACAGATGTAATTTTCCTTTCAAGTTAATTACCTCCAAAATACATATTTGCTCTAAGAAATTGAATAGATAATGACTACTTTGTACAAGTTTAGAAACACATCGAATTGAAACAGTTGCATCGTTGAAGATGCAAAAAAAAAAAAACATGTATAAATGCGTAAATATGAAATGAAAAACAAGTTCACGTTTAAAGGGGATTTTGTTTACGTCTGTTAAAATTGAATCCTTATTTGGTAAGTAGTCGTCATACAAAACAAATTTTAATTTTCAGTCATTATAACATTTAAATATTCCAAATTTAAGCACAAATCTTTTGCGCCTAATTTGAAATAAAAACAATGGTCTCAATCCGAATATTTTCGATGTGAGCAGAAAATGCCGACTTTGCTGCGTGAAACACTGCCAGCAGGGTCGTTGCTGTTGAATGCATTGAGTGTCTGTCCTGTAGTCTGTTGGCTCGGTGTGCGAGTCAGCTGAGAATTCTTTAACTTTCGTTTTAATTTGCTGTGTAGCACAAGCAGTCCCTAGCTGTCTGGCGGGGTATTTGATAAAATTATTTGGCCTGTAACTCCAGATTTGTTCCAGGAATTTTCAGAAAATCACAGTCACTCAACACGTAGCATTAGCAAGACAGGGTCGGCCTGTAGATTTCTCCAGATCTAACAATTTTTTCCAGGTATCCGCACACCGCGGTTTGGGTTTTGCATCAGTATAGAAGTCCGTTAAAATATTTTAATATGTCCTTGTATATGCTTGTGTCGGCGGAGACTGATGAAAGATATGTAATAAACAAATATCTCAACACTGAAGGAACTTGCACCCAAAATGACTAAAAGGGAACAAGAAGGAAAAACTAAATGTCAACCAACCTTACATGTACGAACGTTGAATTTTAATAAAGTAACCACAACACAAAAGCACGTCTTGGCGCCATTTCTCAAACGATTAAGCGCTACTCTCATTCATCAACTAACTCATGTGGTTTGACAAGACATTTGAAAAAAAAAACAAACCCCACCCGGTGAGTGGTCTTGCACGCAGTGATCTCCCAGCGGGTCAGTTGTTTTCACAAATTCGAAGTGAAGAGAATGACATTGGCACGACAGTCTACTTGGCCTGGATGCTTAGTCAAGTGTGTATTTTCAAATATGACAAATGCTACGCACTAAGACCAGGCCTACCCAACTACCAGACTCGGCACCTACGGATCCAGAATAAACCGGTATATCAGACCACACCACCCGTTTTTAAGGTGTGTGTCAGATCGCATTACAGAGTATCATACCCCATCACAAATTTTGTAAGCCTACCTGTCATCCGGGTATCGCGCCTCGTTTTCGTCAAGTTGGAGTCGTATGAATACAACAACATGGAATCCTTGGCTCATTCCGCAATCTCCATACTATTGTCGAGTGCGGAGACATCGGAGTAGTTCCGAGTGACAACATGGCGACAGACGACTCACTGAATCTCGTCCAGAAAATATTTAACCCCCGACAGAATATGCTTCCGCTATCAAAATTAGGTCTACTTTTCTAAATGAATATATAAGTTTGCAAGTTCTTATTTACAAAACATCATTGGCTATGTTCGAACCTAAATTTTATGTTAAAAATTGCGGTATTGTCAGATTTTTAGCATAAACAGGGAAAATTGCAGCAGCGCATGAATCTAGATGAGATGCACTACTTTCCAACCCCGCTTTAGACCACGGTGGAAGTGAAGAACAAAAGATTCAGACGTGGTGTAACTCGCATAACCACACGTCTCGCATGAATGCGTTATAACCCGCTAATGGACCCGTGGTCTAAATAAGATAGATCCCTCGTCAGCGAGGGTTATGTGACATCCACTCGTGCTTCGCACTCTTGTATGCCACATAACCCTCGCTGACTCGGGGTCTATCTATTACTACGATCATCGCTATCACATCGCGCACCAGGCAAAATCGGTGTGGTGGCTGATACTCTGTAATGCGATCTGACGCACACCTTGAAAACGGGTAGTGTGGTCTGATATACCGGTTTATTCTGGATCCGTAGGTGCCGAGTCTGGTAGTTGGTTAGGCCTGAAGACACGACGACAAAAACTACAAGATTCAAGTAAATGTTGGCCACACCCCCTTCTTAATGTTAGCAAAAAAGGAAAAAATACCACATGGAAATAAGGCTAGACCAACTGTCAGCTAGGTTGAATGGTAACCAAGAGCCATTGTGTCAAAAAAAGACGATTTACGTAGTTCATTTTTAAATTTTGAAAGACAAGCAGTTCGACATTAACAACCACCACCCGCGAAAACAGGTGTAATAAAACAGGACAAAGACGAGGACGTGACCCTATAACGTCCCCACTTTATACTTTATCATATTAATAACACTCTGGCCTGGGATGAATACTTGAATAACTTGATTTGGTAACTAGACTAAACGGGGAGGGAGCGTTTACGTACAGTGGATCTGTATTCATGATAGTGGAAGGACGTTTACTACTTTGGCAAAATTCTACTACTGTTCCACGTCAACGGACTTAAACGGGCAGTTCAACCGCAATGTGAACTGAAGTATGGAGAGCACATGTACAGTGGAAAACTACTACGACGAAAAGCACATGGCATCTATCTTAAGTGGTTGATGAGTTTTAAATCTATATAAGACTTCTTTGCGTATAAAAACACACCCAGGTGCAATTTTAGTTGTAGACACGATTATGCGCGTTGGTATGCAAACAGTTACAGCTACCCTTAAGCGGATACTAAAACTATGCAGTAGATGCCAGGCACGAAAATCATAAATGCTGCAGAAAAGATATGTATCTACATACCTGTATGCACCTGTTTTTAACAGCACATAAAACAGTTTTATCATAAAAATAACCAACAATATATTTCTTATTGTATTGCTACCGGTGTATACCCATGTTCGTCTTGGTGAAGCCTATTGACGCCTTATAAATTTGAACTTGGTTTTAAAGCTATAAGAACACAGCATTGTGAGACATAATACTGTCTTTTCTGTTACCAGTAAAAAAGAGCCAAATACATAGACACACCTCAACTTATGGAAACATTTTAATTAGACGAATTGGACTTTTGAGAGTTTGTACGGGCGTGTAATAAAAATCGCGTACTGCCCAAATATTACCTTGTCATAAAATTATCATCTTGTTGCGACTGATACAAATCAAGGTGGATGTCCTGAGTATACCATTTGTTTAGTGGTTCAGATTCAACAAGTCAAGATAATACAGCCCAGCTTATCGGCTCTAGCTGCAGAAACCTAGATAGATATCTGAGTATATATAAAACCACTAGTATGCACAGTGACATACTTGCTCAGAGACAAAACCATCCAAAACTTTTCTTCTCACTGGTGTTCATGATCTAGAACAGAAGGGTAATTTTTATTCACGTCATCCTATCAGTCCCATCAGTTATACATGTACCTACATAAGCTGGCTCTCATATTTAGCGTGACCCTCCGTATGCCATTTTATGCGTATTCACTTTTGCAGCAAAGACTATACAACCGCTATAATGGTGTCTATGCGGCGATCAAAAGCAACAACTTACCTGTTCGAGGGCTGCCATCGGAGTGTGGGAGTCGGTCACGGCATAACTGTGTGATATGAAGAACCACACCTCACCTCTGAACGTCTAAAGATATTATTTAGGTCCAGTTACATGTAGCTAATGTGATCCATTGTTGCTTGACATTGTTTGCTTTAATGCAAACACCGGACTGCTGTTTCAATAAATGTACCGGACAGTCTCTTGCTTAAACAGTGCTAGGTTCTTCTCGGGGTAACGACTAAGACACGCAAAACCAAAGAAATCATAAGTAAACAGATTAAGAGTAAGTTTAAGAAAGGTAAATAGCTCCGTGCTTTGGTTAGGAGTGACCCCGTTTTCGTTACCGTATGTGGAAAAATAGAAATGAGCAAATGGTTCAGTTATTTATTATCATTATAAATTAAATAATGAATTAAGTGTACTAATGCCGAGGGATTAGATCAAGGCATCTTAAATTACATCATTTTGTATCAGTCTAACATATGCAATTCCTACTCTGAAAATCAGTAAGCATAACAGAAATTTACCTGCAAACATCTGTCAACTGGTATCCGACTATCATAGCTAAATTTTTTTCAGGTAGGATTGCGACCTATTCAAATTCAACCCATACATGTACACAATCTGAACAAATATATTTATTTAAATTTTATCAAAATCAAGGGCCATTAGTCTGAGTTCTCTAAATTCCAAATTCTTCTAATTCGATAAAATATGATAGGTATACTTATTCACAATAACAGGGAGGAGTAATTTTTAGTTGATAACAGAATACATAAAAAAATAAAACACATATATGATTTATAAGATCATTGATTTTTTTATAATGAAATTCATAAACTAGTACTTTGGCTGGCAACCAAAACAAAAATAAAAAAATGACCGATGTCTTAATAGAAAAGAGTGAAAAACCAGATCTGATGAGAGCATTGATGATAAAACAGCATGTGAATATATTTTTATGTATTTGTAAGTAGTCATATAACGACGAACAACAGGTGTTTTAGCATGAGCAACGTCCTTGAGTAGCACAGGGGAGGAAACACAGTATCTCATATACACTATATATATCTGACTAGCATGTTAATCTTGACGAATCAGACAAGACATCAGATTCACTTAATATATGCTGGAACAGGGTAGCATTGTACATTCCGTGCCGGGTGAGTCAGGCCGACTTTTAGCGTTCATTTGGACTTTTCTTATATATGAAATAATAATTCTCTCTGAACAGTAATACTTTTTCTTGCTCATACTCACACATTGACCTAATTTAATTGAAATATTCGTATTTTGCTCTGGGAATACGCGCCTTTCAACGCATTAACAAGTAGCGAAGACCTTCTCAGACACATATGTAAGTTTGTCAGTTTGTGGTGAAATGTTGTCCGTGGTTTTTATCACATTCCACACCAGTTACCCAAAATTTAGTTTAACTTGATCATGCTTTTCTTTATATAGAAAATGAAAATGCGTTAGATGTTCCGAGGGCTGTTGGGGCGATGCTAACCTATCGATGTGCTAGAGGAGCCTTGCACAGAGGGAATGCATGAGGGAAGCGGATATTGGAGTCCAAATGTGCGGTGCGTGCTCTGTGACAGGGATATGCTGTCAGAAAGAGAGAAAACTCATAACAGTTAACTTACACGCTACTAATATCATTGTCGCACGGTGGTTAACATGCTAACATTTTATAGAAGCACCTATACCATCTATAGCAAAATGATTCAAATAAAACACACAAGTAGTGCACATGTACATGTCCACTGTACTAACATATAATGGATATACACGGTAGGCCTACAAGCATGTGATGAATGTATCTCTAAAACAGAATTTAAAAATGGCTTGTGGATGATGATGTACTCACCTTTATTTCAACGTCATTTCGCTGTGGCCATTGCAACAGTTGCCTCTCTGTTCTTTTCATTCCAATTACATATTTTCCTTCTGTTAAAAGAAAATTGACTTGTTCTTCCAAACTTACAGTACATGTATTTTATTCTAGCGATATGCAGCCAATCTGTAAATTTACGAGCGTCATCCATTCAAAACTGCGTAGTGTAGTAAACTTAAATGCTATGGAGTGAATCTTCTTCATACTAATGGCGTGACCTGCGAACTTGAAATAAACTAATCATGAACATAGTTCAAAAAATTATTAGTAATTGTACAACATCTTTTCCCTAAGCTACAACTATATTCGGTGGAGGGGGAGAAATGATGATAAAGATGCGAATACAACCTTAGTGTTACCAACAAAGCTGTTTTATCCATTGTCCAATGGCCATCGTCCTTGTTACTTAATTAAATATCCTTGTTACTTTATTAAATGCATATGTCAAGGCACAACAATCTTTTCATTAACACCATAGTCTAAGACTGGACGCTTTGTAGCATGTGTCGTGATCGCCACAATACTCTGTCTCAAAGCTGCACGAATGAGCGTACAGAAGACATTTACCAAGTCTGACTAGCATGTTAATCTTGGCGAATCAGACAAGACATCAGATTCACTTAATATATGCTGGAACAGGGTAGCATTGTACATTCCGTGCCGGGTGAGTCAGGCCGACTTTTAGCGTTCGTTTGGACGGAGTAAATAGGCTGGTGTTAGTCAGTCCTAGCGTATATCTCTGTGGTGAGAACGTCTCCACGGCCACTAGGGAGGGTACATGTAGTGAGGTGTCGCATCTCGACCCACTGTCAGAGGTAAGGAAAAACGTATAGCTAGAGAGGGATATCACAGGCCGGGTATTTCATGAGCACACTAAGTCGTGTAGCATTGCACTAGGCCACCCAGTCACACAATATTTTAATGGAGTCAACTTTGAGATTACAATACTGAAGCAAGTAGCAACTAGTGTTATTCTGACGTGAATTGTGTAAGTTTTATAAGTGTTTTTACAGACTAAAAATCTCAATAAGGGATGAGATAAGGGCGACCTAGGTGCGGTCTGCCCCTAGATAAGCGTTACATGTAGGAGATAAGAACAGATTCTTGCAAGATTGCATGATTACAATGAGAGTATCCTTTCCTTGTTAGGAAGATCACATGATTACACTTTGAAGTGTGAACCATTTACAAGGTTGTAGAAACAAAAGGTAAATCATCGTTAGGTACAAAAATGACTAACTATATCCTCGGTTGCAATAAAAAAAACTTTTTGGCAAGTGCCGCTTAAAGTCGAATTAAAATTATAATTGAAGGTATGATTAGGCTTCTACTCGAAACAAAATATGCTTTTGAAAATTATTTGTTCTTCCTTGGACAGTAAAACAATTGTGTGTCTACTCATTCCAAATCCTGAGTAGTCACTATCTTAAACTTCACAATGGCAATCTGTATAACACCGTATTTTATTCGAAAAAACTACATGAGGGAAGAGGTTTGTAAATCTATTTTAGATCTCAATACACGCATATTAAACGCATAAAAATCATAAAACGCGTGTTTTACTTGGACATATAAACCTCCTGTGGGAAACCATGATTATCCTTGCATTGATGGTAGCATATTAACTAAGATACTAATCTTTTTAGCGCTCACCAAAGTGACTGGGTTCATATAGGCGGTGCAGCACTTTGGTTTGGACGCCTCTTCCCACATTGCATGTCGTCTGCCATAAAGGACGATAGTATGGTTAAGCCTAGCGCATAAGGAATTGTTAAAAAAGAAGACAAAATTTGGTCATTAGTTCAGGACCGAAATTCTATTCTAATTCAATGTTGGGGGAATAAGCAGTAGGTAATTTACAATAGGTTCAGAGAATTTATTTAAAGCAAACTAAGTCATAACTACTCAAGATGAAAATTAACTATTTTTTTTCTGTCTTACTGATCTTACTTTCGGCTCCATGCTCTTACTAGTATATAGTATTTGGATTTATTGTGCTGGGGCGTATACGTAGTAAATAAAAACGTAAGCAAGTTCTAAAATGTATAACTGTTATAGCCATCAAGTTTTTAGTTTAGGGTTGCCGATCGATCTCCAGTAATAATGTTTCAAATGTTGCAATGTTTATCGGTCGTTCGTTTAATATTAAGCCCCATGTTATACTTATGTAAGTATTGTACACAATATTTACACAACATATGCATCTTTTCTCATATCTCTGACCTCTAGATGTGTAAAACGTAAGTATATTATAAACGAGAAGTGGGTTTAAGCTTCCATAAAACAGACATGATATGTATAATAATAATAATAACAATGATAATAATAGTTCTCATTGTTGAGTATTTGGCAAACCTGCACCCGTGTTGCGTGCCTATACTGCGTGCCTATACGTAATAGAAAGTCATGATCAATGAAGGCAAATTTGAAGTTTTTAAAATGTCGTCAAAGTGAAAGGTGATAAAGTTCAAGGAGTGGGTAAAAAGTAAGAAATTTCTGGAACCTGAGATATTTGGTTCTCAAATGCATATTTGTAGTGAGGTCATTAGATTTTTTTAAGCAAGTGCATATATGATTTAATAAGGTGTATTAAAATGTTTCAACGTTTTTGTCCCTCAAAACGATTTTTACACCAACCATTGAAACTTAGGTGTCCGAGAAGATTACTAAGTATTAGTCTTCATTACTATCATTTCAACAGTTCCACATTGATGTACAAATATGGGAGCTGAAAAATAAGAGCTGAAATTCCGTCATAGGACAGACAAATTAGGCCGATATACAGATAGACAAAACATCTATTGTTACACAAAATCATTCGTTTGTCATGAACAGAGCACTCAAAGGGCACCTTGTCGCTGCTCATCAAGTCTCCCAACTTTTAACATACACGGAACCTTGAAGATTTATCGCATGTTCAAAATGCATTAAAAGCAGCTTAGGGTTATTCTATGGGAGGGCTGAGTAAGTGCAATATGTAAGGCGTGGAGAAGCGTATATTGAGATGAGTAACTTTGATAGGCGGTTCCCTTTCCTCTGAATCGTGTTTGATCGTCTTGTTATATGGTTTGATAAGGTGACCCTTCTTATAAAAGGAAAGGCGTTGATATTTACATGCAAGTCGAACTATTTTATCAGTAGTAGTAGTTTACAATCACGCAAACAGTTCTCGTTATTGTTCCTTTTAACTATGAGAAGGGTCTCGTTCAGTCAATACGAGTAAACATATTGTTGACTGGAGGTGTCAACCATCAAACTGTGACTGTCATCTGCTTTCAACCTTCAGAAATATAAAAGTGTTCCACGGTCCAAGAGTATGTGCCAAACACGACTGACTGAAATGACATCTAAAGCCAGACAAAGCGTCATTTCTGCTTAAATTCCTACATTGTAGTCAATGAGGATGAGGTTTGATGGCAGTGAACGCTGTTTGAATTTTGAATTCTGAATTTGAGTACTGCTTTCGTACGGTAGCTTGAAAAAGACAGTTCTAAATTTGAGAAAGTTGCCTTATAAATGCAACAAAAGAGAGGTATGGAGGTCTATTTTAAAATGTCAGGTTTGTCCCTTTATTAAAAGCCTTTTGCTTTTTATGAAGATCAGTAAAGAACTAGTTCACTTTTATGTTGAAAAAGTGGGATATTTTGTTAATGTAAAAACACCTCTTCAATGCGTTCCGTATCTAAGCACGAGAAAACAGTTCCATCTGAGAGCCATTCTCAAGGACCATGACGCACAGATGCATGGAGACAAATAGAAAACACCTTGTCATCGCCATTATGTCAGATGTAGTATTTCATTTGATTTTGTTGTGCAAGTTACGTGGGCGGCCATGGTACAGACCTACCCCATTACGATGCACAATATACATATTTATGCCTAATAAGTGGTCGAGGGGTCAATATTGGATTATGCGTGGTCAAGGTGTCGGTCTTCATGAACATCTGTAAAGCCAAACAGTTTCAATTTCCAGCGTTTATAAACCTACGTTTTGTGCATGAACCCGGTATATGGTGTTTTATCACGAATCACAATTGCCTTTATTCCACATTCCCATGGATCTTTGTTTTTGTACAACCATCCTATTGTACATTCTGATATCTTCCATACGTGCCTGTTTGGGGTTTACGTGTGTGCTAACAGCTGCCATACATGTACAAAGAGTGAAATCACGACCTAATCTAAGAATCTTCGGCAGTTTTAAACACATGCCATTTATTTTAAGAGTTAATATACAAAGTAGCTCAATAATTACTCTTGACACTGGATTTTCTTTACCAAAGACTATAGTTTTATTGCAGTTCAAATGATAATTTTATCTCGTATTTGTACGAATGCACGGGCCATTTGAGCTCGTATTCATTGCTATAACGATAGTTAGTCGATCATTTGTATGATTCATCGTGCCAATAGATGTTAGTTTGTACATCTATGTAAATGTTTGTTCGATGATTTTTCTAAATAATAAGTATGGATAATTAGGTGTTATCATAGGTTCATAAGAACACAATCCTTTGTTTGTTTCTTAACAGGATGTCAATCGTAGTTCGTGTTTAATATGACAAATTGTTGGCATATGGTGAACTTTCATTTCTTTAATATAATTTAAGGCCATCACACTTCTCCAAACCGAATAAACAACCCGCTTATCGTCGCTACAAAACGCACCTTAAATATTTTCTTCCTTGATGTCAAGTTGCAGCACGTTTAACCACCATTACACACGCGAAATAATGTTTAAAGTATTCCTGAAGAATTACGACGACGACCAAACTTGTCACTGTCAGCCGTTGATATTTTTTTCGTAGGAAACTCTGCATGTGCCATAGTTAGATAAAATATGATTTTCTTATGACATGGTGAATCATTTTGTGAATAATGTCGTTTGTCATTTGTTATCAAAAGTTTTAAAGTTATGAGTTCATAAGAATACATGCTTATGGTCGTCTCTTGTTTCAGATTATCTGTGATATTAAGAAGGCAGTATGGTGGATTTTGGTGGTAAGTTATATCATTTTACATATCAATTTTGATCAGGTTTAATTGTTAACTTATGCTTATGAGTAAAGCGTCATAAATGGTTTTAAAAAGCAGAAAAATCAAATTACATAAAAAATCTGTCTTCAATTGATTAGCAAAATATGCGTTATACTATTCCAATTTGTCCGTGGAAAAAGACTGTATAATGAATAAAAATTTAAGAAAAAATATAGAAAAATTATTTCCTGGTCATTCATCACACCCTATTGTTTAATTATCCAGCATGATTTAGTGTCATCAAGAATAAGATAAGCACACAGTATCATCGTTTACAATGTCAACTTGGCATTTAAAAAGCTTTTTTATCTTTAGTAAGCAAAAATACAGGCCAGGGAAGAACTACATTTAGATAACATAAAGGGGAAATAATTCCATCGTCTGGTTAAACATCAAAGTAGAACGCAAACGAAGAAAAGCTTTCATTCATCTTGCTTTTTTCATCACGGTGTGTGTGTGCGTGTGTGTATGTGTGTGTGGGGGGGGTGTAGGTGTGTATGTGTGTGTGTTTCTCTGTTTATTTGTTTGTTTTTGTATCAAGATAAGCCGAGGTCTGTCCTGCCATAGCCTTTCTGAGGTGGATTATACATTGATTTTGAACAGCTGTACCTATTATTTCGAGAAGGAAAGGATATCAATTAGCCAGACCTCAGTTGATTTGTAGTGAAGATTATCACGACTTACAACAGTATGAATATAAATTCCAAATTATCAAGTAAATATCAATCTGTCAAACTGGACAAGAAAAAGATAAGAACATCAACATTTTAAATATTGAAAAAATTCAGTTTGTAACTGCCATGAAAATTTCGTATTTTTCCCCTTCAATATCCAAGTTCCCACACAAACGAAAAACTTAAGATGAGTTTCCCAATGCAGTAATATCTCATTGATAATATAATTACTAAAGATAAACAACAGGACTTCATGCCAATGAATCTTTCCACGTGACCCTAAATTGCTTTATGATTTATACCCCACGTGGCATCCCGCCCCGCACTTCCATTTAACCAGAATAATATTTCATACTGGAAATAGGTAGTATTAGATGTCCAATTCAATATCTATGCATTCATTTGATTTATTCGGACGATAACTAAAGATAAAATTTATATTCCAGAATAGAAACCAGGAGTATTTATAAGAATACATTTTAAAATACTGGACCATGTACATGTTTATACTGACAAGATATTGTACAGTTTAATCGACTATGATGGAAGTTATTTTCCAACGATATCACCACTACACTGTCCTTTTTATATTTACATTATTTACACAACGCCACAGTGTCTTCATATGGAGGACAATGTCGTTTATTTATACTAAGACAAAGGCTGTCACAGATATCTTCTTATCAAAATATATGTTCCCAAAAGGGACCTACGCCGTTATCTGATATATCATTGAGACAGGTGTCTCTTGTTCTTATACTCCTTTGCCCTAGATACAGGCACGTTGTCATACATGCAGGCTGATAAAATAATGGCTATTGTCTTACTTGAGCATTCAGCGACCTTCATACCCTTTTGTCAAAAATAAAACTTTTGGTGAACATCTATACGTGAGCAGCATAAATGAGAAGCTCATTTATTTGTTAGTAAAAAAAAAACATCACATGATGCCTTCTTTGCAAGGTAGAAAAAACTTCACTTGCTTTCTAAATTGTCCAAGCATTCGGAAAGGATATACATCTTCAAGAACTGCGCCTTTCATTTTGCAGAAGATTTAAAACTTATTTCAAACATATTGAAAATTGATGTTTAAATAGCTAGTCAGAAAGGTTTCATTTATGCTAGATCCTGAAATTTGATTTACCTCTTGACTGTTTCGTCTGTTCACTCTGACAGACTTGGTCACAACTGAATGTAATGATGATAAAAATTTCTAATGAAGTCGCAATGCCCTCCCTCCTCTACCCGATACTAGGAAGACCAACATTTGAAGCCCACATTTTTTAAGATGCTTGAAATCATCTTATACTATATAATAAACGGTTATAGTACTGCACATTGACTGCACATTGTCATCTTTTTACAATTATCCCATTTCATAAAGACATCCATTTTATAGTGCCTCTTGACACTTGATTGAGATAGAGTGATTTTTATCAAAAGAATGCCGCCCCATTTGTCTTTAGGGGTATAAAAAGTAATGCGCACTAAAATGCATCAGCACAAAACTAACGATGATTCAATGCCCCTCCGCTCATTAAATATAGGTATTGATGTAATATAGTTGATTTTCTTGTTTTTAGGTTTACATCATTGGGAGATCTCAGCCATAGCCATCGGCCTTTTCTGTCTGGCCATCCTTGCGGTCATCTATGGCGTGTGGTTGTATCTTGACTACAAGAAACGTCTGTTCCTAGCGAGGGCCAAATTCTTGTACCAGAATGGCAAAGCAGGAAGCACTATGAACAGAAGCCTTGTGCCCAAAGAAGGCCCAGAGGGAACAGAGGTTAGACCTTATTACGATTTGCTTTTGAGTTAATTCTAACGAACCGATTTTTCAAACCTTAGGCTCTGAAAATTTGATGTATTTATATTTATTAAGGGAAACCAACTCTTTATCTCTCTGCTGCTTTCCAACGTGACGTGTTGTGTGATTGTGTCCGGTTTGATTACTTGCAAACATTGCATCAGCGCGTTTCAAACTATTCCGCGAGTTCTAAACCAAGGTGTAGTCGGTGCACGTTTGTGATGGGTACCATGGGTGATAACACAGCTCCAGTTTTTATATTAGCCAAGCCATCGGAAAAAAATGCGGTAAGTAACCGCAATCTCATTTCTTTTTTATACACATAAATGAACGGCATGCATGATAACAGGTATGGCCGAAAGAATAGAATAGAATAACTTCACAACGGGGTAATGATAGAAACGTAGTTTTTGGAGTAACTGAATAAATCGCGCTGATGCCATGTGGTGTCGGTGACAGAATGATTGTAATGATGTTCTTGCTCTACATGTATGTGTTTGCTCAGTGACTCAGAAATAATGCTTATTTTGCACAGAGACTATTTTTTTTTAATGTTTCTATTTTTGCGATTGACATCACATTGTGAAAACAATTTCTTTTCTCCCAGATGCGCACCATGCCGCGAGTCCCACAACTTCCACCAGGGTTTGTTGGTATTCCAGACGAATTCGTCGTTGTTGAAGGACCAAAAGGAGAACAAATATTTGCCCGGGCTGAAGCCGTCAATTACAGAGAGGAAAGGTTCATTGCGAGAATGCTGTACCCCGTCTCTAACGATGAAAACTTGTTCACAGTCAGTAATGATGTCGATCTTCTGCCTTTTGTGCGTATTATCACCAAGGCAGTGGACGCCGTGCGTAGAGGTGACAAGTTCCAGTTAGTGTTACCAGAAGTACCGGAAATACCCGACTACATGTCCGAAGCGAACTATCCCAGCCGAGGAGACAACATGTCAATGACCAGCGACGCATTGATTGGAAGAGACTCTCCAGTATAGATGGCAGTACTTGCCACGCCAAATCAGGTTACTAGCTTTGTCAAACAGAAAGTTTGATAGATCTACTGAATTTTAAAACCGACGTTAATTGTGGTGATTTAATCATTTGTTTTGGGAGAATATCCCGGCAGACGCGATAAAAATGTTATAGATTGATGATATAATGGAACCAATGTCATATTGGGGAGGTGGGTTTCGTTGTGCTTTGAATGTTTGCAGATGCTTTTGTGACATTTACGAAACAATATCGTGCCAAGAGCAATATAAAAGGTCTATTATCCGTCTCGAGTATAAAACACGCCTCTCGTCATGCACACTTTGCGTCAATGGTGACTGTACATAAAATGAAAAGTATTGATGTTGTCGCTGCTTATGATTTTCTTTTAATTTATTTATAGTATTAACTCAAAGCGTCAACTAAATTATGTGCAATACATAGAGGCCTCGTTCTTGCCCTCTTCAAAATAGGGTAGTAGGTCAATAATGTGAGCAATTTAATACATGCTGCTTGAAACTTGTTCTCTTTTTTTTAAATGTTGTCCGTCTTTATGTACCACTGAATGAAAATAAATTGTTTTAACAATCTCATCGTTTCTTAATGAAATAAGCGGATACTTACACAGTTGTACTATCACTACAGTCAGTAATTTCAGTTTGGTCTGATTCCGTACATACGTATAGAAAAAAGAAAGTTAGAAAATTTTATCTAAAAAACTATTTTCAGTTACTAGTACATGTAGCATGACAAAAAAAAACTGTTTGTTTCGTTACTAGTAGTCATAATCCGGTAGCAGCAGAGTAAATAAATGATTAAAAAAACAAGACGAATTCATCAGTCATACGTAATATATCACTCTGACACACGGGTGACTCAACATTTTGTCTGTAATTCTCGCAGAGAAATATTTAAGAGTGTCCAAACAGATATTTAGGGCAGAGAGACTTCGTTTTACGTGAAAGTTTACATGGACATGAAGGATTCAAATATACCGGTAGATCTACGCCTAGAATCAAAAGTTATAAACCGAGAACAGTTAAATCATCGACAGTTAACTACACAGTTCCTTCAGAGTCGTCAGATTTGCAGATTAGAAACATGAGTCTCGTAAGAAGATGACACTGGCTTGTAAAAGATTGGTGACACCGATGTTAGCATGATACTCGGTAGTTACTACAAGTCCATTGACTATGTCCACTAATCAAGACCATTAATTTCACGAAGAACTAGAAAAACACTCAGTGAACGCAGTCCTTCACCAAGGACTTACTTCTAAGATAGTGTAGACCATTGATTTCGCAAATGCCTAGAAACACTTTCTAGAAGCATATTATATATAAAAACTACAAAGCAACATAAAAGTACATTCGTTTTTTGAAGAAAACTTAAGTTTAATAACTTTGAAAAGGTATTTTATCAAAAAAGCAAGCGTCTTTAAACCTAGCAAAATGTAATCGTTGAACAATTTCACGTAATTAATTAATTAAGGAATATTCTAAAAATATGCAAATATGCATCGGAATTAAAATTAGCGTAACTTGAGCTTTTTTGTCAAGGGTGAAGGTTCATAATTTTGTGATATAAGCCAGAACCGTAAGTTAACAGACTGAATAAAATTTAAATGAACTGATACATATAAGTCAATTTGTGAACTACTCCCCGTGTCTGGTGCTCATTAATGTCAACACTTTCCATTACTGGTGTTATCTTATTGCCCGCGCTTCATTATATCAGCCATTGTAACAATTAAAAGTCATATCAATTTCATCAACAGCAGAGATGATAAGTATATACATAACAAGCTTCTGTCTTGCTGGCCCGACAGTAATGTAGTCATTTTCTTTGCATGTCCAACACAATAATGTCACAGTGAGATACACGTACAATTGTCTATTATCATAATCCAACTAATCTTTTTCTAGGTGAGCTTAGTGGTACTCGTTGCATATATAACAATAAACTAATTTAAGTTTGCCAACTACATATTTATAAACACTATTCCATCAGTTGCGCATTATTTCTTTTTTTTTTTTTCAATTGTAGATGGAGCCTCTCCCTCCACCGCCCCCTGAGCTGGTTGCGTCCTACTTCGTCGCTGTCCCTGATGAGTTCGTAGTTGTTGAGACCTCCACAGGTGGANCTTTAAGATTTATCGCATGTTCAAAATGCATTAAAAGCAGCTTAGGGTTATTCTATGGGAGGGCTGAGTAAGTGCAATATGTAAGGCGTGGAGAAGCGTATATTGAGATGAGTAACTTTGATAGGCGGTTCCCTTTCCTCTGAATCGTGTTTGATTGTCTTGTTATATGGTTTGATAAGGTGACCCTTCTTATAAAAGGAAAGGCGTTGATATTTACATGCAAGTCGAACTATTTTATCAGTAGTAGTAGTTTACAATCACGCAAACAGTTCTCGTTATTGTTCCTTTTAACTATGAGAAGGGTCTCGTTCAGTCAATACGAGTAAACATATTGTTGACTGGAGGTGTCAACCATCAAACTGTGACTGTCATCTGCTTTCAACCTTCAGAAATATAAAAGTGTTCCACGGTCCAAGAGTATGTGCCAAACACGACTGACTGAAATGACATCTAAAGCCAGACAAAGCGTCATTTCTGCTTAAATTCCTACATTGTAGTCAATGAGGATGAGGTTTGATGGCAGTGAACGCTGTTTGAATTTTGAATTCTGAATTTGAGTACTGCTTTCGTACGGTAGCTTAAAAAAGACAGTTCTAAATTTGAGAAAGTTGCCTTATAAATGCAACAAAAGAGATGTATGGAGGTCTATTTTAAAATGTCAGGTTTGTCCCTTTATTAAAAGCCTTTTGCTTTTTATGAAGATCAGTAAAGAACTAGTTCACTTTTATATTGAAAAAGTGGGATATTTTGTTAATGTAAAAACACATCTTCAATGCGTTACGTATGGAAGCCGAGAAAACAGTTCCATCTGAGATCCATTCTCAAGGACCATGACGCACAGATGCGTGGAGACATATAGAAAACACCTTGTCATCGCCATTATGTCAGATATAGTATTCTATTTGATTTTGTTGTGCAAGTTACGTGGGCGGCCATGGTACAGACCTACCCCAGTACGATGTACATGTACGATATACTGGGATATTATGTGTGGTCAAGGTGACGGTCTTCAGGAACATATGTTAAGGCAAACAGTTTCAATTTCCAGCGTTTATAAACCCACATTTTGTGCATGTACCCAGTATATGGTGCTTTATCACGAATCACAATTGCCCTTATTCCGCATTCCCATGGATCTTTGTTTTTGTACAACCATCCTATTGTACATTCTGATATCTTCCATACGTGCCTGTTTGGGGTTCACGTGTGTGCTAACAGCTGCCATACATGTACTAAGAGTGAAATCACGGCCTAATCTAAGAATCTTCGGCAGTTTTGAACACATGCCAATTTATTTTAAGAGTTAATATACAAAGTAGCCCAATAATTACTCTTGACACTGGATTTTCTATGCTAAAGACTATAGTTTTATTGCAGTTCAAATGATAATTTTATCTCGTATTTTTACGAATGCACGGGCCATTTGAGCTCGTATTGCATTGCCATAATGATAGTTAGTCGATCATTTGTATGATTTATCATGCCAATAGATGTTAGTTTGTACATCTAGGTAAATGTTTGTTAGATGATTTTTCTAAATAATAAGTATGGATAATTAGGTGTTATCATAGGTTCATAAGAACACAATCCTTTGTTTGTTTCTTAACAGGATGTCAATCGTAGTTCGTGGTTAATATGACAAATTGTTGGCATTATGGTGAACTTTCATTTCTTCAATATATTTTAAGGCCATCACACTTCTCCAAACCGAATAAACAACCCGCTTATCGTCGCTACAAAACGCACCTTAAATATTTTCTTCCTTGATGTCAAGTTGCAGCACGTTTAACCACCATTACACACGCGAAATAATGTTTAAAGTATTCCTGAAGAATTACGACGACGACCAAACTTGTCACTGTCAGCCGTTGATATTTTTTTCGTAGGAAACTCTGCATATGCCATAGTTAGAGAAAATATGATTTTCTTATGACATGGTGAATCATTTTGTGAATAATGTCGTTTGTGTCATTTGTAATGTCATTTGTTATCAAAAGTTTTAAAGTTATGAGTTCATAAGAATACATGCTTATGGTCGTCTCTTGTTTCAGGTTATCTGTGATATTAAGAAGGCAGTATGGTGGATTTTGGTGGTAAGTTATATCATTTTACGTATCAATTTTGATCAGGTTTAATGTTTTACTTCATGCTTATGAGTAAAAAATAAATGGTTTTATACAGCAGCAAAATCAAATTACGTAAAAATTATCTGTCTTCTATTTATCAGCAAAATATACGTTATGTTATTTCAATTTTTCCATGGAAAAAGACAATATATAATACATATAAATTTAATTTTAAAAAAATATATTAAAATTCTTTCCTGGTCATTTATTACCCCCTATTGCTTTATGTCCAGCATGATTTAGTGCCATCAAGAATAAGATTAACACACAGTATCTTGTATCTTTGTTTACAATATCACCTTGGCATTTAAAAAGCTCTTTAGCTTTTTTATCTTTAGTAAGCAAACACTGACCAGGGAAGTACTACGTGTCGATAACATAATGGGAAAATATTTCCATCGGTCTGGTTAAACATCTAAGTAGAACGCAAACAAAGAAAAGCTGTCTTCATCTGGCTTTTTTTTCATTATGGTGTGTGTGTTTTGTTTGTTTGTTTGTTTATTTGTGTATCAAGATAAGCCGAGGTCTGTCCTGCCATGGCCTTCCTGAGGTGGATTATACATAAATTTTGAACAGCTGTACCTATTATTTCAAGTAGGAAAGGATATCAATTAGCCAGACCTCAGTTGATTTGTAGTGAAGATTATCACGACTTACAACAGTATGAATATAAATTTCCAAATTATCAAGTAAATATCAATCTGTTAAACTGGACAAGAAAAAGATAAGAACATAAACATTTTAAATATTGAAAAAATTCAGTTTTTTATACTGCCATGGAAATTTTCCCTATTCAAGGTTCCACACAAATAAGAAACGGAAGTTGAGTTTCCCAATGCAGCAACATCTCATTAATAATATATAATTGCTAAAGATAAAAAACAGATCTTCAAGCCAATGAATCTTGCCACGGGACCCTTAATTGCTATATGATTTATGCCCCACGTGGCATCCCGCCCCGCACTACCATTTAACCAGAATAATATTTCATACTGGAAATAGGTAGTATTAGATGTCCAATTCCATATCTATGCATTCATTTGATTTATTCGGACGATAATTAAAGAAAAAAATATATTCCAGAATAGAAATCAGGAGCATTTATAAGAATACATGTTTATACTGACAAGATATTGTACAGTTTAATCGACTATGATGGAAGTTATTTTCCAACGATATCACCACTACACTGTCCTTTTTATATTTACATTATTTACACAACGCCACAGTGTCTTCATATGGAGGACAATGTCGTTTATTTATACTAAGACAAAGGCTGTCACAGATATCTTCTTATCAAAATATATGTTCCCAAAAGGGACCTACGCCGTTATCTGATATATCATTGAGACAGGTGTCTCTTGTTCTTATACTCCTTTGCCCTAGATACAGGCACGTTGTCATACATGCAGGCTGATAAAATAATGGCTATTGTCTTACTTGAGCATTCAGCAACCTTCATACCCTTTTGTCAAAAATAAAACTTTTGGTGAACATCTATACGTGAGCAGCATAAATGAGAAGCTCATTTATTTGTTAGTAAAAAAAAAACATCACATGATGCCTTCTTTGCAAGGTAGAAAAAACTTCACTTGCTTTCTAAATTGGCCAAGCATCCGGAAAGGATATACATCTTCAAGAACCGCGCCTTTCATTTTGCAGAAGATTTAAAACTTATTTCAAACATATTGAAAATTGATGTTTAAATAGCTAGTCAGAAAGGTCTCATTTATGCTAGATCCTGAAATTTGATTTACCTCTTGACTGTTTCGTCTGTTCACTCTGACAGACTTGGTCACAACTGAATTACCTGTTCAGGTGAAGGTGAACAGGTAATTATCTCAGGTAATTATCTTGATGATGACTTGTTAGCCCCTCTCGCCCCCTCCCCTCAGGGTGGGTTTGAGAATGTCGTCATCCACATGGGACAGCTTGTGTGCTCCTTCATCTCTGTTCATGGTGTGTTTCTTCCTTCTTATCCAGATCGATTCCAAAACTTTGCGCTAGCTGTAGTCATTTTCACCGGTTAGCACCTTTACATTGTCCCATTTTGGCACATGGTTGTTATCTGACATATGATCTGTGATGGCAGATTTGTGTAGAACTCCTGTCGACATAGAGCATTTGGATCTGGTGTTAACTCCCTCACCTACATTTTTCTTAACATCTTTCTTGTGTTCCTCTAGTCTTGTTTCTAATTTTCTTCCCGTCTCTCCAACATAGACTCTGTCACAGCTCCCACACCCGATTTGATATACTTCTCCACACTTCTTGTTGCCTTCTATCTTATCTTTTGGATGTACAAGAAAGCATAAATGAAACCTTTCTGACTATCAAAACTAAGAGCCAATGAAACTATATTCACATTTAAATAGCTAGTCATTTGCTAAAGCGGTGCTCTTGAGGTTTATAAATGGAGTGAATCGAAACTAAAATATTATTATCCAACCTGGAAAAATATAGAATGTAATGATGATAAAAATTTCTAATGAAGTCGAAATGCCCTCCCTCCTCCACCCGATACTAGGAAGACCAACATTTGAAGCCCACATTTTTCAAGATGCTTGAAATCATCTTATACTATATAATAAACGGTTATAGTACTGCACATTGACTGCACATTGTCATCTTTTTACAATTATCCCATTTCATAAAGACATCCATTTTATAGTGCCTCTTGACACTTGATTGAGATCAAGTGATTTTTATCAAAAGAATGCCGCCCCATTTGTCTTTAGGGGTATAAAAAGTAATGCGCACTAAAATGCATCAGCACAAAACTAACGATGATTCAATGCCCCTCCGCTCATTAAATATAGGTATTGATGTAATATAGTTGATTTTCTTGTTTTTAGGTTTACATCATTGGGAGATCTCAGCCATAGCCATCGGCCTTTTCTGTCTGGCCATCCTTGCGGTCATCTATGGCGTGTGGTTGTATCTTGACTACAAGAAACGTCTGTTCCTAGCGAGGGCCAAATTCTTGTACCAGAATGGCAAAGCAGGAAGCACTATGAACAGAAGCCTTGTGCCCAAAGAAGGCCCAGAGGGAACAGAGGTTAGACCTTATTACGATTTGCTTTTGAGTTAATTCTAACAAACCGATTTTTCAAACCTTAGGCTCTGAAAATTTGATGTATTTATATTTATTAAGGGAAACCAACTCTTTATCTCTCTGCTGTTTTCCAACGTGACGTGTTGTGTGATTGTGTCCGGTTTGATTACTTGCAAACATTGCATCAGCGCGTTTCAAACTATTCCGCGAGTTCTAAACCAAGGTGTAGTCGGTGCACGTTTGTGATGGGTACCATAGGTGATAACACAGCTCCAGTTTTTATATTAGCCAAGCCATCGGGAAAAAATGCGGTAAGTAACCGCAATCTCATTTCTTTTTTATACACATAAATGAACGGCATGCATGATAACAGGTATGGCCGAAAGAATAGAATAGAATAACTTCACAACGGGGTAATGATAGAAACGTAGTTTTTGGAGTAACTGAATAAAACGCGCTGATGCCATGTGGTGTCGGTGACAGAATGATTGTAATGATGTTCTTGCTCTACATGTATGTGTTTGCTCAGTGACTCAGAAATAATGCTTATTTTGCACAGAGACTATTTTTGAAAAATGTTTCTATTTTTGCAATTGACATCACATTCTAAAAACAATTTCTTTTCTCCCAGATGCGCACTATGCCGCGAGTCCCACAACTTCCACCAGGGTTTGTTGGTATTCCAGACGAATTCGTCGTTGTTGAAGGACCAAAAGGAGAACAAATATTTGCCCGGGCTGAAGCTGTCAATTACAGAGAGGAAAGGTTCATCGCCAGAATGCTGTACCCCGTCTCTAACGATGAAAACTTGTTCACAGTCAGTAATGATGTCGATCTTCTGCCTTTTGTGCGTATTATCACCAAGGCAGTGGATGCCGTGCGTAGAGGTGACAAGTTCCAGTTAGTGTTACCGGAAGTACCGGAAATACCCGACTACATGTCCGAAGCGAACTATCCCAGCCGAGGAGACAACATGTCAATGACCAGCGACGCATTGATCGGAAGAGACTCTCCAGTATAGATCGCAGTCCTTTCCACGCCAAATCAGGTTACTAGCTTTGTCAAACAGAAAGTTTGATAGATCTACTGAATTTTAAAACCGACGTTAATTGTGGTGATTTAATCATTTGTTTTGGGAGAATATCCCGATAAAAATGTTATAGATTGATAATATAATGGAACCAATGTCATATTGGGGAGGTGGGTTTCGTCGTGCTTTGAATGTTTGCAGATGCTTTTGTGACATTTACGAAACAATATCGTGCCAAGAGCAATATAAAAGGTCTATTATCCGTCTCGAGTATAAAACACGCCTCTCGTCATGCACACTTTGCGTCAATGGTGACTGTACATAAAATGAAAAGTATTGATGTTGTCGCTGCTTATGATTTTCTTTTAATTTATTTATAGTATTAACTCAAAGCGTCAACTAAATTATGTGCAATACATAGAGGCCTCGTTCTTGCCCTCTTCAAAATAGGGTAGTAGGTCAATAATGTGAGCAATTTAATACATGCTGCTTGAAACTTGTTCTCTTTTTTTTTAATGTTGTCCGTCTTTATGTACCACTGAATGAAAATAAATTGTTTTAACAATCTCATCGTTTCTTAATGAAATAAGCGGATACTTACACAGTTATACTATCACTACAGTCAGTAATTTCAGTTTGGTCTGATTCCGTACATACGTATAGAAAAAAGAAAGTTCGAAAAATTTATCTAAAAAACTATTTTCAGTTACTAGTACATGTAGCATGACAAAAAAAAACTGTTTGTTTCGTTAGTAGTAGTCATAATCCGGTAGCAGCAGAGTAAAGGTTTCATGCATTACGATAAATAACAAAAATGATTAAAAAAAACAAGGCGAATTCATCAGTCATACGTAATATATCACTCTGACACACGGGTGACTCAACATTTTGTCTGTAATTCTCGCAGAGAAATATTTAAGCGTGTCCAAACAGATATTTAGGGCAGAGAGACTTCGTTTTACGTGAAAGTTTACATGTACATGAAGGATTCAAATATACCGGTAGATCTACGCCTAGAATCAAAAGTTATAAACCAAGAACAGTTAAATCATCGACAGTTAACTACACAGTTGTAGCAGAGTCGTCAGATTTGCAGATTAGAAACATGAGTCTCGTAAGAAGATGACACTGGCTTGTAAAAGATTGGTAACACCGATGTTAGCATGATACTCGGTAGTTACTACAAGTCCATTGACTGGGTCCACTAATCAAGACCATTAATTTCACGAAGAACTAGAAAAACACTCAGTGAACGCAGTCCTTCACCAAGGACTTACTTCTAAGATAGTGTAGACCATTGATTTCGTAAATGCCTAGAAACACTTTCGAGAAGGATATTATATATAAAAACTACAAAGCACATAAAAGTACATTCGTTTTTTGAAGAAAACTTAAGTTTAATATCTTTGAAAAGGTATTTTATCAAAAAAGCAAGCGTCTTTAAACCTAGCAAAATGTAATCGTTGAACAATTTCACGTAATTAAAATTTAAATGAACTGATACATATAAGTCAATTTGTGAACTACTCCCCGTGTCTGGTGCTCATTAATGTCAACACTTTCCATTACTGGTGTTATCTTATTGCCCGCGCTTCATTATATCAGCCATTGTAACAATTAAAAGTCATATCAATTTCATCAACAGCAGAGATGNTTTATTAAGTAAAAACGAGTTTGCACTTAAAATCACAACTGTATCGAGACAATTACGTTTGTTAAATACGTTTGTTCTTAGTGTATTTCTTTTTAAAAACTTTTTACAATTGCTTGTCGACTTTCTTCTGAAAAAGTTGCTACTATAAAAAAATCAAGCCTGATAAAAATAGTATTATGCTGTGGTAAATTCTTTCGCTTTACATAACCTTTAACTTGTGTGTGATCAAACGGATTTCCGATTATCAATGCTATTCTCGTAGGCATATCATTAAAATCTCCATTTCAAATTGATTTTATTTGTATGATAAAAACAATGAATGTCGACTGTTTAATTGCATTAACAACTACGTCACTCATATGTCAACTGCATGTCACAGTCTTTCATGCACTCCCGAATCAAAGCATCAAAGCGCTCGTTTTGAGAAACTGTGAAATGGTTCTTCCAATCTCCAACAGCACCTGTAACGAAATCCACACAACCAGTTTAGTTTAAACTGGTTTTGACAATTTGATCGAGTCAATAATTTGAAGGTGCATGTGTATTTTATATGTATTTTTAAAATAAAATGTACTAGAGTTTATCGACTGCGCGTAATGTACAAGTAAATTTAAATAACATGAAACATCTGCGATACCTTTCCTATACATGCCAGTGGCTCCTTTCCGCCATATGTTTTTATCAGAGCTCTCTATAAACTTCTCTAAAAAGTCGTGTTTTTTGGCCTGCATGGATTCAAACCTGCATTCTTTTGCAATTTTCATGCAAACGTCTTGGTCCAGAGGTTGGCCGAGAAAATCTGATATCTTCTGAACATGGCTTACAGGGTCCTTGTTGTAGGAAAACAGATTGTTTGTTACAATGCATTTTACAACCAAAGTAAAATGTAAAACCTTTACATAGCTGAAGCTAATCGGTGAAATCTACAACGTGCTCAACTTTCCCCCCAAGAACGATACGTTTTGCTGGATATGGTGAGCCCATCATGACAAGAAACTGAGATGGTTTGTGAGGGGACATGATTTTTCTATATACATTCATTTTAGTGTTTTAGACATTGTTTTTTCGATTCAATCATTGGAAAACTGCGTAATAATAATTTAATAGACAAATGAGCAAAAATGTTCATTAGTTGGTAGTTGGATCATAAATGAAAATTATCAAACACATGCCGAAATATTTTTATACCGTTAGCAGGGGCGGATTTAGGCCGTCTTCTGGGTCTTCCGGAAGACGGTCAGATTTTCAAGTTTACATTGTCGGGCATCTAATGTTTTTTGTCGGAAGACGGTCAAAAATGGAGGATGGATCAACAAAGATAATTTGGAAGACTGTCAGAAAATATCTCTGGATCCGTCCCTGGTTAGCTTACGGCCAACCTGGGCGAAGGCCTTCAGACTGATGTGAGTGGACGTTGACACTCACTGATCGCTAGGTGGCGGGGCTCCGTATCTCGAAAGGTTCGCTATGTTGCGCACGTACGTTAGTGCCTCGATTCCATAACCGATTCTATTTCGAGATACGGGGCCACGAAATCGAGACGCACTTGCACGTGCGCAACATAGCGAACCTTTCGAGATACGGAGCCCTGGTATGTCATGACATTTATAAGGGGGTCCTGCCCGCTATACCACCTAGCGGTCAGTGAGTGTCAACATCTACCCAGGTGGCCGTAAGCTAACGGTATGAAAATATTTCGGCTTTTCTTTGATAATTTTCTTTTATGATTATTTAATAGACAGTTTAAAAGAAACCCACGCACCCTCTTCATTTCCTCATACATGATAGTAAGGACACTGGAATCCGTTTTAGAGTATTTCCACCATTCATGAGCAAATTCAAACCAATTGGTATAATCTGAAACCAACGGGAAATATTATCAACATCTACAAATCAAAACAATATCTTCAGTAAATGACCGTTAGTTAGATTAACTTTTATATGCAATTATAAATATACATGTATATCGCACCGTTACGGAAAAAACGAATTAGTTGCCCAATTTCTAAATAAAAGTACGATGTTAAAAAAATGTGTCGCTTAAATCTCTGAGGAAGGAAGGAAGGACGTGCCTGCCAAATTACACACTTCAGTAAAAATATATAGATTTTTTATCAAACAGGTGTGACAGGAATGGTAGTCAGCTAAGAACCGCAGTCCTTCCCCTATTACTTTGTGCAGGTGACATACGTCCCATATACTAACCCAGTGGCGGATTTAGAGGGAGGTCAGGGGGGTCCTGACTCCCCCCCCCCTTCGGTACCAAATGGCACCGTTCGCCCTCTAAAATACTAAAACGGGGGGGGGGGGGGGNGCCTTTCTTCTGAAAAAGTTGCTACTATAAAAAAATCAAGCCTGATAAAAATAGTATTATGCTGTGGTAAATTCTTTCGCTTTCAATAACCTTTAACTTGTGTGTGATCAAACGGATTTCCGATTATCAATGCTATTCTCGTAGGCATATCATTAAAATCTCCATTTCAAATTGATTTTATTTGTACATGTATGATAAAAACAATGAATGTCGACTGTTTAATTGCATTAACAACTACGTCACTCATATGTCAACTGCATGTCACAGTCTTTCAAGCACTCCCGAATCAAAGCATCAAAGCGCTCGTTTTGAGAAACTGTGAAATGGTTCTTCCAATCTCCAACAGCACCTGTAACGAAATCCACACAACCAGTTTAGTTTAAACTGGTTTTGACAATTTGATCGAGTCAATAATTTGAAGGTGCATGTGTATTTTATATGTATTTTTAAAATAAAATGTACTAGAGTTTATCGACTGCGCGTAATGTACAAGTAAATTTAAATAACATGAAACATCTGCGATACCTTTCCTATACATGCCAGTGGCTCCTTTCCGCCATATGTTTTTATCAGAGCTCTCTATAAACTTCTCTAAAAAGTCGTGTTTTTTGGCCTGCATGGATTCAAACCTGCATTCTTTTGCAATTTTCATGCAAACGTTTTGGTCCAGAGGTTGGCCGAGAAAATCTGATATCTTCTGAACATGGCTTACAGGGTCCTTGTTGTAGGAAAACAGATTGTTTGTTACAATGCATTTTACAACCAAAGTAAAATGTAAAACCTTTACATAGCTGAAGCTAATCGGTGAAATCTACAACGTGCTCAACTTTCCCCCCAAGAACGATACGTTTTGCTGGATATGGTGAGAAACTGAGATGGTTTGTGAGGGGACATGATTTTTCTATACACATTCATTTTAGTGTTTTAGACATTGTTTTTTCGATTCAATCATTGGAAAACTGCGTAATAATAATTTAATAGACAAATGAGCAAAAATGTTCATTAGTTGGTAGTTGGATCATAAATGAAAATTATCAAACACATGCCGAAATATTTTTATACCGTTAGCAGGGGCGGATTTAGGCCGTCTTCTGGGTCTTCAGGAAGACGGTCAGATTTTCAAGTTTACATTGTCGGGCATCTAATGTTTTTTGTCGGAAGACGGTCAAAAATGGAGGATGGATCAACAAAGATAATTTGGAAGACTGTCAGAAAATATCTCTGGATCCGCCCCTGGTTAGCTTACGGCAACCTGGGCGAAGGCCTTCAGACTGATGTGAGTGGACGTTGACACTCACTGATCGCTGATTGCACGTGCGCAAGTGTCTCGATTCCATGGCCCCGTATCTCGAAATAGAATCGGTTATGGAATCGAGACACTAACGCACGTGCGCAACATAGCGAACCTTTCGAGATACGGAGCCCTGGTATGTCATGACATTTATAAGTGTGTCCTGCCCGCTATACCACCTAGCGGTCAGTGAGTGTCAACATCTACCCAGGTGGCCGTAAGCTAACGGTATGAAAATATTTCGGCTTTTCTTTGATAATTTTCTTTTATGATTATTTAATAGACAGTTTAAAAGAAACCCACGCACCCTCTTCATTTCCTCATACATGATAGTAAGGACACTGGAATCCGTTTTAGAGTATTTCCACCATTCATGAGCAAATTCAAACCAATTGGTATAATCTGAAACCAACGGGAAATATTATCAACATCTACAAATCAAAACAATATCTTCAGTAAATGACCGTTAGTTAGATTAACTTTTATATGCAATTATAAATATATATCGCACCGTTACGGAAAAAACGAATTAGTTGCCCAATTTCTAAATAAAAGTACGATGTTAAAAAAAATGTGTCGCTTAAATCTCTAAGGAAGGAAGGAAGGACGTGCCTGCCAAATTACAGATTTTTTATCAAACAGGTGTGACAGGAATGGTAGTCAGCTAAGAACCGCAGTCCTTTCCCTATTACTTTGTGCAGGTGACATATGTCCCATATACTAACCCAGTGGCGGATTTAGAGGGAGGTCAGGGGGGTCCTGACTCCCCCCTCCTTCGGTAGTACTAAACCGTACCAAATGGCACCGTTCGCCCTCTAAAATACTAAAACGGCGGGGGGGGGGGGGGT